TACTGGGCCTTGCTGAGCTCGTTCTGCTTCCAGTCCTGGACGTTCTGGAAGTCCATGATCCTGTTGTTGTTGAAGTCCTGCCCCGGCCAGACCTCGTTCTGGACGCCTTCGGGGTGCACGTCGGCCAGGGGGTGGGTGTGGCTGTCCCAGCGGCCGAAGCAGAGATCCAGGCCTCCGATGAAGGCCGTGGCATAGTCGATGACGATGAACTTCTCGTGGTGGGCCCAGTAAAAGGTCATGTCGCCGCCGTTGGACATGAAGTTGTGGTCGGGGTGGCGCATGATCTTGATGTTGCCGTAGCCCGGCGAGCCCTCGGGGCAGAGGCCCTGCAGGGCGTGCTTGGTGTGGGCCGAATTGCAGGTCAGGGCGGCCTCGACCTCACGGTAGACGATGATGTAGATCTGGACGCCGGCCTCGGCGCGGCGCTTCAGGACCTGGTCCAACCTCCATTTCTGGTTGGGGTAGGGGGGGCGGCGCAGGAACAGCTCGGGCGACAGCCACCAGTCGCAGATGTAGATGGTCTCCTTGGCGGCCTCGAGGGCCTCGGAGACGGCCCAGAAGTAGTCACGGCCGTCGACGTACCATTTGATCAGGTTGCCATCGCGCTCCGGGAAGAAGGAGTTGAAGCGGTGCTCCTCAGCGATCTTGGCCCTCTTTTCGTCGGTGGCCTTCTCGTGCTCTTCGTCGTGGCGGTGATTGGTGTTGAACTGTGGAGCTGGTCAGCAACCAGATGTCTTGGCGACGGTCACGGGCTGCGGAGGAGTAGTCGTCGTAAAGTGCTTGTCTACAGGCAAAAGAGAGGAAGAGGGGGGAGAGGGTGCCAGCTTACGAGGTTGGCGAGCTTGCCAATCTGGTGCTTCTTGTGCACCAAGTGGACCTTTGCATCGTGCAGATGGGTGCCTTCGAGCTTCTCTTCGAGCTCGCGGAAGGGCTTCTTCAGCTTGTCCATGAAGCCACCGCCCTCACTGTCCTCCTTGTGGCCATGGTCGCTTGTCGTCATGAGCCCCATGTTTGCGGATGCGTGGAAGGGGGACGGACAACCGGAATGAGGGGGGTTATCGAATGACAGTTACGCAAGCTGGCGGTCTGTTTCGTTCTCCCTCTCTCTCTCTATCAAATGGTATCTCTAGGTCATAGGCCGGTGGGGTTGGTCTAGTATGGATGGACAATTATCGCATCATGGGAAGAGTGGGAAAGCTCGAGAATGGAGAAGAGGAGAATTGACAAGACGGAAGAATAGCAAGGAGAAAGAGCAGGGCGGCGCGAGGAAAGCTTATGGGAAAGCTGGAAACCCAGGCTATGTATGTCATGGGTAAGAAAGCTAGCAGCAAGACAGATTGACCGGGAGCAGGGTTGCGGTCCAGGAGAGGATCAGAGGGAGGGAAACAAAACCAGGAAAAAGGTGTGGGTGCAAGGGAACTGCTGAGACAGGGAGCGGGGCAAGGCTAAGCTGGGGTGGACTGTCTGTGTATGTAGTCATGTAGGTATTAGTCCAGTCCCGTACGTTGTCTGCCACACTTGCGCCGCACCGGCAGGTACCTACATCGTACTTAGGTAGCTATGTATGCAAGGTTAACTACACTAAGGTTAACTACACTACCATCGTGTAAACTGGCTGAGCAGTAGTAGGCCACGAGTACATGGCATGGCACGGCACGGCGGGGCGCATCTGATGATCGACTGGGTCGGACAAGTCGAGTCGAGTCGAGTCGAGGACTGGCATAATGGCCCTCGTGCCGATGTACCACCTACCTAGATTAGGTTAGCAGCTGTATCGCACTGTTCAGCTCATCCAGCAAGGGATCGCGTGCTCTCTCGGATTGACGATGATCAGGGGAGCAACTGTGCAGCTGGACTTTGGATAGATAAGGTACTTATGAACAGCCAACAAAATAGGAGCCACCGCATCGTAGTGTAGATAGAAGAGTCCTATGCTTGAACTCTCCCTCCTGTCAAATGTCACTGTGATTTCCTTTCGTAAAAAAAAATAAAAAAATACACAGACACAGACTCAGACAGAAACTTGCAAGCAAAAACAAAACGTAAAGGAACCATTGCCCCGCGCTCGGTGCAAGGAAGACGCCTCGGCCGGCCTCGCATTGGCCAACAGCTGATCGAATCGGTCAACCGAAGAGGTGGGCCGCTACTCTATTTTCTATGCTGACGTCATGCTAGTATCTGTATGACGGTAATGCTGCAGGACAGTACGTACCTCCGTGTGTCTTATCGATAAGCCGCTGGTCGGAGCATTCACCTACCTACCTACCTACCTACCGTACCTATCTGTACCTACTCGAAAATACCTACTGGAGACTTGCCTCTGTCATCGGGCTTGAAGCCACTGCGACAATGTACTTCTGGCTGGTAGCGTGAATGACTGTAAGCCGCGATATGCAGACTGATTGCTTCTTCTAGTCGCCAAGAGCCTATCGTACGTCTCCAAAGCGGCTGCCCAGACGACAATCAGTGCCGACATCCGACTTGTCCCTGTAAAAGGAACGACATGCCACGCCATGGCGCCATTCATTCGGGACTGTCCTAGTCTTAGTGTACTACTGTAAATACAGCACGCACCTAAACGTATACCGGTATTGCAATGGTACATTGGCTTGTCGTGGCTGGCTTTTTCTCCTTGTCGAGGGGGGAAACTTGAAATCGTCCTGGGACTCCCCCCCGGCCAGCTTCCGCGTTGATGCCTGTGACGTCACGCCAGCACGTCCCTCCCGCTAACCGGCTCTGACGACGAGCCAGATGCATGTATTTCTGATTGTGTATGCGTGCTTCTGTCCTCGAAACAGGGTTCCTGGGTGGGTTCGGGGGCTAGCTCGAGGTACAGAAAGTGTTGCTTGACTGACGCGGCTTGATATGTCACGTCTGGAGGCCAAGGTGAGGTCGGCCTGCTTGGCAAGTGGCCGTGTTTATCTATCCCGATTCCACAGCATGCCATACCAGCACCATTCCGACGTTTGCTGCCAAAAGCATAACGCAACGAGTCTACGGAGTAGGTAGTCGTAAATAAGGCTTGAATTATCAGACCCTGTCAAACTACTAGGGACGCCACCCCCAGCCAAATGAGATCGCCAGCCAGCCTCTTCCCAGGGCGCTAGCTATGCTGTGTCATGGCACCCCATCTGCCAGATCCAATCGCCGTTGCTCCATTGAGGGGCTGTTGAGTGGTGTTGTGTCTTCCCACGTGGTCTATCGTCATCACATCGTTATCATCGCCTTCACACGCCAAGACATTCTTTGAGCTTGGATGTGTACACTTTCCCCCCACCTTGGACTCAACGGAATGGCCAAACCAAGACACCATGCAATGCCTCCCCGAGACATGTTCCACCAGCCTCTTACCCACAACGCGGCCGAGTCGGCATTTCAGTGGAATACCAGCGCCCGGATGTCGATGCTTTGCCGGGACTCCATGTCGTCCATCTCCGGGTCGCGGAACGCACAGTGGGCCGCCCGCCGAACCACCGACGTGTCCGAGTCAAAGCACTTGATCAGCAGCGGCTCGCCCGGGCCTTGCTTGTCCTTGAAGTACCACCGGTGCGCCGGGTTGGGCTTGATGGTCCACGTCTCGGCGCGGTAACTCGGGTAGATGATGCCCCCCGGCACGAGGTCCTCTTCGGCGACCGTGTTCCCGTCGGCTACGGCCAGCGGGTCTTTGTGAACCGTCTTGATGGGCCGCCAAATGTTGATGATCTGGAAACGGCGCTTCAGCAGCTCGTCGGCCTCGTCGCCGAGATGGTGCCTCGCCATCATGACGGCGCCGTCGTACGACTGGTCCACGTGCGCCTTGTGTAGCGGCCCGCGGTGCTCCGTGTTCCGCTCGCCCAAGCTGTGCCAGTTGGCCGGGCCCCGGCGAATTTGGTGGTTAAAGATGACGACCCTGCTAGCTCCCGTGCTGGTTCGTCGATGACCCCCTGGTGAGCATGGATTCTAGGGTTTGAACGACCCCTACACCGCCCACGCCGGCCCGCTTGAGCCGAGGGCTGGCTGGGGCGGGGGAGATGCGAGCGACTCACATGTCCTTGTACACTCTTTCCATCTCGGGGTAGTAAACCGACCTGACCGTCTCCTCGTCGGCAAAGTCCTTCTCGACACTCGTGTGACGGATGTACTGGAAGCCGTGGGTGTCGAGGGTGAAGTTGTCCTCGTCGCCCGAGACGTCGGTCACGGTCATGGTTCGAGGCGTCATCTTTCTCTCATTTGTGACTTTTTGACTGGGAGCAGGCACGGACATGAGCATGTGAGAGCATGGGGAGAGGTCAACAATGGCACTCGCCACAACATGATACGGCGACTGAAAAGCGGGCTTACCCCCCTACGACGATTGGGGTCGGGGGAGACCCATCACCGGGGTCGTCGTAGTAGTTGATGGTGGTGACAACTGTACGGCGGTTCCGTGGCTGGCTATCTGTAGGCCTTGCCTGTGCCGTGCCTGTCAAAGGCTGCTGCTGTGTCGTCCCAACCGCCATGGTAGTAGTGGGCATGTTGATATTGAACTTTGTCTTGGAGGGGGAAGGTCATTGATGAACTGGAGACGGTGGATCGTGTGGGAGGGGAGAATGCTGAGCTAAGCATGGCCAGCGGTACGTACTTGCCGAAGGTACGGTACTATACTGTACGATCGGAGCTCCGCCGTCTCTTTTTTTCCGTGACCCCGCGCCATACCGTGCGAAGTACGCGCGAAAACAGTGAGACTGGTTGTGCGGTAACGTTTCTTTCTTTGTGTCTTCTCTGGCAGAGCTAAGGAATGAGGGGTAGCTAAGCTGGCACTGTGCTGTGTGTATCAGCGTGCGAGCTGGTCTGCAGCGCCACCATTTGGACCCTCAATGTCCCCGCCAACCCCCCTTACTGCATACCCCTCTATATCCCCACTGCGACAGCTACGGTTTAGCACGTTCAATCCCCATTGTGCGATCCAGGTCCAGCCTGTCAGAGACTCTGGAGGGCAATGCTCCAGTGGGGTCGGCCCCCGGGTATGAGGTGCGAGAGGTCCGTTGCTGCTGCTTCTGCTGCGTATGCGTGGCTCTCTGTCCTTTCCTATGCTTGACCGCCCCTCGGATTCCCTTGCCGTCTTGCTTGTTTCTGGTTTCTGGTCTCGACATCCTCCCCCTTCCTCAACAAATCCCACACCTCGTCCCTCTTCAACTTCTCTTTCCACCCTCAAACAAACCTCCAAGTTTCACCTCTAGATTCACACAAGACACAATGGCAGCTCAGATCCCCCCCGGCGGTACCTACCTCGACACCTTCAAGAAGTCCTTCGTTGACGTTCCCGTCGATGCCGAGAAGGACAATGCCATCGCCACCACCGACTTCCTCGATGCCGCCGAGTCTCTGACCACCATCTTTGGTATGTTTGCTCACTGCCATTCCCCCAACAAAGCGGCCACAAGTCCACCCAATCGTCTTTTTTGATCCATTCTTCTAACAATTGATTGTCCTTCAGATGCCCTTGGAGGCGTTGCTTTCGGTCCCGTCAAGAGCGATATGGGCGGCAACATCAAGGTAAGAACCATGCTCTCAACCCCCCCCCCCTCCCCTTCCCTTTATTTGGCGTATACTCCCTCCATTGAGTCCTCCTGAACAGCGGGTTTTGTTCGCCATTGTTCCCATTGTCTACAGCCCAACAGCTGCTGATATCCTCTTGTCGTACAGAAAATCCGTGAGCGCCAGCTGGCTGCGCCCGCCGAGTCCGCCACCCTCCAGGACCTCGTCAAGAACGAGCTGGCCACCAAGAAGCACGTTGCCACCGAGGGTCTCGTCTGGTTGAACCGGTAAGCCAGCTGCTCAGTCTCGACACACACTCACGCACTCTCACATGCACCATAGCATGGATGAAAGCTGACAACGTCCCGTCCTCCAGTGGTCTCGAGTTCACCTGCATTGCCCTGAGCCAGAATGTCGCCAAGGACTCTGAGGAGCTCGCGGACTCCTTCCGCGCCGCCTACTCGACCACCCTCAAGCCCCACCACAGCTTCCTCGTGAAGCCCATTTTCAGCGCCGCCATGAGCGCCTGCCCCTACCGCAAGGACTTCTACGCCAAGCTGGGCTCCGACCCAAAAAAGGTCACTGACGAGCTCCGCGTCTACCTCGCCGCTCTCGACAAGATCGTCGGCATCCTCAAGGGTTTCCTCTCCAGCAAGGACGCCAAGTATTAAGCCTCATCAACCCCCCGTGCCGGTGGAGACGGAAAAGAAAACAGACGGAGAAAAATAAGAAGGAACAATGACGATATGATTGAAGAAAGCCACATGGCCCTGCCCATCCATGACAGCTGCGGTGCGAGGACATTGTCAGCCACGAGCCAGTTCACGCAGCCTAGAAATGAACCATCACCTCCAAGTTCAGATAAAGCTCTTGGGTTTTTTTTTTTTTTTTTTTTTTTTTTTTAATAGATTTGAGTCGACACAATGATACCGAGTCTGTATAAAGGTGCTTCGATCCCAGTGGTTCCGTCAGTCGACTACGCCCAAGTCCTCACGAGTAGTATTTAACGTTCCCGCAGCGATATATTAATTAGCTGAGTCGCGGCCCTTCTGGCCGCAGTCTGGTATTTCTTAGTCTGGGACGATGCCAGCGACGATGATATGCTCCGTGATTTGACGAACGGAGACGGCAAGTACATGTACTCCACCTTGTCCATGCTGAAAGCGAGCATGGTAAGCCGATCTTACCGTGAGAGGATTCTCCTCATCGCTCTCCGATGGCATGGATGCCCAGAGCGAAAACCCGAGAGCCTTCTACCACGCCGCGGCGAACAACCACGTAAAGCTCCTCGGCCAAGCGCTAATGCAGAAAAAGGCCAGACGGCACGGTCAATAACTTACAGGTGCAGCGTCTTGGACTGTGCCGTCGCGACGGGTCAAGACGAGCATTTTCTCAAGCGCCCTTTGCAGCTCGGCGGCCCGGCGCTGTCGGGCAGCCAACTCCCTCGTTTTTCGTACTGGACTTTTGTATATCAGGAGTCCAAGGCGAGTTGGAGGCATTTCAAAGAGGTACTGTGCCCAAGCTCCGGGGGGGGGGGTGAAGCATGATCCTTTATTGCTGGTTGGTTGATTTATTGATCGTCATGTCATTACGTCGTAGTTCTATCTATAGTTTACAGATGTTTTGTCTATTTCTTTTTTTTTCCTTCATCTTTTTCCACAAGTCCCTCTCATACTTAAACCACGGTGGTGAATACCTGCAGCGTACTCTTGGTCTCCCACTTGGCCTCGACGCCGGGGGCGATGAACCAGATGTAGCCGGCCTTGACGTCGAAGGTCTGGCCGTCGGCCTCGAGGACGCCCTCTCCGTCGGTGACGATTGCGACGGCGGGGCCCTCGCCGGCGCGGATGACTTCGATGCCGCCTTCGGCGGCGCTCAGGTCCGTCTTGAGCATGTCGAACTCGCTCAGGGGCGGGGGGTAGACGACGGTGCGGCCGCGGGCGCCGCGCGGGCTGGGCTCGGCGGGCAGGAGGACGTCGGCCTCGCTGTGGGCCTTGAAGGTGAGGGTGCGGGTGAAGAGGTCGACGTTGCTGCGGTCGCCGGGGGGGCAGAAGCCGGTGTTGAGGACGTTGTTGGAGCGGGCCATGCACTCGACGATGTCGCCGGACAGGTAGGCGTGGATGCCGTCGGCGGGGATGTAGAGGGCGTCGCCGGCGGCGAGGGCGAGGTAGTTCATGCACAGCAGGGCGACGAGGGTGCCGGGGTCGCCGGGGCCGTACTGGGCCTGCAGGCGGGGGAGCAGGTCGGCGACGTGGGCGTCGTTGGGGCCGAGGACGCCGGCGGCGTCGCGGAGGGCGGCGGCGGCGCGCTCGACGGCGGCCTCGTCGGCGAGGAGGATGCGGCGGACGACCTCGCGCAGGGTCTCGTCGGTCCAGGTGGCGGTGCCGTCGGGGATGAAGTCGCGGAGGGCGGGGACGTTGAAGGCCGGGGCGATGCGGTCGAGGGGCTTGAAGCCGGCAAAGACCTCAAAGGGACCGAGGGCGACGGCGATCTCGGGCTTGTGGTTGGGGTCGGTGAAGGCGTCCGGGTCCTGCTCGTGCAGGCGGGCGGCGAGGGACTTGTCCGGGTGGATCTGGAGGGGCAGGGCCTTGGCGATGGAGAGGATCTTGGGGAGGTAGGGGAGCTGGGCGTCGAGGTCGCGGACGACCTTGGGGCCGAGCAGGGCGTCCCTGTCCCGGGCGAGGACGTCCCGGAGCGGCTCGCCGGTGTCGAGGACGCGGGCGGGGAAGTCGGGGTAGTCGCCGAACCACATCTCCGAGTAGTACTGGTCGTCGGCGGGCTCGAAGCCGCCGCCGGGGGTGTTGGCGCACAGGCGGGCGGCGAGGGAGTCGCGGCCCTTGCGGCCCCATTCGTAGTTGTTGCAGGTGCCGGTCAGCTGGAAGACCTTTTTGCTTTGGGGGTTCATGATGGGCGGCGGTGGTGGTGGTGGTGTTGTTGTTGACTAGGTGGTAGGTGGTGATGAGTTTGGTGCTATGTGTTTCTTGGGTATAATTGGTTGCTAGATTCCAGCTGGAAGGCGGCCTGATGAATCATGTATCCAATTGACATGTACAGGTTGCTCTTCTACTTTTCTCTTAAGTAGATACGAACACACACACTCCCCCAATAAATGATATCAACGGATGGGGGTTGTTGTTGTTGTTTTTGAGAGGACGTACTCCGTATTTGGGGCAAAATGGGCCGAGTGACGGCCGGTGACGTCGGGACCGAGTTGACGCAACAGGGTCGTCATCGAAGACCACCCCCCAAGATCACCGTTTATCGATTACGGATATCCATCATCGAGTCTGCGCACCGCACACCAGCGACGCCCGGTTCTCCACCGCGCTGGGACTGGAGCTCGGCGGGCCGTGGCGAAACGACTTGGACAATTGGGGAATGGGACGAGGACGGGTCACGTATGCAGGGCTTTCTTCGATGACGCCGAGAGCCGGTGCTGCTGCTATATCTTTTCATTCTTCTTTTTTGTCTTACTCGCCTTGCTGGAGAACCTCCCCCACTGAAAACTCACGTAATTAACCACCCCATGTCACAAGGGGGGGCCGCTTACACGGAAACGGACCAACAAGCAGCACCATCACCAGTATTGCATCGGGAGAGAGGAGAGATAAGACGGACTGACTTGGCCGATTCCGTCGACGAAGTCGTAGCCGGATCTGATTATTCTACGTAAGATAAATAACCCTCAATTACTACCCGCGTCAAATGTCTTAACCACCGCGACAGCTCGCCGAGCCGAGCCCGAGCCCGAGCAACGAGGGAGGGGACGACCAGACCGCGGAACCCCTCGCCAAAAGCCGGACAGGCCCCCCGTTGCCCTCTTTCTGAACTATGGGAGAGAAGCCATCTTCCCGGACCTCCTCTTGGTGGGTCAGGGTGGAGGGTGAGGTGGCCACCATGCCAAAACCGGGCATCATCGGCTCAAGCTGACCTCCGATTCGTTTGCCGTGGACTGGGAAAGAGGGGGCTTCAGACGCGCAGGGCCGGACGGCTGCGCGCCGTCTTGCGCGAGGCGTGGAGGTTGAGGGAGCGGCTGTTGCGCTTGTTGGAGCCCTTCTTGGCGGCCCTTCCGGCGCCGGCGCCCGCGTCCGCATCGGCTTCGGCGTTGGCGGTCGCGTTGTTGGCCTCGCCGGCACCGGCGGCGTCACCTTCCGCAGCGGCTTCCTCGTCGGCCGCGTTGCCTTTGCCGCCCTTGTCCTCCTGGTTACCGGCGTCGTTGTCTTCCGCAGCGGCTTCCTCGTCGGCCGCGTTGCCTTTGCCGCCCTTGTTCTTCTGGTTACCGGTGGCATCAGCGGCTGCATCGTCGGCATTGTTCATGCCGGCGGCCGCGTCCTCCTTCTCTGCAGCATTGCCGCCGTCAGCGTTGTTCTTCTGGTTGCCGCTGGCAGCTGCGTCCTCCTTCTCTGCCGCATTGCCGCCGTCAGCGTTGTTCTTCTGGTTTCCGGTGGCATCAGCGGCTGCGTCGTCGGCATTGTTCATGTCGGCGGCCGCGTCCTCCTTCTCTGCAGCATTGCCGCCGTCAGCGTTGTTCTTCTGGTTGCCGCTGGCAGCTGCGTCCTCCTTCTCTGCCGCATTGCCGCCGTCAGCGTTGTTCTTCTGGTTACCGGCGTCAGCAGCCGCATCGTCGGCATTGTTCATGCCGGCGGCCGCGTCCTCCTTCTCTGCAGCATTGCCGCCATCAGCGTTGTTCTTCTGGTTTCCGGTGGCATCAGCGGCTGCGTCGTCGGCATTGTTCATGCCGGCGGCCGCGTCCTCCTTCTCTGCAGCATTGCCGCCATCAGCATTGTTCTTCTGGTTGCCGCTGGCAGCCGCGTCCTCCTCCTCTGCAGCGTTGCCGCCGTCAGCGTTGTTCTTCTGGTTGCCGCTGGCAGCCGCGTCCTCCTCCTCTGCAGCATTGCCGCCATCAGCGTTGTTCTTCTGGTTGCCAGTGCCAGCAGCCTCATTGTCAGCGTTGTTGCCCTGGTTGCCGGCAGCCTTCTGGCCACCGCGCCTGCGCTTGGTGCTGGCCTGCGCGCCGGCCCCGGCCACGTTGGCCACGTTGACGTTGCTGCGGGCAAGGGTGGACTGCAGCTGCTGGACGACCCCGGTGTCCCCTTCGGCCCGACGCTGACTGGAGCGGGAGACATCTGAGACGGGCGCGGCGGCGACGACGCCGGCGAGGATGGCGATGGCTGCGGCGGAGAACTTCATCTTGACTGGAGATGGGTGGGAGGGTATATATAAAAAGTGAAGGAGTATTCTAGAAAAGAAAGCGGTTTTTTTGCCCTCTTAAATTACAAGAAAAGAAGACTTGACTACTGCCCGAGTAGTTGTTGTGCTAAAGGAACGAGACTGGCTCGAGTAGAAAGAAGGAAAATGGAAGGAGGAGGAAGAATCTGGTGATGGATGCGATGATGTACGATGCGGGTGAGGAGCAAGAGCTAAGAATCTTTCTTTGACGGCCAAGATGCCCGACTTATATATCCCATCTCGCCGGTTTGTTTGGGCCCGTGTAGCACATAGCCCGTTCTCGCGTTTTCTTTCCTGTGCGATAGTTCCCCTGTATGCGCCATCATCGGGCATTATTCTGGCCAAATCCTCCTAGTCATGTAGAATGGCCTGATTCGATGGTGACGACGTTGTCGAGCCCCATTGACGGTGGGCGGGCGAGAGAACTCATGAAACAGCCCGTCGTGGAGGCCGGAGTCATCGGTGACTCCATAGCTGTCGAGTGAACCAGGCCGTCGGACTCATAGATCAGCATTTCATGCCCACTTCTTTTCAGCGCTTTCTGGATGTGTCCCTCTCGGAAACCTTGTTGGAGAAACCTTGACGTGTGCGAGCGGTTCTTGGCGCGCAAGAGGGTTCCCACAGCCACCACAGCCAGGTTGGCGATCGACACTAACGGAGCGGCCATCCAAAACGTCGACTGCCCTCCACAAAAGTTTCGCGGGGTCGCATCAGTCTCAGGAGCCCGATTGTCGCAGCGCCGTCCCCGGAAACGAGGTCTTGGCTGGCGCATTTCGTCAGGATCCTCTCGGCCACGAGCGGCTGGGGACAGGAGAGGAGAGGAGGGAGAACGTCGCCTTGCCCGGGCTCGAGCTTGGCAGGTTAGTCTGACGGCGACTGACGATGGCGATCGACTGTGTCGATCGCAGGACGCGTACTGGTAAATGCGCCAAGACCCGGTGCTTTAGAGCGCCCCGTCTGGGGTTTCCATGCCTGCCAGCGTGTGTATATGTGTCTGTACGCATTGCGTTCTGGCTATTCGTCCAATTCTCATCCCGTCTTGCACGGATCGAAAGTGCTGCTATCCCAAAAGAGCAATAATCGACGTTAACATGCCGTCCGGAACTCGGTCCCGAGACTGGCCGGATGTTGAGTCAGGTACGGGCACGGGGCCATCTGAATTCGCCAAAACAAAATAAGCACCAGCGACGGCTAATCGGTATAAGCTTGAATACGTGCCGGGCGGCGCGCTTCGACACTGGCCCTCCTGGGGGTGACAACCAGGCGGGTGGGCTGCGGGGGTTTGAGGTTCCTGTCGATCGGCAGAGAAAAGGGTCAAAAGAGAGAGAGTGTGGTGTCTCGGGAGCCCGGCTGCAGGCATATCGCCCTTCTGGGCCCGGTCTTCCAAGCGGCAGACAAACGTCGAGCCCTGCCTCTTTCGGACGCTGCTACCGGATGCCTTCGATACATACGGCTATTCTTAGAAACCATACGTCCGATGTCCGACTTGGGTGGTCCTGGATCCGCCATCGTCTGCGGAATCAAGGAGCCCACGTCTCGGCGCGGCATATCCTGGTCGGATCGTCCTAGAGGGTCATCACGCGGTTACGGTTACGGGTCCTAAACCTTGATTGGAATCTAAATGCGGAAGCTTTGCGCGCGCTCACACACATACACACACACACACACACATACAACCCTGTTCACTGATGGTAATAGACTTGCTCAAACAGCGTCAAAGGGGAAGAGGCGCAAAGGCAGGTGAGTATTATGTCCATTATGGCTAATATACGGCGCGATATAACTACAAGCTGACAATGTGCAGAGGCATGCGGGTATCTTGTCCATTGTGGCCAATAGACGGTCCAATATGTGAAATACAATGTGAGAAAGGAAAAAAGCAGAGTCGTTATCCTTGTGCCAACGGGTCTTGCGCCGGCCAGGTCGATGACGCAACACCTCAGAAGCTGTAGCACACATCCCAGAGCGGGACGCGGACGCTGTACAGCTCGGCGCTCCAGTACTTGGTGGCGTACCCGGTGAGGTTGAAGCGGAAGTCGGTGGCGAACTCGACGCCGTTCTTCTCGGCGCAGACGAGCCCGTCCTCGGGCACGTCGGCGACGGCCTCGGTCGGCGCGCTGGTGAAGTTGCCGGCCAGGCCCAGTTTCTGGCCGCCGCGCAGCTTGAAGGTGTTGTCGAAGCCCGGGGTCGCCGTGATGCCGGCGCTGAGGTCGACGAGGCCGCCCAGGAGGTCGAACGCCAAGCGGACGGTGACGTCGGCCGAGGCGTTGACGCGCACGTCGGCGGACTCGGTGATGTTGGCGTGGCTGCTGTACACGGGGTCCCAGCCGGTCGCCGACGTCTTGTCGAAGTCGAGGAGGTCGAGGTGCACCTTGCCGGCGGGGAGGCCGACGCTGAGGCCGGCGGTGACGCCCACGGCGGCGGAGACGTCGAGGTCGAGGCCGACGGCGAAGGCGACGCCGGGGCCGAGCTCGACGACGCCGGGGACGGTGACGAGAGAGTAGGACAGCGCGTCCGGGGCGTACTTGAGCGAGTGGCTGTAGGCGGCGAGGACGTCGGCCGAGACGCCGACGGCCGAGTCGAAGGCGGCGTCGAGGTCGAAGTAGAGGGCCTCGAGCTTGAAGCCCCAGAAGTTGTACTTGAGGTAGCCGGAGAAGGTGATGCTCGAGCTGAACCAGGCCTCGTCGGCCGTGATGTTGACGTACTGGCCGTCGCTGTAGAGGACCGTGTCGTTGGCCAGGCCCTGGGCGAAGGACAGCGAGTAGCTGGGGTCGAGCGTCAGCCGCCTCGCGAGCGTGGCGGCCGGCAGCGACGTGAAGGCCATCTCGCAGGAGCCGGCGATGCTGGCCAGCTCCTCCTTGGAGGCGGCGACGGTGACGGACAGCGCGTCGTCGTCGGCGGCCAGGCCGGTGGCCATGAAGAAGCCGCGCTCGAACTCGGCGTCGCAGTTGCCCAGGTGGTTGGTGACGAGGACGAAGCCGCCCTCGTCCGCCGAGGCCGTCCACCCCTGCACGGCCTGGTGGAAGGCGTCGGCGTCGGAGAAGGCCACGGTCAGCTCGTCGTCGCCGCAGACGACCGCGGCGACGGCGTCGACGTGCTCGAGCACCACGGCCGGGTTCTTGAAGGCGAGCGACATGTCGATGGAGCCCTGCTGGTCGGCCGACTCGCCCGCGCCCGCGTAGTAGAGCGAGACGTTGGTGGCCGGCACGATGTTGACGGGGTCCTTGGTGTCGATGCCCGGCCCCGTCGTGGGGCCGAACGTGTGCGTCGTGTTGACGGCCGGGCGCAGCTCCTCGGGCTGGGCCACGACGGGCACGTAGGCCGGGATGTCCTCGATGACGTGGGCGATCTGAGGCGTGGGCGTGGGCGTGGGCGTGATCGTCGACAGCGTGGTCAGCGTCGAGGTGGCCTCGGCCGCCGCCAGTTCAGGCTGGTCGGGCATCTCGACGACGATGTAGGTGACTCGCTTGACGCCGTCCGGTGCGCAGCCGCATCCCTCGGCGTGCGCGGCGGCGCCGGTCGCGAGCAGGAGACCGGCCAGGAGGCGGCCGGCCAAGGTTGCGCGAACCATGATGAGTGTATGTGTGTGGGAGGAGGTGATTAAGAGAGTGAAGGGGGCATAGAAAGTGAAAGAACGCTCAGCAATATCACGCCGGCCTGTGTGGTTCAAACGAAGGACTTGGGGAGCGCGAGATGGCCGACGAGCTGGTGCTGCAGACTAAACTCCAAGAGACTCGAGATGACGAGGCGACCACAAGACCTTATAAGGTGAGTGAGACGTACGATTCCTTCCCATCTATCCATCGCTCACCCTCTCCCACCCCCTCGCACCATCTCCGTCCTCTACCCCCGGTCCGCCGTCATCTTAGTGTCATCCAACCATCTGGTAGCCGGGCTAACACATGAACGAGATTGGTTGGGCGGCACTGATGCGTAGATGCCGGTAACGGCTATCGAGCTAGTTGCTCACGAACCACATCCCTCTCCCCCCTCCCCCCATGCCATCGGCCAGATGCCGAGCCCCCACGCCATGCCGAGGAGCATGGGAGGGTGGTCAAACGCGGCAGGAGATAGCTCGATGCCTATTCGGGCCAACGAGGGCCAACAGGGCCACGTGCCTTTGCGTCTTTGTTATACCCGGCAGGGGATGCTCAGGTGAGAATAACGGCAGCTGACCGGATAGGGGGTGATGGATACAACGCCGACCCGTTGCATCTCTATCTCTACCAGATTACGATGATGTGCATAAGGGGGTTAGGGGGTTTCCTTGATATGTATTCCGTGTGGGACTGGTGCCCGTTCCGTCGGCGTCGTCTCGGAGGCTGTCCTAGCGAGAGTTGCTCTCCATCGTCGCGTGGTCTCGTGGACAAACCTCGGCGTACAGGATGAGTCTCGTCGTCGAGGTGGGGGAAATGCAGATAGATGGTGATGGTGAGCGATGGGGCCGCTGACATTGGGCAATGGGCCGTCAATACCAGATCAGATGCGGAGGGCCACGGGTAAGGAGTACCTCCTCCTCCGGCTGCGGTCCGGCGACGCCCCATCTACATAACCAAGGATTCCCGGTTCGCGTGGCATGGCGTGCCCAAGGTCATGAAGGGGACATGCCCTGACTATCTGGCTGACTGGCCAGCGGAAGGTGGGAAATAGGAGTAGACAGAGTTAAAGCCCGTCGGGATCGTTCCCAAAGCGATCAAGTTCACCTGAGCTCGAATCCACTCGCCGGTTTCATTGATGGCGTGACCCTGAGAGACGGTCTCCTATCGATCCTATCGATCCTATCGATCCAACCCGGCGGGTGTGTCCTGGGCCTCGGAGGAAACAATAAAGACCCAACAATGACGACAACGTCCACATTGGATACAATGATTGGCCGTACGCGTCAGCACAGCTCCTTTCAGAAGGTCTCAGTCCCCCAATGGCATCTCGTTATCGGCTCACCTAACTGTCATACAGGTGATGCCCCTGGAGACAAGCAGATGCATGGCAGGGGCCTGCGTGGCCCCGCGTGGCTCGGAAAAGCATGTGCTCCGTCATCCTGTCCCATCAGGGTGTTTAGGCCGCATCTTATTTCCTGTGAGAGGGGCAACACCATCACACTCACGAACGCGAAAGGCAGGTCTACCGTTGGGGGCGTATCGGGCACGTCAAGCGCCTGGCAGCGGTTCCTTGCGCGGATCATAAACCGGCGGCTTGCCGACCAAGACGGTCTCCGCGGGCTGATTGGTTAAACCGGCTTGACATGCAGGGGCAATAGGAGAAACCTCGGGTTGCTCTGGGAGGCCTATTGGCTCCGTTCCTGGTTCGGCCCCCTTCTCCCTCATCTCCTCCCCGTCGCTTCTCGTGAACATTCACGACTCATGTTCCATGTCCATGCCACCCTTAAACTCGGCCAAAAGCCCACGTGCGGCCACTGAGTGCCACTGCGACCCGACGAGGGACTGCCTTGTAATATATGGACAATTTACTGCTGCCACTTTCCGAATTGGTCGTATCTCAGCGCGTCAAAACCAATACTGCAATGGCATGCGTTCGTTCTGGGGGCTACCTTCGGAAGCGACCCGCAGAATAGAGCCAAGCAATAGTGGGCTCTTCCTATGCCGAATGTCGGATGGAACCGATCACGAACTTCGCGCGTGATGCAGGGCGGCCTGGGATGCTTGGGAATCCGGCCGTTGGCCGTTGGCTCGGAAGCGAGCCCCCTTTGTCAGAGCGGACACGCATGGGGAACGCGAGATGCGGGCCGGCTATGTTTTGTACAGAATCGTGCATACTATGTACATGAAAACTCTTTTTTGTCTCTCTCTTTTCTCTCTCTCTCTCTCTCTCTCTCTCTCTGTCTATCCCTTTGTCTTGTTTCGGGCCGACTCCCCCCGGCGCCCCTCATGGTTGAAGGGCTTGCGTATTGCTCTATTCTATTGTCTCTTTTCTCTTGGCGCACTTGGAAAATGTGCTTACAACGCGAGATCTTCTTCCTTGCCTATCTATGAGCACACGTCTACTGTGACGTAGACGGTCTCGGTGGCCGTGCGAGTGACGCACACCTGGCCGCTGAAGGAAGGGCACTTTGTAGGGCTGGGCGCGCTGCCGACATCGGCGCCCTGCGGCAGGGTTGAGAATATGGGCGTGGGAGCACCAGCGGGAGCCGAGGGGGGGACGCTGCTGGAAGGGGCCGAAGGCGCCAAAGACTCGGCGGGCACGCTGGCGTATCGGGCGGCCGAGGAGGCGACGGGGTTCTGGGACAAGGTCTCGTAGATAGGAGCGGGAGCGCCGGCGGGGGCCGACACGGACGTAGGGGCAGAATCCGCGGGAGCGCCAGTCGAGGAGGCGACGGGGCCTTGGGACAGGGTCTCGAAGACGGGCGAGGGAGCGCCGGGGGGAGCTGGCACGGAGGCGGGGTCGGAGGCCGCAGGAACCTTCTCGGCGGGAGCGGACGCGGGTTCGGTGGGGATCGCGGAAGAAACGACCGGGACGCCGCCGGTGGGCCTGTAGGCGGCACCGGAGAGGGTCACGAATATGGGAGAGGGGGTCTCGCCAGGCGCAAAGGTAGGGTCGACGGCGCCGCCACCGGCGGGAGCCGATACAGAGGTGCTGCTGGGAGGCGCTGAAGGCGCCAGAGACTCGACGGGAAGGCTGGCGGAGGGGGCGGCCGGAGAGGCGACGGGGTCCCGGGAAAGGGTCTCGAAAATGGGTGAAGGAGCGCCGGCGGGGACCGACACGGACACGGGGACGGCAGCGGCGGGAACCTCGACGGGGCCAGATGCGGGCTCGGTGGGAGCGGCGGGAGCGGCGGGAGCGGCGGGAACGGAGCCAGTGGGCGTGTAGGGCGTGCCGGAGATGGTCTCGTATATAGGAAAGGGGGCCTCGCCAGGCGCAAAGACAGGGTCGGCAAGCGCACCAACGGCATCGGCGTCGACGCTCATCTCGAGGGAGCTCGGAATCAGCTGGGCGACGGCCGCGGCCGCGAAGCCCAGTGCGGAAAGGAATCGCATTCCGGGTCCAATGGATCGGTTCCCCCTCCGCTCCAGGCGATGAATGGCGTAAAACGGCGCAGGGACTTTCAAAGTCCTCGGAGTAGAACTGGAATATCGGTTTCGATTTCGCGAGAGCTGGTCGTGCAAAGACAGGGTTCGTTCGGGGGGGTTGGAAAGGGCGCGGAGCCTCGAATGAATGAATGAACGAATGAATGAACGAATGAATGAATGGATGAATGAATGGATCAACGAACGAACGGCGCACACGCACACACACAACCACACAAACAAAACGAGTGTCGGTAGGATCAAGGAGATGGTCAACAATCCCTTGGCCAAAGGAGGAGAGGGAGAAGAAGAAGAAGAAGAAAAAGAAGAGGTCTCGCCGAGGCAAGGAGGGAGGCGTGGTGGTTGGTCACATATGAGAAAAGGCATTGGTGCGTTTGACGAAATCCCCAAATTGACCCGCAAGAAAGGACCCGTAAGAGGGGACGCGCTGGGGGGCCTCGTCGTCCTTTTCATCGCCTCAGCTGTACGGATAGTCAGCGAAAGTATGAGCGCGTATGTGTGTGTGTGTGTGTGTGTGTGTGTGAGCGTGTAAGTCGACCGCACAAACGGTCCCAGACCGGTCCAATCTCCCCTGACCTGACAGTTTCATCACCGCAAACACGGTTGAGGAGGGCGCAATTTCGACGCTTCTCCACCTGATGGGCCCGGGGTCAGCGATGGACCTATGGTCTTTCAAGAGTTGGGCGCGTCTTGGCAACCGAGAAGGGGTTGTTCGTCTGGGCGATGCAGAAGCCGCTGTGTTGTCTATTTGACCACGGATGATGACGATGTCTGTCGACTCCATTGCCCACCGTATACTACGGATACTCGGCGTTGAAGACGGCGATTTCCATCAAACCGCCCCCTCCTAGTGGTGTAAGTTCGTCTTCACCGCCAACCGTCCCCGGCCCCGTCGCTGGGCTCTCCCGTGATTGCGATAGACGCGCCCTCCAGGAGCCACTCAGGCGGAACAACGGTAATAGCGGTGATGAGGGGAAGAGTACAGACGACCGAGGGGGGAGGATAGGTTTTGCCAGCAGCACAGCAGCAACCTTGAGTTGAGAGCTCGGAGCTTGTTGTGAAAAAACGCAGCGTCTATCCGTACCGTTACTCCTTAATTCATGCCAAACAGGTGGAGAAGAGAGACGGACGGACCCCTGGGTCCGGCGTGTAGCATCTCGCCAATAAGGTCCCTGCCAGATCGTCACTTGGTTTCATATCCCGGTCACCTCGTCAGCCTCTTCTTCATCATCATCTTCTTCTTCTTCTTCTTCTCCTTCTTCTTCGCTCTCTGTCCTTCTGTTTCTGTTCCTGTCTCTGTTTGTGTGTCTCTCTTCAGGTCGTCCTCGAGCTCGGTGGAAACCAAGTGGACCGAGAGCCTGGCGATATGCTCCCTATCGACTCCGTCGACATCGCCGCCTTGAATCGGTCGAGCGCCTTGCCGACGTGAACTGCGTCGGCTCATACATAGTGCCTCAATTGCCCAGTCGCCGGTTGCTCCCCTGACCACCTACATGGTAATATTACTGCAGAGCCTTGCGCTTCCCGATGGCGGCGCTTATTCCGCATTTCCGTGCTTCGCCTGCACACGTCTCTGGCCCCCCCTGTCACATCTCCCAGTGTGCGACCGGGAAGCGACATTAGTGGTCGCGGCTTAATTGGCGGTTCACAGGGGGGGGAGTTGGGACAGAGAGCGATGTCGATGTTGGGGCTCTTATGCCCGGTCTTGGTTATTTATCAATCTAATCACTTGCCTCTAGTCATGATAGCCGTACCCGCGATTAGTCGTCGTCGTCGTCGTCGTCGTCGTCGTCGTCATAATACGACCAGCTTCATCGTCGAGGAGGAGCATTCTCCCGTAGAATCGACTCTTTCAACCACCATAAGACGACTCGAGCTCGTGGCTGATCAGCAGTTTGTTTTGTTAATCTGTATGCAAACACACCGAGAGACAACTCCCCTGGGTTCCTCGATGTCGGGGACTCGCGGTCCCGTGCATCGTCGTGCAGATAGCCGCCTCGCATTGCACTGATAGCACCCAGCTCTGAGATACCCCCAACCCATCAAGCCGTGTCAATCAGCCAGGCTCGAGGTGGCAATCACCTTCGTGCTCGTGCTGGCGGGGTTGGAACGCATACCGCCAAGAGAACCTCCCAAACATGCCGCTCCACCGCCGTCGCAAGCGGACTCGGCCGTGTCATAATATCAAATGTGCGCCTGTGCGACTTTAAGAGGGGCTGCCTTGCCTTGCAGATTGCACCTCGGGTCTCCCCCAGCGTGACGAGAGGGAGGCTCTTTGAGAATAGGCCATCCTGGAAATACTGCATCGTCATGCGAATCCGAAAACCTTGCAACTGTTCGGCGGGTCTGCTCTTTTTCTGTATGGGGAAAACCCACACCATACTTCAACCTTTACCTGAATTCTCTAGCAGTAGTAGTATTTATCAAGAGCGGCACCGAAGCTCCAAGCAGAAAATGACCTCGGCGTTATCACGTCGGGGCGGCGGGGAAGAATTGTCGATCGCAACGGGCAATCTCCCGAGACTCCCGAGATTCCCGACAGTCCTGGCCTCCGGAAATGCAACGTCGGCAAACGCTTTTGGGGGCCCTTGACGCATTGTGCTTGGCCGAGTTGTAAAAGTCAAAGGCAACGCAGGTGGACTTGCCGAAGCGCCGTCTCCTTTGATGCAACTTGACGCGGATGCTTGCAGCCGTTTCTGTCTTGCGCTGAGACACGAGAGAGAGAGAGCCTCACCGTCCTGGCCCCTCCCGCGACGACTCGAGAGATCGTAAGACCACCCATCTCTCTTCGGCTGGACGGCCGTCGTTTGGGCGGTTCGGAAACGCAGGTAAACGCAAACAGCCGGCGACCTGCGCGGCGCCAACCCTGTTTCCGCACCTGGACATCGAGGCCCGGAAGGATAATGGCAATACTGCCTTCTCCGTCATCAGATGAATGTCGCACATTTCTCCGAAAATGAACGGCCTCGGCGCCCTTGCGTCTTTACCGTTATATTGTCCGGCGTCACTTGCTGAAAGCTGCACGTCAAAAAGTCGTACCACACGCACACACATAGCATGCGCGAAGGCTCGGAAGGCAGCCGATGCATGTCTCGGTCTTCTGTGATGCTCGTGTCCCTGGATGCCAAGTCCTCGGTGCGTCTGGGCTGGGCTGAGACGCCCGGTGTCTCCGGCGTGACGCGCGGAAACGGTGATGAGATTGTTCGCCTTGTGTCTGTCGCTCCCGGTCCGGCGAAACAGAACCATACTGACGGTTGCCGGTGCGCCGGCTGCATTTGAGAGCCGTGCATCACGTCTTTCTCCTATCGAACTATAAGTCGTTTTGGCCTCGAAATTCCGAGTACAGCGAGATGAAAATCCGGTGTTATACAACACAAACTATGTGCTTCTGATATCGTTATGGACTATATCAATAATTCCTATTCAAGATCTCATCAAGATTTCAGAATATTATCTGCTCCGTATATTGAACTGAAAATGCGACCAAGTCTCAACTCGATAGCTAAACATTTCAATGTTAATATTGTGTTCCCCTTTAAGTAACTATATATAACTATATGTCGGGAGGACTATAGATGAGGTTGATGCATCAACAAGACTGTTCTCAGAAGGCATATATGAGGCATGAATTCTCTAAGTCTAGCTGGCTGAATGTGGCCAGTTATATCGACCTTCTGGCTGCTGACTCATGCGTACGAATCATGCTGAATGCTATTCCAACACTATATATATACATAATGAGCCTCAGGTGTATCTAATGGCTCTTTAAAAGAAAAGCTGTAGTATAAACCAAGGGTGGAGTATCTGCATTTAAATCAAATCCGTCAGTGACAAACACGCTTCGCATTGCTTCGAACAAAAATTAACCGCTTCTGAGGTCTTGTCCCAGACCGATTCGAGGCTTCAAGCCGGTCAATCATGATCCCTCTTCATGGCACTCTTCACTGCGTTCTCGACGGCGGATGGGAGGTCGAGGTGGAAAAACGGCCTGCTGATCCCACTGACTGCACCAAGGTGTGCGCCCACGCTCTCTTTGGGACCAAAGCCGCCTTCCTCCAGCGAGGAACATGAAATTCCCTCAGAGTCGCTGGCGCCACATGCCGTTGTTACCCCAACCCGTCCTTTACAGAGCGCGGGCGGCCGGCCCGCCAAGTCCGCCAGGCTGAACACCGGCTGGAACCCGCCCAGGCGGCCCGCCGTCGGGCATCCGAACCCGGAGACCGCGAGAGCGCGCCGGGTCCAGCGGCTGTGCAGGCCCGCGAAGTGCCACTCGACGGGCTCGGGCGCCGCCCATCGGTCGAGCTGGTTGCGGAGGTCGACGAGGCCCTCGACGGCGCCTGAGTCCATGGTGTTGACGGCGGAGCAGTCCAGGACGATCGCTCGGAGCAGCGGCTTGGACGTTGCCGGGGACTCCGTGTCGGTCTCGACCGCCGGCGCCGGCGGCGGCGGGGCCTCGTTCCAGGGGCGATCGCCCGGGTGATCGTAGCGCGGCGGCGTGGTCCGTCTGGTGGCGCGGGTGACGTGCTCGAGCAAGCGGTCTATGTACTGTGCTTGGTTGAGGTAGTTGAAGCCCTCGGTGAACCGGTAGATGAAGACGCCCGGGTGCAGCTCGTTGACCCGCACTGCCGGGTTGGTGCCGTCCTTGCGATCTAGGGGGAGAAAGACGTCGTGTGTCGGGGGATGAGCCGTCCAAGACGCCGTCCTGCTACGCGAGAGGGTCTGCGAGCTGCTGACGGAATATTTGTCCGAGACCACGTGACCGGGAGCGGCGGCGGCGTCGGCGTGCTCCGGGTGACGATGGACGCGCACCCGGCCCAGGAAGCGGCCCTTGGACCGCGCGAGGCGGAGCAGGAGCAAAGCCGCAGAGAGGGCGACGGTGACGTAGATACCGTTTTCGAGTGTGGTGAAGAGGGAGACGAAGACGCCGGCGAAGTAGATGAAGACGTCGGGCGGCGACATGAGCCACGACTTGAAGACGTGGTCGGGCGAGGTGACGAGGTTGCTGACGGCGTGGACGATGAGCGCCGCCAGGCTGGCCATGGGGATGTAGTAGAGCACCGAGGTCAGGGCGTAGAGGGCGAGGAGCAGGATGGCGGCGTTGAAGAGGCCGGCCAGAGGCGTCCTCACGCCGGCCTTGGAGAGGACGGCGGTGCCGCCGAAGGAGCCGGTCGAGGCGTAGGCGCCGAGGAAGGGGCCGAAGAGGTTGGCGCAGCCGACGGAGATGAGCTCCTGCGACGGCTGGACGGTGTAGTTGTTGGCGCGGCCGAAGGACTTGCCGATGGCGATGTGCTCGATCACGATGATGACGACGGTGGTGGGGAGGTCCGGCAGGAGGGCCGAGACCAGCTTCGGGTCCAGGCTGGGCGGGCCGGCGTGGGTGAGGCCCCGGGGCAGGGTGCCGGTGACGCGGAACCGGAGGTCTTTGCTCTCCAGCCCCCTGTTCACCAGGAAGCTGACGAGGGTGTAGAGCACGATGGTGAAGGTCATGCGCAGGGAGCCCAGCATCTCCCACGCGCGCCTGCGTCTCGGCTGCGCCCTCGCCATGCGCTCGCAGTACCACTTGACGGCGGCCAACAGCGCCAACGCCGTCAAGCCGACGGCGGCATCGAGCTTGATGCGGGGCAGGCCCCGGGCGGTGTCGATGAAGACGCGGTACGCCGCGGCCTTTGAGTTGACGCCGTCGATGCCGAGGAGCGAGGGGATCTGGCTGAGGGTGATTGTGATGGCGGCGGCGGTGACGAAGGCCGAGATGGCGACGTGCGGGATGAACTCGACGACCCAGTCGAGGCGGAGCAGGCCGAAGGCGAGGAGGACGGCGCCGGCCAGGAAGGCGAGGGTCTTGGAGATCTCCTCTGGCTGGAACTCGCCCGGGTGTTCTTCGAGGACTTTGGCGCTGACCTTTCCGACGAGGAGGGAGACGACTGCTGTTGCCTGGGGGGGTCATTGTTGGGATATACTGCGTGACTGGGATGGAGAGACCCAGAGGACTTACGCCTACGGCCATGTCTTTTGACGTGCCAAAGATCCAGTAGAGAGCTGCGCCGCTGAAGGATGTGTAAAGACCGTATTCGGGGCTGAGGCGTGCCAGAAGAGCGTAGGCCACGGCTTGTGGGACAGCCAGGAGCCCGAGAGTGACGCCTCGACGATGTTAGTGGCGAAAGCTTCGGCCGTGGTTCGTGGGGGGCAATGAGACTTGAACTCACCAGCGATAGCATCAGAGACGAGCCAGCGAGTGTTGTATCTGAAGATCCACGTCGTGAACGGAAATAGGCTTTTGACATAGCGAACTGATCCCTCCTTTGTGGGAACATGCTCCAACAGCCACTCTTTGACGGTCGGGTCCTCCTCGTAATAGGGTTCGTGAGGTGAGATGGCCTGGGCGACATGCTCGTGTACTTCTCTTGTCTGATGGCGAGCGCTGGCCTCGAGCTCTATACCGAGTATCTTGGCCAACATCGCGCCGGATTTGCCAGCCGCCATGTTCACTAAGCTCTACTGTGTGGTCCGATGCAGCGTCCAAGTCGAAGGTTCGTTCGAAAAGACGGAATATGTTGCTCCCAATACGAGGAGCTGTCACTTGCCGCAAATAGAATAGCAAAGCGGGAACAGGTCGTCGCTTTTCGGATGATAAAAGAAAAGAAAACAAAACCCTAAGAAAAACTGCAAGCGGTGTACCGAACCCAGTGAGTCCGACCCATGGAGCTGATAATGGGATGGATCAGCGGCTATCTGAAGGCAAACATCCCTCGAGAAGCCGCACCGCCAACCGCGGCACCCGACTGATCGGGAGCCCTAGTTGGAGCTAACTTGACGGCAGGACGGGGGACAAGACCCCATTTGCTATGGGTCTCGAGACGGCGACCCAGGCTGGTTGACTCGTAGGCTCCCTGGATGCATGTCGAGGATGCCCGGCGAGGTCTGGCTCTCGCCGTCCCGGACGCTTTGGCATCGGCAATAAGGACTATCTATATGCCACCCGGGCGGAACGTGAAAACGTACACAAAAGAACAGCTTCGACGCTTTCGCTTCCTGAACGCTATCGCGGCCAACACACAAGGTAGCATGGATATATCGCTGGGTGGGAGAGCGGCACAAGATGCCCCCCCCCCCCCCCCGTGTGATGCCGAGCTGGCTAGGCCCTTGGGCGACCAACATGATGCCTCTAGTGCCCTAGGAGTGGATCGTGGATAGCGGAGAAGGACTTGGCATGCGTCGTCGGCGGACGTGGGCGATGCGGGCGAAAGCTCTGCGACCCGCATCATCTTGACGGTGTGCAGTTGTTCGTCCCCGGCCGACAGCCGTCCGGGCGATGGTTCAGGCAGGGGGCGGGTGTCGGCCCTCGGCGCGCGGGATCCACGACCGGCCCCGTTTGTCGGGGACATACCACTATGGGGATGACGATTCCCTTGTCGTCGTCGAGCATTTTCAAGGCGAAGAGACTAGGCGCGTGTACACGCGGTGTTGTGCATCTCTTTTGCGGGAGGGGCGGGTCTGACGACGAGCGATTCGACGCCGTTACCGTTACACGTCCCGACCATGTTTCCAGTCCGGGCTGTAAGGTGCCGCGAGGGCCCGTTCTCACGTTGCCGGGTGTAGAGAGAAGAAGAAGGGATAACAGATAACGGCCAATGGCACCTTGCGGCACTCGGTCTTTCCCGAGGCGGCTTGTGCTCAATCGCGGCGGCACCCTGGCTGCATCGTCGGTGGCACCGGTAGCCGGCAGAGTCATGGATTGGCTGTGGCGAGCATATCGGACACATGAGCGACGGCTCGCTTCGTTAGTAGGAATGGCTAGCCGCGCCAGAGCAAGCCATCCGCTCCCGCTCGACCTGACATGGTCATTCTGGCATGAAATAGTTGTGGTGCAGATCCGGACGGACCAGAGGTTAGCGTCACGACCACGGGGCAGACAGACATTCATTCAGGCTTAACGCAAAGTGTTTGTGACAGGATGGTGAAAGAAATACAGTACATAGTATGACAGGTGTTCGCAGTCTGGCATCCCCATTCCAGGTTGAAAACAACCTGGCCCCATCGGCTCAATGGTCTAGAGGTATGATTCTCGCTTTGGGTTACGTCAAGCACGCCGACTCTCCTGCGAGAGGCCCCGGGTTCGATCCCCGGTTGAGCCCTTTCTTTTGCCGTTTTGTCAGATGTCATGACGACGCTTGAGAGCGGATCAGGATTGATTCCTAGGCTAGCCAGCACCACCACGTGTTTGTCTGGTTTGGTTTATTTGTCTTTTGCTCCATCGTCATAACGCCGGGTGAAGTGGGTCACGGACGGGGACGGCACGGAGCTTGAGTGGGTCCCAGCAATCGGGGCTGGGCGGGCTGCCCCTGAATAAGCACCATCTCCGTCACAATACACTCATTCGTTGTCTGTACCGTCACCCCAACAATTTTCTTAATCCGAAGTTTGCGCAGGTCTAGCTTTTTCACTTTTGGTTTTTTTTAATTCTTGTTCCGTCAGCTGATGATTACGGCACGTTGCTCGCGGACACGCCGAAGGCCGACTTTCCGTCCACCAAGCATCGGATTGCTGCCAAGGTAGCATAGTATAAGCATCAATATGTATGCTGCCATGTGCACTGCGCCGCACGACCTGAACCGTCAGCCCTGCGTCCTTGCGCGGGAGCTACGTAGGGTCTCTGTCAGTTTCAAGGGGCTGACGTCCGGGGCCTGCGGACGGTCTTTTCGGGGAGCTGGGCTAGCCGGCCGGAGAGGCTACTCCGCGCATGCTCCAAAGAAGAAGAAGAAGTGTCAAATCATTCTCCATCATCGGCTCAGTATTCCCCCGTATCAGTATAAACGCGTCGAGACAATGACAACGCCATGACAGTCGCGATATAAACTCGCCATTTTTCGAGCCGAGGTCCCGAAGGCATCCTTGCCCCACGCAAGTCGCAACCGATCGCACGGCTCGCTCTGCCACGTTCTCCCCTGGAGAGCAATACGAACGTCCGTGGGCCACGACACGTTCTCGGCGCCGCGACTTGGCAGTCCATGTTACTACAACAGCATGCAGCCCTCCACCTTAAAAAAAGCAGGAAATGCGTCATACCGCGCCCCCCTTGTCGGATTGGCCAAAAGGGCGCGCGCGCCTGCTGTCCAGAGCCGCACTTTGTACTTCGCGGTATTCACCCGGTCATCTCTCGAGATGTTGGAATCTGCCAGCGCTGCCGCACCTCACATGATCCTCCAAGGCATCTCGCTCCACCACTCGCCCTTTTGAGACAGAAAGAAGGAAGAAATAGCTGGCTGCAATCGCCAGCACGGCTTCGGCGGTCCTCCAGCCGAACCGCTCGCTCGAGGTCACCGGCGTTCCGCGTCGAGAGCTTGGCGGTGCTACCAGTAGCCGAGGCCACCGCGGGCATGGCCGACATATCTTGGTTCCTGCGGGAGCAGCTAGCTTTCGGGATACGTGCTGACCGCTTAACGTTTGTCTAACTCCGGACGACGGTAAGCGCAAGGTTCTTGAACTCTTTACCCCTGGACCCATCCTGATCCTATGCCCTTCCCCGAGTCATCTGAGCCACAGCCCACAGGTCGCATCCAGACCTCCCCAGGCTCCGGTCATGTTCGGCTTCGAACTGTTTGGGCTGGGAGAACGACAGGGCGGCAGCGGCTTGGGAGACCATATGGCGCCACTCGGGTGGACGCTTTCCGGGTGGACGTTTTCCGGGTGGGTATACGAGATGCAGAGTTTATAGGATTCGGTGACTGACAGAATCCGTATATAGACCGGCCATGTCACTCCAAGCACCGTGTAGGGATTCCCGTCAGGACAATATCGCCCTTCGAACTGTGTCCCTGCTTCTTTGATTCCCAGTCTTCTCGACCTCTTCTAATATGCTCTTGCGGGCTTCTCACTTGGCGGCCACGATGGCGCTTCTGGAGGCGTCGTCGGCCGCCGACTGGATAAGCCCCGAGTACCGATACATCTACCAGTTTCCTATGCCCATCCCGCCGTTGAAGCAGCCCAAGATGTAAGCGTTCCTGGGTGGAGCAAGTGGGCGACGGTGTGGACGAGTGTTGACAGCATGTCAGGTCGATCAACAATCCGGTCACGAACAAACCAATTGACTACTACGAGGTCGACATCATGCCCTTCAAGCAACAGATCTACCCTGACAGAGGGCCGGCCTCCCTGGTTGGCTACGACGGAATGTCCCCCGGCCCGACTTTTATGGTTACCAGGGGCCGTGAGGCGGTCGTCAGGTTTACCAACAGGGCCTTTTTGCCGAGTGCTGTGCACCTTCACGGGTCGCCGACTGTAAGTACCGGATCGCTTGACTGCTCTGCGTCACAGAAATATCCCTAACGGGCCCTTATAGAGGGCGCCCTGGGACGGATGGGCCGAGGACAGAATCTTCCCAGGACAATACAAAGACTACTATTACCCCAACAGCGAGAGCGCCCGTTACCTGTGGTACCATGACCACGCCATGGAAATCGTAAGAATTCGGCCCCTCCCCTCCCTTTCTTTCTGAAATCGGGGCCTCGGCTAACAAGGATATGTCGAGACCTCGGTCAACGCCTACTTCGGCCAGGCCGGCGCCTACATCGTTCAGGATCCCGCCGAGGAGGCGCTGGGTCTGCCCAGCGGCTATGGCGTGAGCGACATCCCCCTGATATTGACCTCCAAGCAGTACGGTAGCGACGGCGCCCCGACCTCCCCGGCTCACGAGAGGGAAAACCTCTTTGGTGACGTCGTCCACGTCAACGGCCAGCCGTGGCCCTTCTTCCAGGTCGAGCCCCGCAAGTACCGCCTCCGCTTCCTCAACGCCGCCATCTCCCGGTCCTTCATCCTCTACTTCCAGAGCGAGGCCGGCGAGGCCGAAGTTCCCTTCCAGGTCGTCGCCTCCGACTCCGGTCTCCTCGAAAGCCCCGTAACCGCGAGCACGCTCGCCATTTCCGTGGCGGAGCGGTGGGAGGTGGTCTTCGACTTCTCCCAGCACGCGGGGCGGAACGTCACGCTCCTGAGCCAGAGACAGGTCGGAGAAGACAAGGACTACGGTCCCACCGACCAGGTCATGCGCTTCGTGGTCGGGCGGGGCTCCGTGGCCGACAGCTCCGTCGTCCCCGCCAGGCTGCGCGACGTCCCCTTCCCGCCGTCCAAGGGCGGCGGCGTCGACCGCCGTTTCCTGTTCCACCAGCAGAACGGCCAGTGGAAGATCAACGGCGTCGGCTTCAGCGACGTCGAGCACCGCGTCCTCGCCAAGGTGCCCCGCGGCACCGTCGAGATCTGGGAGTTCGAGAACGGCGGCGGCGGCGTGCACCCCATCCACGTGCACCTCGTCGACTTCCGCATCCTCAGCCGCGCCGGGGCGGGGAGCGCCGTCCTCCCGTACGAGGCCGCCGGCCTCAAGGACGTCGTCTGGCTCGGCCCCGGCGAGGTCGTCCGCGTCGAGGCGCACTACGCCCCGTGGGACGGCGTCTACATGTTCCACTGCCACAACATGATCCACGAGGACCACGAGATGATGGCCGCCTTCAACGTGACGTCGCTGGCCGGCTTGGGCTACAGAGAGACCTCGTTCGCCGACCCGATGGACCCCAGGTGGAGAGCCGTGCCCGTCTCGGCCACCGCCTTCAGCACCGACGCCGTCGCCCAAAAGGTCCAGTCCATGGCCGCTCTCCAGCCTTACAATATCGGCAACGAGCCTTGGGAGAAACTCAGCCAGCACGGGTCTGCCAGACGCGGCGCGATGTTGAGTAGGATCAGGGGGACCAGACGTGACGAGTAGTCCACATTTTGGAATCGGGAATGTGGTGAGATATTCATGTATGATGGCGTGCTTGTACTACTGGGAAGGGACACCGCATCTTTACGGCGGCTTTAATCACTTTAAACATTTATCTGTATATAGTACAATTATCGTGTTTCTGTTCCAGGCGCGACATGGATATGAAAAATTAATACATCGAGCCATTGACTATAATAAGTATGGTGGATTTCGGTACGAGGCATCAAAATACCTTTTCCTTTCCTAGCTGAAAGGTGGATATCCCATAATCCTTCTCCATATGCATGACACAAGCTCGACGAAGCCGTGGTAAGGCGCAGAGGAGGCCACCTCAATCTTCGGGAACAGGTCTTACGGCTCGGGAGCAGATATACGTGTACACACTCGCGTGCCCGAACAGAGACAAACATCACAAGCTACTCCTGCATGAGAATTAATCAAACACATCTTTTCCATCGCATCCGGTTTCGGACGGCGGAAATACTCGCCCAAACCAAGAACGGTTTTCGTCCTCTCGAGGCATCCATCAGCGAAAATGCAACTACGTCCACATTGTATACCGATCTGAGGCGCCCCCAATCTCCGGATCCCACGTCTCCGGACCCCCTCCAACCCAGCATCATAGCGACGGTCGACAAGAAGCCGAAAGTAAAGCTTTCAACTATGGGATGGAGAAGCCTGCCCACAGAAATTCCGTTGATGGTTCTAGAACAGGTGGTCTTGCTCGAAGTGCCAAAGCGCCGCGCCAAGATCGGGTCCACGCTGTAGCAGCTGTAGCAGCTGTAGCGAGGCCGAGGGAGTACTGAGTGACAGGATTTCTTCTTCGAGAGGTACAGCTTGTCTTCGCTGCTGCTGTTGTCCATCCATGCCATCGTCCTCTTCAGGAAGCAAGGGATGGGCAGCCGGACGCAGTTCGTCAGTAGGATTCACCTCCACGTAGGCTCGCACAAGTGCAAGTACAGCTCCATGGAACAGAAGGGGCTCCGGCACGAGATGAACTACTGCGACTACCTCTTCGCAGACCGCCTCCTCAGCCTCCGTGCGGCCTCTCCACGTGGGAGACGACGGACGCCGGCCTCAAGCTCGAAATCAGCGCTTCTCCGCCGATCGATATATGCTCTCCTCCCTTGAGTCACCCTCTCACCGCTCCAGTTCCCCTCCTTCCCCTCCCCACTCCCGAAACCGACGATACTGTACAAAAAGTCCTCAAGAGCTTCACCCGACTCGAGGAAGTCTCGTATGAGCCCTGGCGCGTCCCCTGCGAGGAAGACCCGAACGACCGGGACCGCGCGAAGGAGGTCTTGCTGCGGGAGCTTCCCGTGTTGACTTCCAAAGCGTCGAGGCGACTTGGCCGGCTCGACTTCCATGTGTGATCGACTGCGTTGACGGACGCCGTGGGTGTACGGCTTCGGTATCCAACCAAAGTCGAATAATAAAGAGGACTATGGACCATCTGACTGTCGAATACGGGAGTCAAAGTGCTTTTGTACACGTATTTCAAGTGCTGGGTAACTAATACGTGTACGGCTATGCTGGCCAGTAACACATTGCTGAAGAATGAGTGTCCGAATCCCGTGCTTCTGGATATGCCGGGACTGTGATCTAATCCTTCCGGAATAGCTGTTTGGTGTTGATGAGTAGGTAGGCAAGACGTCGACACGCTCACCCCAGCCGCAAAAGATACGATAAGAAACTTTTTGTCTACAAGGAAGAACCACTGGCATTTTTGCTGGTTGGACTCAACCGGCTTGTGTACATTCTTTTGGGTTCGTTACGGGTATTGCATTGACTCATGATATGTATCCTCCAAGGTAGCTATGACGAATATTCTGGTCACTCAAGATGGTGCTCCACCGGGTTTTCTTGCGTAAATAACATGTCTGACAACGAGAGTCAGTCCTTTCCCCGAAAATGCATGCGAAGAAGTCAGAAAGAAAAGGAAAAAGGAATAGAAAACATGGAAAGAAAAAAAAACCCCAAAGAAAAACTCACTGTTTCCAATAGGCGTGTAATCTCGTGTCCTTGACCTCGCGCTTGACTTCCTCGCACAACTCCTCGACGGCTTCGCGGGTCCACCCGTTGACCCTCGTCATCAGCGCCATGGAGAAGCCCTCGAGGCCCATGTCCAGGTTCGCGCAGTTCCAGCGGCCGATCTCCCTCAGCTTCGGGTCTTCGGGCCAGTTGTTGAACGGCCATTTGAAGATCTGGTGGTGGATGCCGACGAAGCCGACGTCTCGGAGATCGCCCAGGCAGTTGGGCGCGTAGTTGAGCGGGCGGCCGATGGCGTCGGAAGCGGCCACGAGTGCGTGCTGCCAGCGGCACAGGGCCGCCGTCGGCGGCACCGTGCCGTCGTCGCAGACCGAAGGGAGCTCCAGGTCTTGGATCTCGAAGTACCCGCCCGGCTCCAGGTTGCTGTGACCAGCGTCAGCTGTGCTCGTGTCGGCAGACGTCAAGGTGAATTGAATGCCCCCGGGCGGATAGAACCAAGGTGCAAGAAACATAAGACATGGTTGACTGCTCACTCAAAAGCCTTCTTGATGATGGACCGGAAATTCGACCAGGCGCCAGCCGCGGAACGGCTGAAAATGTAGTCAAAGGGTTGGTTCCACTGCCAGTCGAGCTCAAGGTCGTCTATCTCGAAACTGCAATTTGCAGGTAATCTCCATGTTAACGCACGTCAGCTAGAGAAGCATGTGCGAATCATTCGATATAGAACGCACAGTTCAGGCTGGATAGCACTTAAGTCCACACCGATGACCTTGGGATATGTCAATTAAAGCGCTGGAAAAAAAAAAAAAGAAAGAAAAAAAAAAAAACCAGGACACCTTACTTCGGCGCCAGGATGTGCGTCAGCTAGTGAGGCGTGTTAGTCGGACGATAGGCGGGCGGCACCGGCTTTGGACGCACCAAATTCGATAGCCCAAATACCAGTCCCTGTGCCTAAATCAAGCACCCTCTTTGCTGTGTGTCGCCCGGGGCTTGTCCCTAGTTCTCCATCTAATGTCAACAGCCAGATGTGGTGCTGAAGATCTAATCCGTGTGAGCGTCTTCAGAGCTGCGTCAAGGGGGGGGCGCACGTGGATTCTGTCCCCACGTACCGTAGCGCGTGAGTTCTTGCTGGAAGAAACTGTCAGATCAACAAGTTTCAAGGGGCCGGTCACAGAAAAATGAATCGGAGAAGGGGGGGGGGAATCTACATCGTCATTCGGATAGGCGTATTCTGTCCGCTCGTTAGTAGGGTGCGTGCACGCTACGACTGCGATTCCGTGGCTGGATGACTCAACTGCCTTGGCTCACGGAGTGGTATGATCTGCCGTTTTCCAACTGGTAATCGACGATGCTTGGCGTTAACGAGAGCAGGTCGGGCTGCCCGGTTCCCTACCGACGGTGAACTGTTAGTCCAGCGGCGGGGGAGGGGAGGGCTACAGCCGATCCCCGGCAGCATACCTCGTCAATCCCCGAGTCACGGTCAGAATCATGGTCAAATTCCATGGCGTCGAAGTCTGCATCTTGCATACAGTCAGCCATATTCCGCCAAGAGTGCTCACGGCAGACCGGGAAACCCATGGCGGGTTCACCTCGTTCTCTGGGCCGCTCAGTACCATCGCTGTCCATCACTTCCCCTGCGCGGCAGCAGCAGCACCAGCACCAGCATCAGCAAGAAACGAGGAAACCGAGCGGCGGGATTTTAGCTCGATCCAAACTCTCGGGTTCGTGGCTTGGGGAATCCAAGTACCGGTAGGTGTGGTGCGGGGGAGGAACAGGTGGGAAGGTCGGGGCAAACGAGAAGACGGGTAATCGAGTTTATTTTGAACAGATTGGGGCTTTCTCGAACCCGGCTAGCAGGGGTATGCTTCACAGTCTGTTGGCATTGGCGATTGTTACACAAGTCAGCAGCTCGCTCATGGAGCTACCTCGTCAAGTATAGGCCGGAATGAAAGTCCATATTGCGAGGTTTTTTGCCTACATGAAGTAAATCAAGTTGTGCATACCGCCGATACCGGCTTTCTACAAGAGGCCTTTGTAATTCCCAAGTTGATAAACCGTTGTCGTCAGCGGCTGTTTCGCATGCCACAGGGCCGCCCCTATCGAGCCATATCTGCAACGCATGTATGTGTCCGGCTCATGAAACCCTTTTGGCCTTGGTGTAGTAGGTAAACGGACCTATCCCTTTGGCATGTTACACCTTCTCGGGTCAACTTGACACCAAGCCGTCAACCCTCGGCGGCGGCGGCCGTGTTGTATTGTCTGTCGCCTGACAAGAACGCCGTGCAAGCCCTCTCAACTCCGCATGGTTCCTCGCTTCCGCCACCCCCCCGAAACCGGCCTATAAGTGCAGTGCGCTCGTCACGGGTAGCGCCTACGCCACGAGTCCCACCAGCTTCCGTCCAGTCATCGGGCCCGCCGCACTACTCGTGTGTAGCCCGACGATCCCATGTTCCATCCCGTGCCGGCCCAGACACGAGGTGAACTCGCTGTCGGCCGGCAGCTCGCACCAGTAGTTGTATTATGTAGGTAGCATAACCAAGAGCTGAGGCTTGTTTGAGAGGCTGTCGGCCAATGGCATTGAAAGGCTCTTTTCGGTACCAGCCCAGGCTACTCTTCGTCTGATCAGCGGGTGCGAACCGAAGAGCCCCCCCTCTTCTCAACTGGCGCCGCAAGGGGGTGGCGGTGACGGAGACTTTTCGTCTTGAAATTCTGCACCCTAAACGGACACCACGTTGGCGGTGACAAGGGGAGGGGGCAGCCGAGTCAGCTCAGGGGTGTTTTATTGTATGAGAGAACGACAGGCACTATCGGCATATAGACATGATACATATACTCATGTTCCAGTCAATCTTCCACAGACGGACACCAAAGGTGTTGTGAATTGTCTGGCCGATTGGCCCACCCAGGCCCTTCATGAATCCCGCCTATCTCACATACCGAAGCGATCTTGAGTGCCAATGTCTTCCCGCTTCCTCAACGACGGTTCCACATGTGGAAGTCTGTCCAACCCGGCCGGTTGGCCCAATGGCAAGGCGTCTGACTACGACTCCCGGATCTCCAACTCGAGATCGGAGGTTATGCAATCAGGAGATTCTGGGTTCGACCCCCAGGCTGGTCAAAATCTTTTGCATGTATATGCTTTACATGCCATACTTTTTTTGGCTTACTCATTGTTTGTGTTCCATATCGCTAAAGCTGGGTTTTTACTGCGTATCCGACGTGTTTGTTACGATGTAATATTATTCTAGCACCTAGCGTATAACTATACTTGCAGTAAAGAACGCCGAAATTAAATAAAGTACTCTTTCCCCCTGCACTACTTACTAAACGCATGACTTACTTGAGATAATGGATCAGGAAATATAGTATGGTATGGCGTAGAGCCGTTGTTAGGACATGATTAGCATGGGTTCTCTGTACTATATATAGAGTTCCACTCTATTAGAACTTTTCGACAGCGAACTGTCAACATTCATTCAATGCAAATCATCTAAGCCAAAAGAGCACAAGGAAGTATTACATAGATTATCGGATACTATACGCAGGCGGGGGTATCTTCTCACTAACTTTCCAATCTCATAGACATCCGGAACTATCTTTGAGGGTCGCAAGCCCAAGCGTAGACGGACGGGGGACACTCAGCATACGTTCATTGCCCTCGCGTTCAAGTCCTATCGTCGGGGGTGACAGGGTACTTGTCATCGCCGTAGGTAGAATTCAATGTCACCGAGCCCACAACGTCGCCGGATTCCAACCGGATGGAAGTGTCGAGCTCGCCCCTGGCCAGCATGTCCCGCGTCAAAACGAGCTGCCTCGAACCGCGAATCCACGTGCCGTACCCGCCGTAGCCGGTGCGCTGGCCGAAACACAGGTTCACGCCCTTGCCGTCAACCGCGACGTCGCCGACCTTGCCTTTCCACTTGGTGCACCAACTGTTGCCGTGGTCGTGGCCGCTGAAGACGCCAGTCATCCCGGGGCTCTCGGCGACCGCCTGCATGAACGCGACGTCCTGGCCGCCGTAGTCGCAGCTGTTCTTCTGGCTGCCGTCTTTGCACCAGCCCTCGGCCTGGTGTGACAGCGGGCTGTCGTCGTTGATGCCGGGGTTCTTCTCTGGGTCGATCCCTCGCGATTGGATGGCCTTGGAGGCTTTGGGCGGGATGTGCACAAAGGCGACGCCGGGAATGTCCTTGTTATGCTGCTTGTTGAGGTCCGAGTTCTTCGACTTGAACCAGTCGACCACGCTCTCGTCCACCCAGTTTTGCTGTCCGACCAACGCCGTAGAGCCGTCGGGCTTGGTCTGCATGTACTGAAAGCCGCCTCTGCTGTCGAAGAACCAGAGAATCACCTCGGGCGTGCAATCGTCCTTGACGCAGTCGGAGGCGTAGACCGGGAGGTAATAGTTGGAGACGCCCGAGTTGCCGTCGGAGAGCATCCTTTGCGTACGGGAGTTGGGCCATTGTTTCTCTCTCGCAAGAATGTCGCTTCCTGTCAAGTTCAGTTGGTAGTCGTGGTTGCCATAGGTGCTGGCCCAGGGGAGGCCGCGGTCGACCATTGGTTTGACAAGCTGGTCGAGGACAAACGTGGCGTTTTCCAAGTATGCGTTGTCGCCGGTAATCAGGTCGCCGTTCAACACCACCAGGTCCGGCTTGGCATCATCGAGCACCTTGTTGATAACTTTGACAGTCTTGACGTCCGCCGCAGGTCCCCATGCCTCCCAGGCATCTACAAAGACGTATTGTCAGTATCGAGTCCCATCTGGGTCGGAACCGCCCCCGAGAAAGTGACACTCTTACTCTCTCCAAAGTGAAGGTCCTCAAAGATGGATATTTTGAAAGTGCCATCGTTGCTAAAGCTCAACGGCCCTGAAGCTTTGTTATTGCTCTGCCGCCGACACAATGCCGGAAACTGGTCTGAAAGCCCCGTTATAGAGACCGCAAGCATGCAAAATCTGGCTACAACTTCGGCTGCCATTTTTTATATAGAAGCACTATGGAGCGTATTGCAGATCCAACGCGTAGCACTCAACTGTTTTTTCTCAAGTAACGCGCACTTATATACGAAGCCATCATCCGAAGTCCAACAGTGGCTCAGCCGATGCGCTTTGGGACATCGTTTCATGACTGCGTCTAAGAGACTGCAGAACACAGTGAACGTGCACTTTCACGTAGGGAAGATAGGGATATAGAGGATTTCCACTTATCGTCGCGAGTTATGGAAAAGAATATGGACAAGCAACCGACGCAAGCGGCAAAGATAGGATCGACGTAAATGCCAACGGGGCTCTGCAAAACGAGAAGCTAGCTAGCTGTTTGGCGGCAGCCGGGGCATCGCTTACGCATCGCCTATTACTCCATGTCAAGACGCACGCTAGGCCAGAGAACTCGAATCATCTGTGCGGTGATCACGGGCCATGCTCTGTCATTCTTCTAGTATTTGATGGCTGCGCCCGGATGGGGGCTCATGTTGCTTCCCCCAGCAGTAATTAAAGTTGTTCACTGATGAGCGTGACACCAGAAGGAAGTGGTGCATCAATTGAATATTGTGTGACGTATTTGATCTGGCTCCCTGCAAAGCTTTGGGTGTGGACTGATATGTTCAAGTGCTACCATGGATCCATTGCCACATGCTTTGAGAGTCTTACACAGCATCTGTCGTCTGGCTTCCTACTTTCTTCTCCAAGTTTAACATGGTGAATGCCAAGCTGGACAAGGTGTATGTGAGTATGAGAGAACATCGCCTTCGACATGGTAAACTATATGCCTGCGAATATGGGGGAAGGTCGTTATCTCTGGTAACTCATCATCATAACCCTTAGTTACCCGTCGGATGTATGCCCTGCTGTAACTGAGATTGTCCCAAGCAACCTGGGCGCCAGATGTAGTCGATGTGTACTCATTGCCCGGCTCAGAACAAGTCCTATGGATCAAACTTATTACCACAGTTGGAAAGAAGAATGCAAGAGTTTGATAAATTGGATCTCGAATTGCAGACAGATACCTCAACCCTAGATACCTGAGTGCCACCTATCTACAAACTATCTGCACATCCAGGTCTGGTCGAAGTAGTGTTCTTGAAGTATGCAGTCAGAATAATATTCAGTGCAACTCAGAAAACCCAGCGACAATGCTGCTCAGGGCCGAAAGTTACTGCGTCATGGAATTTTATGCCTATTAGCCAAAAAGCACGAATTTGGGCTGTCAAGAGCCAAATATGAGTCTAGTTTTGGCTGTATAATACCGACTTGAAGCCATGCTGTTACGCTGTTCCGCATCAGCTAGAACTGAACTAACTTGGTATCCGTTGCAACATCGAGATAGGATTCGGTTGAATTGGTGATTTTCCTGACGGATCTTCAAACCTGAGGCTTGGAAGAAGCCAGCTAGTCTCTCGCGTCACCTGATCAACCTAGTGCTTATGACCAATGCTGACAGCATCCGATATAATAAGCCGTCTATCGAAAATCTTGTCCCGAACGTCCCGGAGACAACCAAGACGGAGGAAGATGCGTTTCTCATCTTATACCAAAGCAGGTGGCATCTTCGCCTTTATGGCGCAGGCTACCCCAACAGCGCCGGAGAAATCATGTCCGGTTGAGAAGCGCACGACGCAAGAGGTCATCGATAAGCTCGGCTTGATCCCAAACGAAGAGAAGGGATGTTTCATAGAATCTTTTAGGGACCCGGAAGCGAGTAACAATCGATCCCTTAGCACGGCCATCTACTACCTCCTGGAAGGTTCTGCCGGCCCCTCGATTTGGCACCGCGTCGACGCCGCCGAGGTGTGGCACTACTACGCAGGAGCACCTCTTACTCTCTCTCTGTCCCACGATGATGGAGAGCCACTGAAGAATGTCATGCTCGGGCCCGATATTTTCGGAGATCAGCGGCCGCAGATAGTGATCGCAAAGGACCAGTGGCAGAGGGCACACAGCCATGGATCTTGGACTCTGGTCGGAACTACTGGTAAGGAGATAGAATCTTCTGTTTACGTGTATCGAAGAGACTGATAAAGGTTTGCAGTTGCCCCTGGCTTTATACCGGAGGGCGTTGAACTGGCAGGCCCAAACTGGATGCCAAACGGGGCATGAAGTTGAGCTTCAACAGTACTAGTGCAGATGTTGCATGATAGAGCCAAGGAAAAGCGGCTTCTTCTGCAAGGGTCCACAGCAAGGAATAGTCGTAGTCGGCCAGCGAGGTGAGCCTGACGTTCGTGCGAGACATGAACCGGCAGAGATGATGGATGCTGGCAGCATGCGACCAAGCAAAGGAACATGTCAAGGGTATTTACATATGGCCTGAGGAATGCTTGATTTCTAGATTTGTTAATCAATATTCACAAGTCACCATAAAGCTTGGCATCGGCTTCTAGTCAAATGATCGTGCTCTAAGAGACTCCGTTATTTTTGGAGGCGCGGCGAGTCTACTCACAGATCGTCGACACAATCGACAGCACGTGGCGCAAACGCTCCCAACCCGAGAAAGATTTCAATACATTTAAAGTTTGTCGCGACATGTTCTTCATGGAAGACACTGAATTGACAATCCTGTAATTCCGCATCGCACACGCATTGAGATTAGCCATAAATGCACGGCTCATGAGCTAAAATAGAAAGCCAAGTATTATCTCTATGACCACTAAGAACAGGCATCTAAAGAACCGCCAGTGCTACCCATGTTGATTCGGCGACTCCGTAAGTTGAGGATGCATGTAAGTGTTTTGAATTGATTGGGCTCGGAGACTGTTGTACATCGAGAAGCGTCATAGTAACAGAGTTCGGTGGCGGCCTTTCAACGCAATGGCCATCATCACAATGAAATTGTTTGGTCATGCAAAGCTCGATATCCGGCTAAAGTATTCAATCCTCGATATTGACTAAAAAAAATAGGGTATTCTAAGTTTTATTATCTCATCCCATTCATAACTCATCCCACGCAGCTAACCCATGCAGCCATTATTTCCCGCGTATCCATCTGAATAGATCGCCCTTTATCCTATGTCGCACGTGCTGGTTGAAGCCGTAGGTGATGGCGTTTGCGAAGCCAATGTACTGACTTGAGCTTTGCAATGCTTGCAGAACCCTGCTTTGCGAGCTGTTTCCCGACGCCTCCAATAATCTGTTGACGAGGCCGGGGATCCAGAGCACCACATACATGATCGGGTACGCGTTGAGAAACATCATACGCTTGATTTCGCGCTCGACCCTTCTCGTTCCTCTCCGGGCGGGAAAGTCGCTCATCATCGTGACGGTCACGTTTGGATACGCCGGCTTGCTCTGTCCGTCTTGGAGGCCGGGGCTCAGAGGGAAATCTCGCGAGCGAAGATCTTGAGGGGCCGGTAGATGCCACGATACAGTAGAGTCTCTGCTTGTGTTGAGCTTGTTGCTGGGGCCGAAACTGAATGAACTCTTGCCGTAGCGAGAAAATCGTGTTGCCACGGGAGGCGGCATGTCTTGGTGGAGATGAGATGGCCCGCCGGCAGCACTTCGGTACAGTTTGTCCTCCTGCTCCAAATACGAGAACCTCGCCTCGGAGGCTTGGGTCATATCAAGGTCGTTATTATCGAAACGCGAGATTCTTGATGACATCTTTCGTTTCGGCTCTTCTTCCGGTTTGTCGTCAAGGAAGTGCATGGTTCCAGCTGAAACTGACGGCCTCGTATGACGCCCCGCCTTATCATCTTCGTTGCTGACAACGCTAAGTTTTCTGAATGCTTGAGCTGGAGAATGTGGAATCGTCGGGGTCCGTGGGGTAAGTGGTGGTTCGTTGACGAGCGGTTTCAGTCGTTCAAACTCGTCCATCTCCAAATCTGGCCCTTGAATAACCTTGAAACCCTGCTTCTTGCGGATTGTCGACGTAACAGCGTTGCTGGTCGAGTTGCCGCTATCGTATATCCCCTCGGATGTAGACACCATGGAACGGAAGTGTCGGCCGAGGAACCACCAAACATACATATAGATAATGATCGTGGTAAAGATTATCCCGAAACGCCAGCCGTGAGCCAATCCGTATCGAAGATCGGTTCGGTCTTGTGTTATCCAGCACCAGTTCCCACTGACGGGCTTTATAGTGTCCATTACGGTCGCTGTTACGCTCGTGGTAATGGGAACAATCCAAATAGAGAGGCAGATGATGACCTTTCTGAAGGTTGACGAATCCGGCATATATGTCTTTCGAGTAATTGTGAGGAAGGTAACCACGGCGATGGCGAGTATGGAGAAATCAGATGCCTGTACCGAGAGCTGGCCGATCATCCCGTTCATTATACATGCTGGTCCGGGCCGTAGTTCTTTGTTCTTTATGTAGATGATGCCGGATATGCTGTTGTCAAGAGAGTTTATGAACTCTTTCGACGGTTGTTAGCTCGACACTTACCAGAAGACACTGAGGAGAGGCTTACCCGCCAACGTCAGATTCAGAACGAGGGCATGACGAAATGAACGTTGTTGGTCATGGTAGAAAATGAAAGATATTAAGACACCTGATGTTGCTAGGAATGACAGAAGACTACCCGTGAGGGTGACGGCTGCGACTCCCGCATCAAAAACCATTGTGTGAACCCGCACGCCAGTGATGTTGGTTGGTAGCACGCGGCGACCTCGTGGTCGAGGAGGGGGGGGGATGGGCCACATCTTGTACCACAGTATGTACGAAGTACCAAAGCTGTCCACTCGGCCCCCAGAACATGAACTGACCAGTGTTGGCGTCCGTAACATGGCCGGCGTCACAGGGATGATGTGCGAGTCATGGAGTTCTTGAGTCCTTGCAGAGCGTGGGTCTCCCTACCTTGTGCATTCTATTTAGGTACTGCGCGATTAGCGTCCGTGATGCCATCGGCACCTGGCCAGGCTGGACCATAAAGTCAGATTATATTGCAGTGGTTACCCCCAAAAATGCCTCCCGAAGATGACAAGATGCCACGACTAACATTGGCATAAAAGAGATGCACTACCCGACTTTCCTGATAGAATTGCAACTGAGGCGGATAGCACGCATCGGAGATTTACGAGATGTCACTCAGGTGTCGAGCCTTGATATGGAACAGCCCTCTTCCAGAAGAGAGAACGAGAGAGGGAGAAAGTGGGAGTGAGAGGGTGCTAAGGGATGAAATCCCATGCGTATTAAGACAGGGTCTCCTGCGTTAACACTTGGCATTTTGCAACAACGCGGCCCCCGGCACTCTACCCCACTGTATCGCCCAAGGCCCATAGACATGGCTGTGCTGCACGTGGGATGTGTGTCAGATTCCAGGATCGGTAGCAGACGCAATCCGACCGAGCCGGGCAGACGTGTGCAGAGATGTAAGGATGTCGACTGAATTGGCCCTGTTCGAGTATCATTCGTGTGCCTTAAGGCGGGACCGCCTTGGATACATATCCCAGTGCCGACTGAACTGTCGTCCGAAGTCCGTGGAGCGCGTCTATCGTTAAGTTACCAAGCTTTGGGACCTTCATGTTGGACAGGATCCCCTCGCTTTGCAAGGGCTGCTTGGGTTTGGAGATTCTTCGGATGCTTTGACACCGGCCATGCGGTCAGACCGCCCGCGTATTGAAGGTACATTTGAGCTCGGTCACGCACTCGATGATTGTTGCACTGCAAAGCCGGTGGACGGTGGCCTGCCGTGAAGACATGTGGTGTCCCGCCGGACCATCCGCAATGGGTCACTTGGCGTATGTCTGAGCTCGGGGCCCCGATGAGCCTCGGTCGTAGACTTTGTCATCGTTGCACTGCAAGGCTGGTCGGCGGCGACGTGCCGTAAACATAGTAGTAGATCGTGCCACGCCGAGGCTTGCCTGATGTGGCGGAAGAAACCCAAATATTCAGAGCATGTGGAGAGATGCTACTTCAACGGCGGGGGGGCGACAACGGCTCAATCCCTGAATATCGACAAGAATCCCCTTGCTTGTCTACAAGCACAGGATAAGGTTGCTGATTAAGGCTAGGTCCAGAAAGCGAAAAGCAGACACTCGCAGCGAAGAGTCCACCTATGGAGTCTACACTCGGACACTTTTGTCCCAAGCCAGACTTTGAGCCTGAACGAAGGAGAGTCTCTGGTGGACTGCAAATGGATCAGCGTCTCAATGGCCGCCAGTGTTGCTTCGTACCCGTAGAAAACGCACGACCTCCAACCATGTCCATGGTAATAACATTGACTGCCTATCCATGCAAGCAGTCGTTCGTTCCACCGTCGTCGACGAATAGAAAGCAAGAGTTCCGGGCCCTGCTCATGCGCTTTTCCACTGGCGGAGGTCCTCATCCTTTCCTCCGCATCGATAAGCAGGTTCCCGCTCTGCATGTCACTTCGGCTGCAACGATGATGCTTTTATTTCCATCCACTATAGCCAGACGCGCGGGACCCGAAGCAAGCCAAAACCCAGCCGACAAGCCCGTTTCCTGCCGACAGGACTGCCAAAGGCGCTTGGCGCTCATTACTAACTACTCCTAATCTAGTTGGCCTCATGCTAATGTAACCACAAGGTTTGGCTCGGAAGAAGAAGAAGAAGAAGAAAAAAACCGCACGATCTGAATTGTCAGCAGATTCCACTATTGGGCTCGTGCGCACAATCCGAGGTGAAAACTCGAAAGGCCGTTTTGTCCGTTATGGAGAGACCACCATCGCTCTGGACCGCGATCACGAATCGCAAGGAAGCAATCGACAGAGGGGCGAGAATACTGCGGGGAAAAGCACAAAGCACCCCGTGTGACAGGCTCGGCGGGCTGCGCTGAAGGTCCCGCATATTTCATGAGTCGCCGGAGTATGGGATATCACCCGACTGCCGAGCCGAAACAAGCGACTCGTCAAGCATTACCGCTGCTGGAACAACCAACATCGGAGGCTGTGGCTGTGGCTGTGGGAAAAGCGGCGGCCTGGTATCCGTCACAGCCCCCTGAAATGAGGGTAGGACTTCCACATCTGGATACAGTCTGCTTCACAAGGCCTCACCCTCACTTTGTGTATTGTTGATGAGTGTTACAGTGTTGAAGATCAATCATATACGCCTCCTTGTTCATAATGATGGCGAGCGTGGCATCGCACAGAGTGATCAGAATGCCAAACCCTGAATACGTATTGATCATGCTGACTCTCGCGAGTCTGCATAAAAGTTTTCTGCACTGAGTCGGGGGGGTGTTCACACTTGACACGAGAGGATTGCAGTATCTGATAGAATGGCACACGAGACTTTTGGTCACGAGTAATTCATCAGCTGCCTGATCAGCGAAAGTCAAGGCGACAATCTCTTTAAACGCAATGCCAATATGAGAGAGTCTTGGGTAAATGATACTTTTCTTGGCTTTTAGATGCGGAGAACTGGGCTCTCCTTGGATATTCCATACTCTGGTGTCGCTCCGCGTCAATTCTGCTGAGTTGGACTCGAGCTAGCGCGCTTATGTACCAGTCTCGTCGAATTCCCAGCCTGCGTTCAAGTTTTGAGTTTTGTCGGAAGTGTGAATGCGAATGGTTCCCCACAAGGTAGGATCTGGACTAAGGCGTATCGTGCAGGTTACAGATGGGTTCGACAATGCCATTTCGCAAGGTTATGCCAAGTTACAAAGGATATTAGCGTAGCCGTCAAATTACAGAGGACAACAGTGACTTAGGTACCTTTCGTACTTTGACAGGTAAACTAGTGTCGCCTGGGTTGTTTCTCTCTCTATCTGTCTTTTCTTTTCTTATTTTTCTGTATATTCTTTCATTCATTCTTTCTTTCTTTCTTCTTCTTATTTTCTATTGCGATACGCCGCTGCCCTCTCCTGCTAATCCGCAGCCCCTACTAACACGTTAATCCCGAGCATATTTCTATTACTAACCTAAGCTTTACCTAATAAGCCCTATGTGCAAGCTTGTTTCCATTGGGGGGGTTGGTAAAGTTTTTTTATAGACTCAAGGAAATTAGGATATTGGTAAGAGAAGTGTGAGATAGAATTCAGAATTGTTAAGAATTGTAAAATATTTGGCGGCGGGGTACTACAGCCTTTTTTCTTTATGGGGCCGGTTCATTTGTGTTCTTCCCGTCCAATGGCTCTGTATATTTTTAAATTGGGTTTTGCCGCTTCTCGGTCCACCCCTAATCCAGCTTTAGAACCCACTTACCTTTGAGCTGTCAAGTTGACATTAGTGACAGATTGACTTTTGGAAGGGTTACAACAGCTTACCTGACCTGCGTACATGGTCTGAACGAGGTCTTGAATGTCTTCAAGCCTTCCCACTTGGACTTTTGGTACTACAGCACGGCGCCTCACGAACTCCAACGCCTCAAGTATATCCGCTCGGGTCCCAACAGATGAGCTCATTATTTTCCATCCCTTGGCGATGAGCCAGAGAGGGTTGAATGTGACCCTAGCCTCAGCCGACAGAATACCCACGCACATCAGCGTACCGAAGGGAGCCAGCAACTCGTATGCCTCCTGATATGCGGCTGTTGCCGTGGCCGTGACGACCACCGCCTTTGCACCATGTCCTCCTGTCGCTTGCCTTATTTTCTCACCCAAAGTGCCCGACGTGGTGACATCGATGTAATGTTCAGCCCCCTGGGCTTTACAAATCTCACCCTTTTCAGGGCCGGCGTCAACAGCAATCACACGATAGCCCATGGCGTGGGCGTAAGCCACCGCCAGGGAGCCGACACCACCACCCGCTCCTGAGATAGCAAACCATTGGCCCGGGGTGACGTTGCACCCCTTGATGGCCTTGTATGCAGTTACGCCACCACACAAGATCGGGGCAACCTCTTCGTCAGGCAACCCGTCAAACTGCGACGGAAGCCGGGCTAAGTAATGAAGCGGAACGAGCGTATATTGGGCGAATGTCCCGTCGTAAGCCTTGCCTGAGTGGGGCATTTTTTCGCATCGCGTTTCTCCCTCGTTGACGAGATCGACGCAAGTCTCGCATGTGCTGCAGATATCACGAATCCAAGCCACCCCGACTCGCTGTCCAACCTGGACCGATTGGTCGAGAGCGGCGACGTTGGAACCCAATGCTGCAATGCGGCCAACTCCCTCGTGTCCAAGGATGTTGCCAACCGGCCCGAAATGGCCCATGGCCATTCCCAAGTCGGATCCGCAAAGACCCGTGGCTGAAAGACGTACGAGGACTTCATTGGCGCTCGGAACCGGACGCGGCTCGTCGCGCACTGAGAACGTGGGCTTCTCGTCCGCTCTCTGGGGTGACTACAGAAACGGATATTCGTCATTCGTCACATAAAATCAATATACGGATACCAACTTACTGTCAAAACTGCGGCCTTGTGCGTGTCCATGTTCGTACGTAAATATGATTTCAAAAGAGATCCAATAAATACCGCAGCGTTGCTATGAGTAAATTGGCAGAACGGCCTCCGTTATTTATCATCTAACCTATGCAGTCGTAGGTATTTCCCCGCCCTTATTAGGCTTGCTGTTCCGGAAACCTATACCCGACTTGCCATTGGTTCCCCTCACCTGGAGACTGAGGGCAACACTTGCTTCGTGCGAACGTGCACGCGATGGTCCGCTCCCACACGATCCCCTACGTCATACAACAGCAGGCCGAGCATCACATTAGAGCCATAAGGCTGTGTCGTTTTCAGCGGTGAAAGTCCGTCTTCTTTCTCTCTGAAAGTGGTCTAGTACAGTTTACTTCCTAAAGCACATACTCGCACAACTCAGGGAGCTGTATTCTCATGCCCCAAATTTCAATAACGCATGCGACACATACTTGCGTCTGCCCACTACTGCTAGCAATTACCCACCGTTGACTATCTAGATGATTAATAGGCCTAAGGCAACAGTAGGCTGCAACAACGTTAATACAAGTTGTGATGACAAAGGCGGATCCGTAATTGCCACGGCGCAATTACGGCTTATATCACGACACAAGTTCAATCTAAGTTTTAAGTGCGTTAAGAATTTGTATAAAAATAGGTAATTATCTATAAGATCTCTAGTCAAAAGCCCTTTTTCCCTCAGGTACGCAGCCAACATTTAATAATGTAAAGTTTTATGATAGAACTATAATCATGATGTACCATTCTGTTTTGAGCCTGGTGTGAAATAATTTGAGTTTGGGGGTACTTGTGGCTGGTGTTATTAAACATTTCAATTTTTATTGCACGCATTGATCAGGCTCTAAATCACTTGGCCAATACTACCGTTAGTCAACGTCAGCAGCAAGTTTGGTGGCAAGGGTTAGGGTTAGATGGGTAGGTGGGTGGCCAGGCTGGCTGACCGCCTTTCGAAATAGGCCTAGCTGGTGGCCTATGCAGTGTACGAATCTACCGAGAGGATACCCCCTGCATTTGCCACATCTAGATCCCTGTTTCTGCAAGCCCGCTAACCCCTTTTCAGTTGCCCGTGGTCAGTGCGCTGTACGAGTCTGCTGAGAGGATACGGTACATGTGCGTGGCCATCCATTATCCTCACTTAATTATTCGAACGAGGTACGGATACAGCATTCACTTTTGCCAGGATGTTGGACCCAAGGCCTAAGACAACTAATATAGTTGAAAATTTCCATCCTTATAAAATATATTAGACGCATGACTTGTTAAACACTCGGTATGCCCCAGTCAAATTTGTCTTTTAATTTAACCTTCAATTTGGGTAAATTCAAAGGCTACGAGACGAAGGCCGTATCAATTGTAGGCAGTCTGCATGATCATCTTTATCAAGTCCAAGTCTTCGCGGGAATCCATGGCCGAGGTTTTCGGGCTTGTCTTTTTCGTTGCACAAGAATGAAATTCCAAAAACTCAAGAGTGAAAGGGTCCTCGTAGGTCTTCCTGATCGTGCGCTCTTGGTAGCCGTCGCCTCTAGCACTCTCGATCCTCTCTCTGATGGTCATAGTGACGGGAAGACCCTTGACGTACGGGGTGTCGTAATCGACGCGCACAATCTTCTCTCGAGAGTAAATCTCGAGGTGAGCGTCAAACCTGGGCACATCAATGATGCCTGACTCGTACATGACGGGAAAGCCCCGGTACTGGAATAGGACGTTCCAGATTGGCAAGCCGAGGGATGCACCAACAACACGTGAGGGCATACCGACCATCTCGCGCAAAGCCGAGAAATCATGCACACCGAGTCTTTGAAATGAGAGTCAGAAATCGGTGATGATCATACCTGGCAGTGGGTCGGCGGCGAAACTTACCCAGTGAACAACCTAAACATTGTCATTGACTCTGGAGTTGCTGTAACTCCCATTTCGTCAACGAGTGCTGCCTTTACCATGTTTTCTTCGGTCGAACGCATGTCTGCAGCCTCTTCCACGGGATAGTCGGCGTACTTTATTGGGTACGTGCCAGACTGGCCCACGAAAGACCGGTTTTGCCCAATGATATCTGTCCCGCTGTCAGGTACTTTCCCTGCAGATTTGAGTATCGTTTTCAAACATACCTCGGACTCGTATGTAGTCGATTTTGCTCATTTCTCCAACCTCTTTCAGGGCATCTACAAACGCTTCAGCGTATCGTCTCTGGTATCCCACGAAGACTTTCGCCTCCGAAGTCTTCTCTGCGGTGATGATAGCATCAAGGTCGTGGTAGTTCAACGCGAGCGGCTTCTCCACGAACACATATTTGTTGTGCTGGAGAGCCAGTATCGCCTGTGCAGCGTGGAATGCGTTGACGTTGCAGATTACGATGACGTCGGTGTCAGGAGAGGCAATCAACTCTTCAGGGTTCAACGTCGTCTTGGGCGTCCCGCCGGCGACTTTCTTGACACAGTGATCAAGAGCTTGCTGGGACAAATCACAAATGTAAGTGATTTCGTAGTAGCTGGACAAATTGTTCAGCACGAGAATGTGAGACACCTGTGATGAGAATTTATCAATATTGTCTGCCAAGGAGTGAAACGACATGAGAATCGAAACAAACCTGAGCAACCTCTCCCAAGCCAATGATACCGACTTTGAGGACCTTCCTCAGCTTATCATCGTCTGATAGTTCACTCATATTGACGGACACGTAGTTAATCGATTCAAATCTTTGTTCCAAATAGTCTGATCAAAGTTGGAACCAAGTCTTGATAATCTCCTAGTATCAACAGCATATAAATAACTTCTTCAACCATTGAGCAAATCAATTGCACCGCTGGAGCCAAACGCCCCTGGCCCGGGGCCTCGATCATCCAATATCGGTCTGGAACCTGAACTCTCGCCCCCAACCTCGAAGGATTGAGCCGAGCAACCGTACTTATCCGAAGGATCAAAGCAAGCTAAGTCCAGGTGTGATACCACGGCCGAACGGGCCGTCCAATGCTGTCAGAAAATAGACTTGGATGAGTGAGCCCTGCATAGGCTTATATCTGCAAAACCCTTCCAGCCTACGCGTAATGAAAGCTGCATTATCTTGGCGTATACTCCAAGTCTGTCTGTTGTATTTGGCAAGAAGTGCATCCTCCATCTGATAGATCAGTAACATCCACCAATCGCAACATATGTCTCGAATTGGCCGTGGGATTCACAATAACCGGTTTAAGTCGCCGTCCCAAGGGCATTCTGATTGTCAACTTCATGAACCAGGCGGCCCGTCATCGCCGGACCTTGCGGGCGGCGGCGTAACGCCCGGAATGCGGGGAAGGTTGTGAAGAAATAATACGAATCGCCATATTCGACGAATCCTGGCGATTTAGCAAGGAAGATCGGCTGAGAGCACGCTACAATTCAACTCGTATTCCCGCTGTCGACTCTGGCCCTCGAACGAGATGACTGAATGAAAACCGACTTTATGTTACGCCCAACTCTGACAAACAACTCTGTCGCTATTACACATACTTTTTCTTTGCGATGTCCGGTGTCAACGCAACAACTGCGCCGTGGCGCGTCTATCTGTACGGCGCTGGGTCTATTGCGTGGCGACATGGTGTTGCGGCGGAAAGCCTAGGACCCGACGCCCAGCTATTTGCCGCCGACCCCTCGGAAGATGCTCGACAAGCATTGTTGGCCAAGTTCCCCAATGCCACCGTCTACGAGGATGCAGAGGTCATGCTTGCCAGCTCCCCAGGACAAGAGCGCGATATCGTCGTAGTAGCTGTGCCTCCTTACTTGCACCATGCAGCGACGCTCCTTGCTTTTCGGTCCAACCGTCATGTCCTCTGCGAAAAGCCTCTCGCAACATCCGCAACGGAAATGGCCGAGATGCTGGCTGCCAGTGATGCTTCCGGACGCTGTTTTGGGGAGTGCAGCTTTCGCTATCTGGGAAACGGAGCCTTAGACCGCGCCCGTCAGTTGATTGAAACGGGTGGCATTGGCTCCGTTTATCATGCCCGCTTCATCAATCGCCAGCCACGATCCCGCGCAGGAATCGAGTACCAGCCTGCGAGCAGGTGGTTCCTGGAAAAGAAGAAATCTGGCGGGGGCATCGTCTTCGACTGGGGCGTTTACGACTTCACCATGTTCTTCGACGTCCTTCGCCCCGTCGCCGCGACGGTCAATCATGCCTGGTTGGCCACGCCGAAAACCGGTGCCGACCCGTCCGAGCCCGCGATATCCGTCGAGACGCACGCTGGCGCTTCCTTGACATTGACACTCCAGGACGGCGCGGTCATCCCGTTTGATTGGGAACGGGCAAGCGGTTTCCACGGGGACGCCCAGGTTGCGCTGAACGTCGATGGCACGGCTGGAGGTCTGACATGGGAATGGGTCCCGACTTTTGATTACAAGGACGACGTCGACGAGTTGCAAGAGGGCTTTGGTCTCTTGCACTCTGTGGATGTTGATGGAAAGGTCCAGAACAAGGAGGAGAAGTTCCCTGCTTTTGGGTGGGAGGACGCGAACCAACGTCCTTTGCTCTCTTTCGTCGACTTGATCGAAGGTCGTGACAGTGTGGCTCTCTCTAGGAGTAGGCTCGAGTTCAACTTTTCTGTCGTATCAGCCATCTACAAGTGTGCCTCTGAGGGCAAACCGGTTCATGTTCAGCTCAAGTAGAACCATGGCGAGGTAGATGAACAATTAGGAGAATGGTTATGACCATGAAGCTAAGCAATGCCTATATCAACACATGCACGAGCCTCTGCAAACCTTCAGCTTCCAGTTTGCTTGGCTGAGAAAGATCTCGAGACATCCTCAAGCACGCGAAGAATGCTACTTCCAGTGGTATACCATCTAAGTTTAAATCCACCAGAGCAGTTCAGAGGAATGTGTTGAATAGGGCAACGAAAATGTAATCGAGCTCTAACTGGCTTGCGACAAGGTGAACTTCACGACCAAAATTTCAGACACTACAGAAGGTTTATGCATTGAAGAACAAAATTGGTTGCGGGCGTCCCTTTGACTGTATATTCCAACTAGCCATCCTTTGCGGCGACAGAAGCCATCGAATTCCATACTATTTCCCCTTGTACTATGTAAGATGGAAGTTTATGAAGCCTCTTCATCACAGCCTCTCTGCAGACGTCTCCAGTTCTACCTTCTCGTTTCTACGAGGGGCGGCTGCCTCTGCAACTTCCTCATGATCGACTTTATTCTTGGAGTTACGGAATCGGAATTTCGCTTCGTTCCACCGGCCCCCAAAGCCGTGTCCTGGATGCCAGATGCTCAAGCAGAGACATGCAAGTATGATCATAACTCCGTCCAGGACCATGAATTCAACTTCTTGGTTGGCCAACTTCCCGCTGAAACCCTCACTGAGCTCGACGGAGCGGAAGACGGTTCGTACAAACAAACAGGCCGTTGCGCCAAACAGTGCTATCCCAATCGTTAGACATCTCTATGACAAATCATTCTGCATTAAGATTGTGTTGCATACCAATCAAGAACATCTTAAACCGTTTGCTGCTGACCAGGTCGGCGAACTCGGGGTTCCTCATCTCCGGGTTCTTTCTCACGCGCCATAGGAACTCGAGACTGCAGGCCGAAAATGCAAACAGACTAGCGACTTGAATCGACAGGCCTGCGACGAGAATGTTTGTCCCCACGTCGATCTACAGATGAAAAATCGTCAGCATAACCTCTTGGAGATAGTGGTGTTAGGACACCGGATGACAAAAGCGTGTGATATTACCATGTGTGGGTTGTCCAAAGGCGTCGATGCAGCGATGCCTCCGCCGACAGCCTGGACAACAAGACTGACAATATCGCATCCCAAGAAAAACGTCGTGTATGTCCGAGGCTTGATTCGGCTAATGAACGCTCCATGAACGACGACGATTCTTCCGAGAGTCAGGTAGATAGCGGCTGCGATGAACACAGGGCCGATGGTCAGAGTGATGAGGTACCACAGGAAATAGTCCCTGCTGAAGGGGTTTCCATTCAAGAGCACCCGAGCGATGTAGCCGACGATTTCCGTTAGCAGGCCAAGGCAGATGGCAATCATAAAGCTCTTCGTTTTGAGTCTTATGCCAAGATAGACTTGGTAGATTGCGATGACGGCCATGACGGCCAGAAAAAGGGCGTTTCCGGCAATAGTCGGCCTATAGTGAACGAAGCCCCATTGTTCCACGGAGCATGTGTCCAGCGTGCAGACGAACCCTGGAATGTAACCTTCGGGAGCTGACATGATGGGCCAGGTTTGACGGAAACGCGACGTGTTTCGATGGAGACGGCTGGTTGATTGGAGTGAAGGAGGAACATTTCTCGACTGCCTGTATTTAAAGCCATCACCAAGTCAAGAGCTCAAGCACTTGGAAGAAGAAGAAACGAACGGTTCCGGTGAACTGGGAGATCGGGGCCCAGACTTTCTGCGCTCCTCTGCGTGTTGCTTCGTTGAATACCGTCATTGGGCCGCTGTCAAGTCAGAGAAACCGGCTGGGTTCCCCTTGATTCCGGCCGCCCAATCCAAGACTGTAGTGCTTGTATGCAAGTCGCCGTTTCGGAGGGGCGCTTGACTACATTGCTTCAGCCACCGCGGGTGTCGCGGGGTATTTGGCTAAATAGAAGCATCCCCATGGGGTTAAGCCAAGGAATCAACGGATCGTCGTTCCGAAAAGCTTGCCTCCCTTGGCTGCTGCGCCGCCGTGTAAATATGCGAGCTGGCGCATATGCATAAGCGAGCCGCGCCGCTCACTATTATCCCAACAGTACGAACGCCTCACGAACGTCTCACAAACGCCTCAAGAACGCCATGCCATATCGGGGTTGCTTACACAGACACAGAAAGACACTGTTCCTCCGCCATTCGATTGGGACAATGCTGTTGCCTCCATGGTCAAACACCAAAGAATATGTCGGCCACAACACGGTTCGGGATCTTCGGGACAATATACGGCGGCTGTAGGCTGTCTGCTATCACATCGAAGGATTTCATGAATCCTTTGAGACACGAAGGGGCTGCCTCATAACGACCTGTCAACCCCAAAAGATCTTCCTCTGCGGTCCCGACCGTGGGGGCAAAAGCGCCTCCTTCAAACCCAGCGCAAGGTCTTCGGGCTAACCCCGCGAGACGTACCACACGACTCAATGTGCGCTAAACGATCCTTCGTTCGTTTTCCATGAACAAGCATATCTCTGCAGGCCGAAACGTGTAATCATGAGCCGTTCCCTTTACGAAGATAGACTGTAGGCAACCAGTAAGGAAATGGTGTCCTCCCTCCCGAGCGGCGCTTGCTTGCCTGGCTTGGTGTTTGGGGAGTTGAGCTACAGTTCAGAACGGAAATGGAGATCTCAACTAATGTGTACTGTGGACTGCTGGGACTCATTGTATCATATCGCTACTTTCATTAGTTAAATAGCTGCCTGCCCATACGTAGTTGCCTCAAGAAACGTCTCTGGCACAGCCTAACCAAGCTTCCAACACAATTCTGGCTCACTGTCATCTTGCCGCAGTTCTCTTTGAAGTCTTCTTTTTAGAATCGTTTCTTATCTGGTTGGAAACATGACTGATCAGGTTCCAATTCCCATTGCTATCATTGGCATGGGATGTCGTCTGCCCGGTGGTTCAGATAACCCAGACAAACTCTGGGACATGCTTTCAGAGGGACGAAGTGGCTGGCGTGAAATTCCTGCAGACCGGTGGAACAAGGACTCATTCTATCATCCTGATCCCGAGGCCAAGGAGGCCGTCAACTTCAAGGGCCTATACTTCCTCGATCAGGACATCGCCGCTTTTGACGCTCGCTTTTTCAACATCCATCCTCATGAAGCCCATTGTCTCGACCCACAACAGCGCATCTTGCTGGAGACGACATACGAGGCCCTTGAGAATGCCGGACAGACGATTGCTGGAATCAAAGGTTCCGATACCTCTGTCCACGTCGGAGCTTACGCTACCGAGTGAGTGATAATACTGATTCCTCATGCACCATCTCCCCCAATCTCTCTCCTCCACCGCCCTTGCGATGGAATACTCAGGCTGACACATACTTGTAGCTTCGAACGTATGGGTTACAAGGACACTGCAAGGACACCTAAGGCCCATATGATCGGCACTGGAATTGCAATTCTTTCCAATAGGATATCATATGTCTTTGATCTTCACGGCCCATCCAGCACAGTTGACACTGGATGTTCAGGTAGCATGGTGGCCTTGCATCAGGCATGTCATGGACTCCGAGCGAGAGAGTCAAAGATGGCCATCGTTGCTGGAACCCAGCTGGTCCTCACCCCTGACCAGATCATCCCGATGAGCAGTGTCGGGTAAGTACTGACCTGATTGCATATATGGCTTGCACTACGTACATGAGCTGAGATGCGACTTCAGCATGACGAACCCAGATGGCAAATGCTACGTCTTTGACAGTCGTGGCTCTGGATACGCACGAGGCGAGGGTGTCGTCACTCTGATCCTTAAGCGTCTTGATGATGCGGTCAGAGACGGCGACAAAGTACATGCCATCATTAGGAACTCTGGCCTGAACCAGGACGGCAAAACGGTCGGCCTCACGCTGCCGAACCCCATCGCTCAGGCAAATCTTATGCGACTCGTATACAAGAATGCCGGTCTTGACCCGGCAGATACAGTATATGTTGAGGCGCATGGAACAGGAACCCAAGCTGGTATGAAACTCTCACACTGTCTTTCTCTTCTTCAACTTTTCTTTCCGATCCTCTTGGAAACCCATGAGCGAGTTCTAAAGAAGAATCAGGTGATAACGCAGAAATATCGTCCATCGCGGAGGTATTCTGCCCCGGAGGCCAACGTGAGAACGGTCTCTATGTCGGTTCTATCAAGTCAAACATTGGCCACCTGGAAGCTTCCAGCGGTGTTGCAGGGCTTCTGAAGGCCATTTTGATATTGAAGCATGGAGCAATTCCCCCTAACATCGACTTTATCGAGCCCAAGCCTGTGTTGCATCTGGAAGAACGCAAGATCAAGGTATGTAATTCTCGACGCCCATTCATATTGATTGTCGAATTGCTACTAATCATCACGATTAAGATTGCAACCAAGACGGTTCCCCTTCCCTCCTCGACTGCCCCCCAGCGTGTGTCAGTCAACTCTTTCGGCTATGGTGGCACTAACGCCCATGTCATCTTGGAGGCGCCGTCTACCTACGTCAAACCGGAGGAACAGCCAGAAGACACACGGGCTTCGGCGACGGCCAATGGTGTGAATGGAAACCAGAACAAAACAAATGGCGCCAACGGACACGTTGAGATGCAAGAAACAGCTTCCCCTGACCTTGGAGACAACGGAATCAACGGGACCACCGAGGCCAACGGATCCAACTGGTCTAAGGAGACTAGCGGAGCCAACGGGACTAATGGGATGCATGAAATCCAAGAAAGCACGCCCAAAGCAGAAACCAATCATGGGTATAACCCTCAGCTTTTTGTCTTGTCAGCTCGGTCAGAGGCTTCACTCAAAGCTATGGTGTCCAACCTACGAGGATGGGTATCTTCCCATGAGGATACTTCCTCGCTCTCCGATCTCGCTTACACTCTCTCAACGCGTCGATCAGAGCTACACTTCCGCTTCAGTGCGGCGGCGGGCAGCCACGGCGAGCTCGTTTCTCTGCTCGGCCAGAGCCCCCGCATCACCAAGGCCGTCACCAATTTCCGCTCCGTGTTTCTCTTCACGGGTCAGGGAGCACAGTGGCACGCCATGGGTCTGGAGCTCACCAGAGACCATCCGGTCTTCAGAGAGTCGATGCTCCGGTCGGAGAGGATCCTCAAGCAACTCGGGGCAGAATGGAGCTTGGTCGAAGAGCTTTCCAGGGACGAGGACAGCACGCGGGTTGGGCAGGCTGAGATTTCTCAACCGTCTACCACGGCGATTCAGATCGCACTGGTGGACCTTCTCAAGAGCTATCACGTCTTCCCTGATCTTGTTCTTGGCCACAGCAGTGGCGAGATAGCTGCCGGCTATGCGGCCGAGGCCCTGGACCACGAAACTGCGCTTGAGATATCGTATAGGCGCGGTTTTATGTCACAGGCCTGCGCACGTGTCATCTCGGGCGGCGGTGCCATGATGGCCGTCGGCTTGGGCGAAGAGGATGTCAAGAAATACGTCGACCAGACCCGGACGGGGATCGTCTGCGTTGCGTGTGTCAACTCTCCCGTCAGCACCACCATCTCTGGCGACGAGTCTGCCATCGACGAGCTGAAGCAGATTCTCGATGAGGAGTCCATCTTCAACCGCAAGCTGAAGGTGGACACGGCGTACCACTCTCATCACATGAAAAAGGTCGCAGCCGAGTATCTCGAGTCCATCGCGCACATCAAGACGCGCACCCCAAACCCTGCCATCAAGTTCTACTCTTCCGTCCTCGTTGCACACAAGACAGGAGATTTCGACGCCCAGTATTGGGTCGACAACCTAGTATCCCCCGTCCGTTTCGGCAACGCTCTCGAGCTCCTCTGCCGCAAAGAGCTTGCGGATATCGAGCCGGCACCACTCACCTTGTTCACCGAGATCGGTCCCCACGGTGCCTTGGCGGGCCCTGTCAGACAGACGATCAAGGCTCTCGATTTGCCTGGCTTCAAATCAAACTACCTACCCACTCTGGCACGAGGCCGCGATGCCTCTATCAGCCTCCTGGAAACGGCAGGCAAGCTGTTTGAGTTTGGATATCCAGTATCGCTGCGAGCAACGTTGAGCGCACGAGTTGCAACAAAGCCTGCTGCGTTGGTTGATGACCTTGCCCCATACCCTTGGGATCATTCGACCAGCTATCTCTACGAGTCCAGCCTCAGCAAGCAGCATCGCTTCCGGGCGCACCCACCACACGATCTCCTTGGCTTACGAGTTACCGGGACTACCAACCAGGAGCCTACGTGGCGCAACCTTCTTGGCGTGGAAAGCCTTCCGTGGCTTAGAGATCATGTTGTCGATGGCTTCGCCATCTTCCCCGCGTCGGGCTATATCTCCATGGCCATAGAAGCAGTGCGTCAAATCAGCATCGACAGACATATCCAGGGCGTCATCTCTCGGGTCCACCTGAAAAACATATCCTTTTCCAAGTCGATTATTATCCCGGAACGTCGCACAGACGGGCTGACATCCGACGTCGAGGTCCTCCTCACGTTGAGACCCGCGAGACACTTGGCCGACCGCACGTGGGAGTCGTTCCGCATCATGGCTTTATCCCCGGAGGATGTCTGGCACGAGCATTGCTCCGGACATATCATGGTTGAGTGGACATCCAAAGAGGACGAGGTCGAGGGACTCCGCGAAGAGAACATGACCACTTCGGGCCGTCTCAAGCACCTCCAAGACATCGTAGATGCATGCGACACTCAAATAAGCGGCGACGACCTTTACAAGAACTTCGCTGACAACGGTAACGTCTACGGTCCTACTTTTGCATGCATACAGTCGGGAAAGCTCGGTCCGCGTGGAGCCATTGCTGAAATCACTGTTCCTGACGTGAAGAGCATGATGCCTCGGAAGTACCAGCAGGAGCACATTATTCATCCGTCTTCCCTCGATAACGTCTTCCAACTGGGCATTCCCCTGTACCGGAGAACCATCGGGAACGGCCCCGTGATGCCCATAAGCATCGACGAGCTGACCATCAAATGCAACATCGGGAGCAACCCTGGTACCAAGTGGACTGTGTCTTCCACCGTGCGCCAAAAAGGCTTCCGGTTTGCTGGCATTGATATCGCAGTCTTTGAAGAGACGGCCGAAGGTGCACCCCTGCTGCCAGTCCTAGACATTCGCGGGGGGGCTCTTCGCGGGATCGGCGAAGCGCCGGTTGACGAGGCTACACTTCCGTTCCATCGCAAGATGAGCTATGCTCTCAGATGGCAACCCGACGTCGACCTCGTTCCGTTTCAGGAAGAGAGCAAAATTTTCCTGTTGGTTGAGTATCTTGAACTCCTGGCCTTCAAGCAGCCACATATGAAAATCCTGGAGGTGGGATCAGGCGTTCAAGGCGGCGTGACGCTGCCATTGTTCCAAGCGCTTGATCGTCCGGAAGGTTTACTGCTCGACCGATACACTTACTGCTATCCCAACACCCAAAGCGAGTCCTTGGGGCAGTTCAAGACGCTCCTTGACAGATGGGCCGATCGTGTCGATTACAAGACTCTGGATGTCTCAAAGGATCTTGCTCAACAAGGCTTTCAGGAAGGCACCTACGACCTCATCATTGCTTCGCACGTGTTGAACGGAGCCAGCTTTGTTGATGAGAGTCTGGCGAGCTGGCGAAAGCTCTTGAGCCCTCGGGGACGGGTCGTTCTTGGCGCCCTACCAGTCGAAGATGGGCAACAGGACATTGATGCCTCGTCCGAGGGCGACTGGCACGCACGCTTTAAGCACCACGGCTTCCAGGGGGTTCTTCCGGATCATGATGGCCCTCCCGCACGACCCAAGATGATTGTTGGCATGGCCGTTGATACACGGCCTTCGGCGCGAGAAGATTTCCCTTCGGTCCGCATCGTCTGCCAATCTCGCGCAGACGACCAGTTTGTATCTCTCGCAGACACGATACTGTCTCGTGTGAGGAGCGAAGGGTTTCCCTGTTCCCTGGATGACTGCCTACCTGAGCAAGTCGACGTCGATGCCATCCACATCGTCCTTGATGACGCGGCAGACCCTATCCTTGCTTCGCCAACTGCCGAAGAGTTCACTCGGATTGTCTCCCTCGCCACGAGAGCAAAGAACATACTCTGGGTCGGCTGTCAAGCAAGCGGTGCCGACGTCCATAGCCCTGTCAAGGGCATGATCAATGGCCTCGCCAGAGTCGTGCGACGAGAGAATGCGGGCATGCGATTCGTCACTGTCGATGTACAAGACGACATCCTGTCGAGCCCGGCGACCCTGGTTTCTCAGCTTTCAAATATCATCAACAGGTCATTTACCACCCCTATCAGCACGGCACGATCCGATGAGGACGAGTATACCTTCAGCAATGGCCAGCTCCTCATCCCCCGAGTTCATGCCGACGCCAAGTTTGACGACTGGGCCAAGAAGTCCATATATGCCCAAAGCATAGAGACAGGACCCTTCCAGCAAGCAGACCGACCCCTCAAGCTCGAGGTTGAGACTCCGGGGCTCCTTAGCAGTCTCCGGTTCGTCGACGACGAAACTCCCTCGAAGCCCCTTGGGCCGTTCGAGCTGGAACTTGAGGCCAAAGCCTACGGCGTCAACTTCAAGGACGTCTTCATCGCCATGGGGCAGATGGTGCCCGGCGTCACGATGGCCGGCGAGTGTGCCGGCGTCGTTCGCAAGGTCGGCTCTGCCGTCGCCGACAAGTTCACCGTCGGAGACCGCGTGTGCGGAATATTCGCCGAACCCTTCTCGAGCCACCCGCGGGTCGACGGGAACTTCAGCTGTCACCTCCCTGAGAAGATGCCCTACTCTATCGGCGCGTCCGTCCCCGTTATCTTCTGCACTGCGTACCACTGCATCGTCGAGGTTGCTCGTCTTCAGCGGGGAGAGAGCATCCTGATCCACGCCGCTTCCGGTGGTGTTGGTCAGGCGGCCATCCAGCTTGCTCAGAAGATCGGGGCTGAGATCTTCTGTACGGTGGGCAGCAACGCAAAGCGCCAGCTGCTTATCGACACTTTCGGCATCCCGCCAGACCACATCTTCTCTTCCAGGCTTCGGACATTCAAGCAAGGCATCCTGCGGCTTACCCGGGGCAGGGGAGTCGACTGCGTCCTGAATTCGCTGTCGGGTGAATCGCTCCATGACTCGTTCGCCGTTCTCGCACCATTGGGCACATTTGTCGAGATTGGCAAGTCTGACATTTACCGGAAGAACGAGATCAGCATGATTCCGTTCGACAACAGCGTCACCTTTGCGGCCGTGGACCTGACAGTCTTGGCACGGCTCAAGCCAGCCAAGGTGCGAGAAACCCTGGTGAAGGTACTCTCTTTGTTCGAGGACGGGATTCTGCAGGCCGTGGCCCCCGTGACTGAAATGCCCATGACCAATATCGAGGATGCTTTCCGCCTGATCCAGTCCAGAAAGCATACAGGCAAAGTCGTCCTCGTCAGCGACCATGAGACTCAAGTCAAGTTAACCGTGGCACGTCCTCGACCTCTCTGCCTGCTCAAGGATGGCACGTATGTCATCTCTGGAGGTCTCGGAGATCTCGGAAGGAGGACCGCCAAGTTCTTGGCTGCTCGTGGCGCGGGACATGTGGTGACCTTATCTCGGCGGAAGCTCCAGGAGGAAGACCAACAAGAATTGGAGAAAGACCTCCGCGCGCTCGGAGCAGAGCTGCACATCATCCGATGCGATGTCACCGATCGGGAGTCAGTGCTATCGGCCGCCGCCGAATGTTCGGCAAACCTGCCCCCAGTACGCGGTGTTGTCCATGCCGGCATGGTATTGAGGGTATGATACCTTGCAGAGCTCCGATCTACTACGTTATAGCTAATCTCATCTTCAGGACCATCCTTTTGAAATCATGTCTCACGACGACTACATGACCGCCATCAAGCCCAAGGTCCAAGGGACCCAGAACCTGGACGAGGCATTTGGCGCTTCAGACTCCCTCGACTTCTTCATCATGCTGTCGTCCATCACCGCGATTCTTGGAAAGTCCGGGCAGTCAAACTACGCAGTCGGCAACGCCTACCAGGATGCCTTTGCTCACAGCAAAAAGTCGTCAAGCTGCAGGTACATAGCCCTGAACCTGGGCGCAGTCGACGGCTCGTTGGCGATCATCTCGCTCCCCCCTGCGCAGCAAGAGGCCATGCGCCGGGGATCCGTCCTCATGTCGTTCGACGAAGTCTTTGCAGTCTTGGGCTACGCCATGAGTGCACAGGCGAACGAGGATGACCTGCACCAGTTGATTCTCGGGTTCGACCGGAAGTCGATGGAGGCGGTCCACGACGAAATGGCCCTTGCGAACCCCATGTTCAGCCAGGTTCCCCGTCTGGAGCAGAAGGGGGAGCAGACGAAAGAAGACGCCGCGGACATTGGCAAGTTGCTTCAACAAGCGACCACCCCTAAGGAGGTTGAGGGAATCGTCGTAGACGGCATTCGCCAGCGGTTCGCCATGTTCATCGCGGCCCCAGTCGAGGACATCAGCCCGGATGCTTCCATGGACAGCTTCGGCCTTGACTCTCTTGTTGCCATTGAGTTGAAGAACTTCCTCGTGCGCACGTTCCAGGCAACGCTGCAGACATCCGAGGTTCTCGATGCTCCCAACATCATGACGCTGGCCAGGGTCATCATCCTCAGGTCCAAGCTCGTCTCTCAAGACACGGCGGCCGTCGTCGTCCTGGAGAAGGAGGACGCCGGCGTGGTCGAGAGAGCGCTAAAGCCGATCATCGAAAGCGCAGCCCCCGGCATCAACCACAACTTCAAGTGCTGCAGGGCGTCCAAGACGCTCCAAAAGATGCCTCTTGTTGACTTTGACGTCATGCTCGACGACTACCTGGACAAGTCGAGGATGTTCTTCTCCGCCGAGGAGTTCGCGACCCTGGAGAGGGACGTGGCGGAGTTTAGGGAGCCGGACAGCATCGGTCGGGTGTTCTACAGCCGCCTCCACGAGCAGGCCCACGATCCAGAGATCGAGAACTGGCAGGAAAAGTACTTCCTGCAGAGCATGTACCTGCAGAGGCGCATGCCACTCGCACCGTTCAACAACTTCATGGCCTTCCACCCGCTCGGGGAGATGGGCCACACCCAGGCGGAACGCGCAGCTCTGATCGCCAATATTGCCTTCCAATGCAAGCAGGATCTCGAGGCGGACCGATGGGAGCCGATGACTTACATGTTCACGGCCAACTGCACCGATCTCTGGCAGTACATCTTCAACACGGCTCGCCTGCCCGGCGTTCCTTTCGACCGGATGGCAAAGTTCCCTGGCAACGACTACATGGCGGTGCTCCACCGCGGACACATCTTCAAAGTCGAACTCAAGGACAGGGGGGAGGAGAACGTGACTGTCGAAGCGTTAACAAAGACTTTCAGCTCAATCTTGAACCGGCAAGACACTGAGGATAGCTGGACCAGCATTCTAAGCACCGACGACCGCACTTCGTGGGCCGAGGTAAGTCCATCCCCATGCTGGCCGTGCGTGTAGATGAATTTGAGTGTGTTGCTGATTGACTGACGCGCAACAGAACCGGGAAGCTCTGATGGAGGCCGACGCGGCGAATAAAGAGACCATCGACATGGTAGAAGCTGCTGCTTTCCTTGTCTGTCTCGACGACACAGAGCCTACGGACGCGGAAGACCGGATCAGGAGTATGATGATGCTCCAAGGCTTCAACCGATGGGTCGACAAGTCCATCGCATTCGTCGTGTGCAAGAACGCAACTTCCGGCACGTATGTCGAGCATACCATGATTGATGTAAGTTTCTTCGCAACACCTTGGCCCAACCCCTTCTACATACCTTGATTGGATGGAAGCCCCTAATACATGTTAGGCAATGACTCTGTTCGTGATGCAGACGGCCATCGTGCAAGGCATAACGACCTATAGCCCACCACGACAGGTCAACGGGCACGCGAACGGCGTCGCCAAGGTGCCGAGGGAGTTCCCTCTAAAGACAACGCCGGCTCTGGATGCGCGCATCCTCCACGTGCGGCGGCGTTTCGAGGAGGACATCTCGCAGTTCGGATACAGGGACATCGTCCTCGGCGACTTCGGAAAAGACATGCTCCTCGACCGCCATCTTCCCATCAAGGGCATGTACGACCTGATGGGCCTGCTCGCCAACTACTACTACTACGGCTACAACGCCCAGTCGTGGGAGGCCGTCTCCATGTCGCACTACCACAAGGGCCGTCCGGACATCGTGCAGGTCAACATCCCCGCCACCGCGCGCTTCTGCACCGCCGCAGAGGACGAGAGCGTGCCGGCGAGCCAGCGGTTCGAGATGATGGTCGAGGCCGCCAACGCCCGGAACCAGGTCATCAAGGACGCGTTTATGGGCCGCTGCTACCAGCGCACCCTGAGGGCCCTCGAGCTCTGCGCCGAGGAGGGCGAAGAGCTGCCCGGTCTCTTCAAGAACCCGCTCTACGAACAGACCGTGGAGCCGAACCAGATGTTTTCCAACACGGACGGCCTGTCTCCCGAGTCTTGCTTCATCATGCAGAACCCCAAGAGGTTCTGGATGACGTACTACGTCACCGACGCAGGGTGAGCCAAAACTCTCTCTCTCTCTCTCTTGCAACCGCATTGTCTTGGTCGAAGCTGACAAGTTTTTCTTTTTCTTTCCGCAGGGCACATTTCTCCGTCATCACTGGGAAGGAAGAGGTGATTGCTTGGGCCGACTGCCTGCAACGCGCTTCGTTGGTGATGAAGGCGCTGATAGACGCGGCATGAGATGAATGATATTGTCTTTCTTCTTGTTTCTTCTTGATTATGTGTGTCACTCTCTAGTTTGCAGAAAATCTCAATAATTCATCTATTTATTATGATGTTTGATCTTACTCGACGATCTTGGAAAATCGTATAGCTCAGTGAAGAAATATCCAGGGGCAAATGTCCCCCAAGTTGGTCAAATAAATAGCGGAAAGTGTACATTCGGAATTGCTATCTCTTTACAAGCCTTAAATACATGTCTAGGCGACTTTCTCATCTCGCACCGGATCCCGAGACGCAGCTCCTGGCGTGTCGAGAGTCGCCGTCATCGTTGTCGTGGGCTGTTCCCCTTGAGCCGGCTGCACCCGGTCGTCTGGAATCCAGCGTCTCTGCATCCCGAAGCTCAGCAGCAAAGAGATGGCGGCCACCGCAATGGGCAGGATGAAGGCTTTGGCGACCGCGTATCCAAAAGCCTCTCGGACCAGCGGCAATTCGGCCGCCGGCACCGCGCTCGCCAGGTCCGAAGCGCCGGCGTACCGCACAGCGCCGGCGTCGACCCCTGCCGGCGCCCCCGCGAGCCGCCGGGAAAGCTCCTGGGAGAAGAGGTTGGAGGCGATGCTGAGGCCCACGGCGCCGCCGAGCAGGCGGTGGAAGACGACGAGGGCGCAAGCCGTCGGCATGTCGTCGTCGGGGAGGACCACCTGCACCGCGATGAAGGGCACCTGCTCGGCGAGACCGATGCCCGCTCCGCTGAGGATCTGGAACCCCAGCCACTCCCCGATCGACGAGCCCCCGTCAAGCCTCTGGAGCAGGACGCAGCCGGCGACGAAGACGCCGGTCCCCAGCCACATGAAGGGGACGTAGTGGCCCCTGGAGCTGATGCACGCCCCCGTGACGATGATGGCGATGCTGCACGGGATGCCGTACGCGAGGCACCGCACCCCCGACGTCACGGCGTTGGTGCCCAGCACGGCCTGGAAGTAGAAGGCCAGGTAGTACATGTGCGTGTTGTGCGCCGTGGACATGAGCATGTTGAAGACGCAGCTGATGGCCACCGTACGTTGCGAGAGGATCCGTACAGGGATGATGGCCCTGTTTTCCCCCCCATAGGTTGGTCTGGTCAGCGCATGGCGATTCGAATACGAGCTCTTGTAGGGGTTTTCTTTTCTTACTCTTCTTTCTTGGTTGCTTGCAGCAGGACGAATGCCGACATGAAGATGCCCGATACAATGAGGCATGCGTAAACTCTCGGATCGGACCATGGGTATCTGCTTCCGCCCCATTGAAGCGCGAAGAAGAGAGTCACCAGGCCGATCAGGAGCATGGAGGCGCCTAGAAGGTCCAGTTTCTTCAGTTTCTCGCGCAGCGAGAGGCGCCCATGTACTGGCGTCTTTGCCTTTAGGATTTTGTATGCGATGGCAAACGTCACGGCCCCAAACGCTAGATAGACGATCAGACAGGGTTTCCTCGGACGCGGGGCACCAATCACTTACGTAGGTTGATCCTGTCGCTCGTCAGATATCCGGCATCACGTCAGAAGGAGTCATTGTGAGGGCAGGGGACGACGCACCAGAAGCAGAACCGCCAGGTAAGTCGGGGCGTGTCTGTAATCAGCCCCCCGAGAGTCGGCCCCAGCACGCCCGCGATACCGTACATGCTTGTGACAAGAGCCATCCCGAACGGCCTGGCCCGCAGCGGAACCGACCTTCCATACACCGCCAGGCTCCCGCAGAGCAGGCCGGCCGCTCCTGTTCCGGAAATCACTCTCCCAGTGATCAAGACGGCAGAGTTGGGCGAGGCAGCACATAATATTGAGCCTATCTCGACTTCATGGAAAACACGTCAGACGCAGGCCACACGGTTACGACTGGACTGACCCTAGTATAACTCACACAGGATTATTGATGTCAGGTAGAGGACTCTGGCGTCGAACAAAGTGTACAGGCGACCAAAAGTGGGCTGGAATGCCATTTCTGTGAAGAGGTATGCGCTGCCGTACCACGGGACGTCATCGAGTTGGTGGAAATCACTGGTGATCTTGGGAATGGCCGTCGCTGCGTGCTATGAGTCACTTCTTTTCCCGGGAAGAGGGCAAGAGTCTTGGCGTTCACTTACCGAGGATACTCCCGTCTATGGCTATCATGAAAGTGGCAATGGTGAAGACTGTCGACAGCAGTGAGAGCTCTTTCGGAGTCGCGTATTGGTGATTCGCAGACTCGTCACCGGTCTCCGTCTGGAGGCTGATTTCATTGCTTTCGGGGTTTGGTGTAGAATTCTCAGTCTTCTCTTCGAGGTGATGGTCGACGCCATTTTTGTTGTTGTTTTCGGTCAGCGCTCTATCGACGTTTGGCTCGGGCCGCGCAACGATTTCTAAACTACCCTTTCTACCAGGTTCCATGGTGTTTAGAGAGATGTTTCCTCCCCCCCCAGAGACCAAACGTTATGGAAACAGTGTACGAGCGTCCTCTTTTGTAAAGCAGAGGTTGTGTGGGTGTAATCCGGGCTTTTTCACCAAGACTCCAAGCCCTTCGATACAGATCAAGAGTAGTTGCTGCGGGTGCGGCCAAGGCTTGATAGACCCCAGGTTGGACGGAAGCTCCGTTCATCCCAAGGGTCTTTTGTCGAAAGAGCTTCTCGCCCCCTTCTGGGAGTCCTTTTGCCAGGTTGAGTAATTAGACACCCGCTTCGACTAGCGCATATGCAATCGCAATCCTGCCGGATGCACGTAAGCAACACAGCGAGAGAATCCTGCGGGAACAGCGCCGTCGGCCCAGACGGCAGCGTAGCCTAAACAGCAACTCTTCAGCTTCCCTTTACCGTTGACAATCCGATCCCCCTTCCCTTCCCTCCCCTACCCTACCCCTCTTAAACCGGATCGCTTACGAGCTTCCTATAGAAGATGCGCTACGGTTGATTGGGTGGTCAGCCGCAGGGAGCCCCCTTCGTGGGCCGGGGTCATCTCCGCGCATTTCAGCCTGGGCGTGCTAGTCACGGATTACATCGCGGTCAAGGAACCGCGGCCGTGGCTTGTATAGATATGTCAACAAAGACCCTCTAGGCCTGCCATTAATATTCGCATGTCATGGCTGTTGGCAGGGCTCTCGAAAAAACCAACATGATTTCCTCCAAGCTCCTCCTCGCGTTCTGCGCGTCGGCTGTGGTGCGGGCTTCGCCTCTCGCCAGAGACTGCAAGACGTTCCCAGGCAGTCCGGGTTGGCCGTCAGGCACTGAATGGTCACGGCTGAACGAGACTGTCGACGGTCGGCTCCTCGTGCCTCTGCTTCCCGGCGGCGTCTGCCACGAAGGGCAGCCAAACTACAACGCGGACCAATGTCCCAGGGTCCAAGAGGCCTGGAGAACCTTCGAGTTCCACGACGAGGACCCGGTGTCCATGATGTGGGACCTGTGGACCAACTACACCTGTCTCCCTTTCGGCGACTTTCCCTGCAGCGGAGCAGGCTACCCGGCGTACGTGGCGGATGTCGGCACGTCGACGCACGTCAAGGCCGCCGTCGACTTTGGTGAGTACTCACGCAGACGAAACCGACGTGGTGAACAACCTCGGCTGACAGACAGATCAACAGCTCGGGACCACAACGTCCGTCTGGTCGTGAAGAGCAGCGGCCATGACTATCTGGGGCGCTCGGTGGCGCCGGGGTCTCTGTCCATCTGGACGCACCGCCTCAACGGGATCGAGTACCACAAGGGCGGCTTCAAGCTTTCCGGGTCAGGCAGGAGCATATGCGGCGACGCCATCACCGCCGGCGCCGGGACGAAGATGGTCGACCTGTACACGGCCGCCAGCCAGCACGACCGCGCCGTCGTGGGCGGAGGGGCCAAGACCGTCTCGGTGGGCGGCTTCGTCACTGGAGGCGGCCACTCGATCCTGGCGCCGCACTACGGGCTCGCGGCAGACAACGTGCTGGAGTTGGAGGTCGTCACGCCCGGTGGGGAGATACTCACGGTCAACGAAGACCAGCACCCAGACCTGTTCTGGGCGATACGTGGTGTAAGCGCCGCATGTCTTGGGTAGCGCCAAACCCGGTGTGCTGAGCATTGTGCTAACGTTGCATCAGGGAGGAGGGTCGACCTTTGGGGTTGTGACTTCGGTGACGGTCATGACGCATCCATCCAAGAAGCTCACCATGGTCCTGTTCATGGCCTTTACCCTCCCCGAGGCCCCCTTCGCCATGGAACTCGCCACCTGGGCCACATCTCAGCTTCCTTACCTCTCCGACTCGGGCCTCTCGGGCTACCTGATGGCCACAATCAACTCAACGCCGCCCATCCCGCTCCCAGGTCTCCCGGAGAGGGTGGCCGGCCTGATGGGCAAGACCATCATACTGGACACCCAGGACGTGGGCGAGATCAACCAGATATTCGAGCCACTGAACAAAACCATCCAGGAGCGCTGGCCGGGCCAGGTCAACTTGCTGACGCTGACGCAGCCGTACGCCTCCTTCATGGACTGGTACGCCGAGAACTTTGACGACGGCCAAGCAGGCGGCTCGGTCTATCTCATCTCGCGGCTCTTGGACAGGGGTGCTCTGACCGACGACCTGGACGCCCTTGCCGGCGCGCTCGAGCCGATTCTCATCAACGACGGCTGGTTGGGGACGTACCTGGTGGCGGGGAAGGGGGTCAACGAAGCGAAACCCCGCGGCGGAGGAAATGCTGTTCATCCGGCCTGGCGAAAGGCATACGTCCACGCGAGTGAGTGCACCGTGATCGCGGCTGTAGTTCCAAGCCCTAAAGACGGTGAAGAAGAAGACATTCTAACGGTCGATAGTCACCTGGCTGGGATGGGGTTATCCTCCCTTTGACGATACCGCTTCAGGGAGGACCAGAAAGATTCTGAACGACAGGTTCAAGGCCATCCGCGAGCTCACCCCGGGCGGCGGTTCCTACATGAACGAAGTGAGTTCCCCCTTTTCTCGACTGCTCGGAGGGAAGTGGGCAGGTTAGGCGGTTATGCTGACGATGCGACATAGGGCTTCCCCTACGAGGAGAACTGGCAGCAGGCGTTCTGGGGCGAAAACTACGAGCGGCTGCTCAGGATCAAGCGCGAGGTCGACCCATACGATGTCCTGTGGTGCACACCTTGTGTGGGCAGTGAAGGGTGGGAGGAGAGGGGCGACGGTCACCTTTGTAAGATCCAGTAGGCTGGCACGTTTGGAGTATGCCACATATCTCGGTCAGACCTGATAGTGTTGAAATAAGGCGGAACTCAGCATGAGTTGCATATAAAAGTCTGCATCTCTAACCGCCAATGCACCACTCGCGCGTATCCATAACAGGGGATCAGACACTGCATCCGGTGATGTCCACCGTGATGGCGTCCGGAGCATTGATGTCGATAACCATGAAGCCATCGACACTGTGTCGGTCTGGTTTTGACTATCTCTTAAAGCTCAGTAGGACATGCTAAATCTTCCACACCCCAAGGAAGTAGGAGCCGCTGTCGGCGATGGAGAGTCAGCCCTTACTGAGGGGCACCGAGGCGGCGGTGGATACTGTGAGCGAAAGAAATTAGAACCGAGGCATGTGTGGTCAAGTGTGTCCAGCCGGACAATCGAAAAGCGGCTTGGCCGAGAGAGAGAGAGGGGGGGGGGGGGGGGCGCATACGCACCTTTTTGTACGAGCCCAGCGGTCGTAGCTAAGTAACGATTGCCGCCGCCTCTCATTGCACGACCGGAAGATATCCGCTCGACCATGTTATGGATCATTGCACGGCTCATCAACAAAGCATATCAAGCTCTTTCGGATAGTGTACGCAATGCTCGGGTTGAGATGCCATTGTGGGGTGAATGGAGGATGGTCAGGGAGATTCAAAAACCCCTTTATAGAAAGGGAAAGGATAGACGATAACTCGGTTAGGGGTGCCCTCTCGCGTGTATTTATTGCAAATCGGAGAGGGTGGAGGCCGGCCATGCCAAGAAGAATATCAAGACGTGGCCCCGGTACGAAGACCACCGGCGACGAGGGATCAAAGGGCTCGAGCTACATTGGCGCATGCGTAATCGGGAGCCAACCCCGGTCAAATACAGTCGAAGCTTGGGGAGGGGGGGAGGGTGGACGTCCCCCTCTATTCAGTCTTTTTCCGAGACACACACGCGTGCAAAAATGGTGGGATCAGACCATGCAATTGACATGGAACGGACACCAGCACGTGATGTTTCCTCGTCCGCTCGCCCAGCCACCGTACCAGACAGACCTTGGTCAGATGAAGATGACGAGTCAAAGAAGCACCAAGCACCAGACAGACATGGTGGTTCGAGATGTGTCACCAGTGCAGCACCTTGATTACTCTCAGCGGCTGCCTTTCATGCTGCCGCTGTCGCAAGCAAACGCGCACTTGCCAAGGCATGTTGACTCAGGAACCTGCCGTCGCGATGACGGGTCGTCCCATCAGTAGACTAACTGAATTACATGCGTACGAAATACCTACAGTTGCATATACCCCAGTGCCGAATTCGCTCGGCCGTGATACTCGGTAATACCTAGGTAAGTAAAACGAGCTACGATTACAAATACGGGCCGTCCGCCTCCGAATCCGGAGCCGGTGGGTTGGGTCTAGTCCCCCACCAATCGGCCCCACTCACCCTTGCCGGGGCAAAACTTTTTCTTCTCCCTTTGTTGCGGTTGCACGGGACGCGAGCCGACTCTCTCCGGATTCTCCAGACTCCAGTTTCCACGACTCCACGACTCCCTCACTCTGTCTCGCTGTGTCTCATCTCCATTCCATCTCTTCCTCGCTCTCTCGCTCTGTCGTTGTTTGTCGCGGTCGAACCACCACCCACAACTCCAACGCACGTTTCGCACCGTCTGATCACCCCCCTCCCCCAAGACGTTGAAGGGTTGATGCGCTGATGCGGCCCGGCGCTAGTTGAAGCAACCCTTCCGGCAGCCCGAACCCAATCCAATAATCTTAACTTTGTGCCTGTCCTGTCCTGCCCTGTCCTGCCCTGTCCTGCCCTGTGCTTCCCTCCCTTGCCAGACAGTTAGTTACCTGTCACTTTGTCTTCTTTTCTTTTCCCATAACGACCCCTCCATCTCCTCTTCCGCCGCCGCCGCCGCCGCCGCCGCCGCCGCCATCGTGGTGCCGTCTCGTACGAACCCGCCCACCACCACCACCACCACTATGGATTCCCGCCATCAAGATGACCGGGCCGGCGAGACAACGCCGCTGCTGTCGGACCAGCCGTACCAGAAGCCCGACAACGCCGAGCCGGCAGAGGGCGGCTGGCTGGCCGAGGCCTGGCTGCTGTGCCGGTACTCGCTGCCTCTCATCGCAACCTACCTGCTCCAGTACTCCTTCACCGTCATCACCACCTTCGTGGCCGGCCACCTGAGCGCCGACGACCTCGCCGCCGCTAGCATCGGCCTGACGACCATGAACATCCTCGGCCTTGCCATCTACGAGGGCATGGCCACCGCCCTCGACACCCTCTGCGCCCAGGCCCACGGTTCCGGCCGCCTCACCGCCGTCGGTCTGCACGTTCAGCGCATGCTCATCCTCATGGCCCTCGCCACCATCCCCATCGGCCTCTTCTGGGTCTTCTCGCCTTCCATCCTCGGCCTGTTTGTCAAGCAGCACCACCTCGCCGTCAAGGCCGGCTCGTTCCTGCGCGTCAGCCTGGTCGGCATGCCAGGCTACGCGGCCTTCGAGGCCCTGAAGCGCTTCCTGCAGGCCCAGGGCGACTTCAAGAGCGCCATGGTCGTCCTCATCGTCTGCGCCCCGCTCAACGCCCTCTTCAGCTGGCTCTTCGCCTTCTATCTGGGCATGGGCCTCGAGGGCGCGGCGCTGGGCCAGGCCCTGGCCAACGACCTGCGGGCCGTCTTCCTGCTCGCCTACATCGTCTTCTGGGGCCGGTGGTCGCACGGCTGCTGGGGCGGCTTCTCGCGCGAGGCGTTTGCCGAGTGGGGGGCCCCGGTGCGGCTCTCGGTTGCCGGCGCGGCGGTCAACATTGGCGAGTGGGCCGCCTTCGAGATCCTGACGCTCAGCACCTCGTACCTGAGCACGGAGCACCTTGCCGCGCAGACCATCCTCACGACCATCTCGGTCGTCATGTGGCATATACCCTTCTCCATCTCCGTCGCCGTCAGCACCCGCATCGGCCACCTCATCGGGGCGGGCCTCGTGCCAACCGCCCGGCGGGCCGCCGCAGTGTGCGCCGTCGTCTTCGTCGTCGTCGGCGTGCTGGACGCCATCCTCGTCTTCGTGTTCCGCAACCAGCTCGGCCTTGTCTTCTCCGAGGACGCCGTCGTCCGGCGGCTGACGACGAACTCGATGCTCGCCGTCGCGGCGTTCCAGCTCATCGACTCCATCATCAGCGGCTGCAACGGCGTGCTGCGCGGGCTCGGCCAGCAGTCGGTGGCGGCGTGCATCGTCTTCGTCGTCAACTACCTGGCTGCGGTGCCGGTCGCCGTCTGGCTCGAGCTGGGGACGCCGGAAATGGAGCTCAACGGCGCATGGATCGGCCTGGGTAGCGGCATGGTTGTGATTGCCATCATCGAGTGCATCTACATGAAGATGGTTCGATGGCAAGACTGCGTTGAGAGAGTCAAAGAAAGGGAAGGGTTGTAAAACGGCTTTTCTTTTGTCCTGCTTTCCTTTTCTTCTCTTCTTCTTCTCAGCGCAGCATAGAATGGCGCGGTTGCATCACATACCATAGACCAAAACTAATTATATGTAGTTGTGTTTACCGCTGGCCTGGCCTATAGCAGTACTCCATGCGGCGAAGCCCTGATGGCAAATGCGTGTGGCTAGATTGTCTTAATACAATGGAATATGGATCAACATCGATTGTTCAGCTTCATCGTCTCTTGGTGCCGAGTCGAAAGAAAGTAGTTGGTGCCGAAGCATGAGGCAGACAGACACACAGTCACGGCTTTCCCGGGATTGTCTCTGATGTTGAGTTGAGATGGTTGTGCGCAGAAGGGAAGGACCAGTCGCCGTCGGTCGCTGCTGCCATGTACAAGATACATGACGCTTAGGTAAGGCGATACCGTCTCATTATGTCAGCAGTGGCCGGGCTATGGGCGGACAGGGACGACGGTGATGGAGAAGGAAGTACTTGATTACCCAGCTGACCAGCTAGGATAAGTACTTGGTACCTGAGGTATGTCTCCGGCGCACGTCACCCGCCTTTTCCCATCTTCAAACCCTCCTCCACTCTCGAACACCATCGCCAAATTACCCACGCGCATCTTAGCCGCACATTCACGTCTCCAGCGATACCAGATCAAGTCCACGCATCTTTCGGCCGGAGCAGGTACCGACTGCTATGCCCTTCCGCCTCTCAGTCGCCTGCCTGTACTTGCTATGCCGCGTAACGGGACTCAAGGCCGGGCCGTCGCCTCCAGACAATCTGTGTGCCCCGTGTGCTACAACCTAGATCGGGACCGTATACCCGTGTTGAACCCGCCCGCCAAGTTTCCGACTCTTCTGTCATGCGAGTTCAAGCAGCTTGCCAGAGCCGGCAAGAAGGGATGCCAGACATGCTACGCCATCAAAGTAGGCATGCTGCTCATGCTGGGTCTCGACGCTCACGAGCGAAAGCTCAGGTTCAGTTTGTGTATCGTCTGCATAGAGCTCAGTGATATCGTCAGAGTGTTTTTCGTTACCGCCTACACCGATCCCCAAGGCAACCTCGTTCCGAATCCGCTGTCCTTTGAGGTTTTCACCCAGGTGGCCTTTGAGCTTTTCACCAAACCAGGTGAGAGCCACTTGCACCTCGCCAATTACACCCGAATGCTGCCTCTGATACTGACCCCGTCCCAGAAAAGCCGTCGCCCTGGCCCGCCTTCGGCCCGGCCAACGAGGTCACTCCGACCTTGCACTCCAAGCGTCGGCAAAAGATGATGCGTGGCTGGATCGAGAAGTGCACTGCGTCGCACCCAACCTGCCGCGCAACCCTTCGCCACGGCGTCCAAGGCTCGGCTCCCAGGCGATACCTGGACCTGGGCAAGGATCCACGAAATGGTGTCAAGCTGGTCGATACTTCCGCCTCTCCCGGATCTTATGTCGCCATCATCCACGGCGTTGCCCGGCCCTTGCCGGTCCCTTGTTCATTTACCACCGCCGAGAACCTCGAGGAGCGTCAGAGGCGCATGGAATGGTGGCGGATCCCGGTGGCCTTGCAAGAAGCCTTGACAGTGGCCAACGAGCAGGGCGTTCGGTACGCTTGGATCCCCGATTTTTGCGTCCTCCATGGCGACGTCGAAGACCACAACTGGCATCTGGACCGCGAAGATGCCATCTTCCGGCATGCGCACTTCACCATTGCGCTGGCCGATACCACCGATCTCAGGCTCAGCAACTTTCGCCCAGTCCGTAAAGCTGACGCCGACGGTACCGACGAAAGGACCGGGTCCAGGACCATCCAAATCAGCCACCATGGCCGCACCTACCCCATCCAGGTCCGCCCAAGCATGCATTGGAGTGACTGGATGATGGTCGAGAGGGCATTTATGCGACCGATGGCGACCAAGACCCACCTCTTCGCCCTCAGCCGTCGCAAGATGGGCATCTTGCGACACGCGCCATCGTTTCAACGCTTTCTGCTGTCGCCCAGGGTCCTGCATCTGCACAGGGCCGAGATGGTATGGGACTGCCTAGAAGGCTCGGCATGCGAGTGCGGAGATGAGCATTACTTGAATACCCATGAAAAGGTCTCGCAACGGCTACCGAGAGAAAAGTTCCACACGATGGGTTGTATCGGAAACCTCGACCATGTGTTGCAGATGTACATGAACCTGCCGCTCTCACAGCCCGACCATAGGCTAGCTCACATGACAGGCATGCTCCGTCACATCTCCCAGGTCACCGGTAAGCGGTACTTTGCCGCCATCCCGACGAGCTCACCTGCGGAACTGGCGGGGGAGCTCCTGTGGAACCTCAACCCGAGCCCGGACCCTACCGAGTCCGGGACACAGCCCGTCACCAGAAGCTATCGCCATCACACCCCTTGCATCCCCACATGGTCTTGGGCATCCATGGTGCTTGCAGACGATCAGGTCATTGGAAGCGCCGCGTCAATCCTACCCGGTTTGAGTCTCGGTCCTCTCGTCCCGAGCCCTTCTTTCCACTTCTGGGACGCCAGATGCACAACGGCGCCAGGAAGCTCCGGAGATGGTTTGCTGGCCAGCGCGTACCAACTCGAAGTTTCGGCCAACGTGGTGCGAGGAAGGGTGCATGCCCCGCCAGAGCAGGTCATCGGGATGCACGATGCACCACAGCTGCTTTTCACACCAGAAGCTGCACCCGGCGAGATACGTTACAGACCCATAGTGTTCCGACTGGATTGCGAAGAAGTCCTCTCATCGGTGAAATCTAGTCAGAGTCCCGTGAATTTCTACTTCATGTCGCTCGGCAAGATGATGATGAAAGAAGCCGTCGCTGACCCGCTGAACATTGACGGCGTAGATGTCGGTCTCGTCCTGCGCCGCTCCCAGCGGGATTATGCGCTCGGATTCGAGCGGGTAGGTGTTTTCGCAATACCTACGGGCTTTTACCTAGACTTTAGTGTACAACGGCTAGTCCTCGTCTAAGACGGGGAAGGGAATGAAAAAGAAGAAGATGCGAGATGGAGGGGGGGGTGGGGGATGCTGGAGAGGAAACACTTGGGCCCGGAGGGCTATAGTGGCGTTCCACTCAGGCATCGTCGGCCACCGGTGACGGGCTCAGCCCCGACTTGTAGGGCCGCCAGTGGGGAAACCCGGACTGCCGTCTGGGACCGTCCGGGACCGTCCGGTCGGTCCCATCTGGCTCAATTGCCGAGAGCAGTGCTCGGTCGGCACGGGTGACAACGATGCACATCAGCTAATCTTGCCGCTTTGAAGTACTCGAGCCTATTCTCCTCGCATGCATGCTCCGGGCATGTCTGTCGGTCACCAACGCCAGCCAGTGTCGGCCAACGTCGGCTGCCTGCTTGCCTGTTCCTAAAGGCGCTTCGGAATTTAACAAAAAAAGGTGCATGACGGAGCAAAAGCAAACCGCGATCCGTGGGACTCGAACCCACAGCCTTCCGATGGCCTTTTTAACAATGTAAAAGTCGGACGCTCTGACCAAGTTGAGCTAGGAAAGCGAACCGGCCGATTGGGGTCCGTTGCCGAGCACCGTTTGATGGTTATATTCCCATGGGTGGTGGAGCAGCGAGTGGATCTACCGCGCTTAGGCTGGAAGCCTCGGTGACCAGCCTGTGTCTCTGACTCAATAGCCTGGTTGTTCGAGTTGTGGAAGGGAGTAAGAGACGTTGGTGAAGTCGGCGCGGAGCCCTATGCAGTATTGAAGACCGACGACAGCCACCAGCCACGTCCTCCATAGTAATTAATCAACATATACAGAAAGAATTATGGGGGCGAAATCGAGAGGCTCGGAGGATTACTCGAAAAATCATGGCTAGTTGTTCTTGAATTGATCCGGAAGCCGCCTATACGTTCCTCCACGCTTGTTCAAATGCCGCGATTTGCTTCTCGGTGTGTTTCACATATTTTTTCATCTCGGATTCCATGACGATCGAAAGCTCAGGCGCATCTCCGTCTGGATGGAGCTTGTAGAGCTCTGCCCAATATATAGCGTCAACATGGTCAGCATTGTGGGCGACGTAGTTGAACCAGCACTGCTTGCTGGTCCAAGACTCAAGCATCACAGCAGACAGTGGCTTTTGTCCCTCCTCAGCCTGCCCCGCTTGCTCTACCTTCCTCATGGCAGCCAGAAACCGGTCCAGATAAGGCTGATAGGTTTTCAAAAACCAGGGGAAAAAGTCTCGTTCAAGACACTGGCCTGGGAGTACTCTGTGCAACCACAATGGCGGATCTTGTGCAAACTGAGCTGGCATGGCGTTGGTGAACTCGAGATCGAGAATGCCCATGATGCGGCCAGTGTTTGGATCGACGACCATGTTTCGCGGGTCGAGATCCGGGTTGAAAGGGAGGAAAGGGCCCCTGTCATCCATACGGTTGCAGAACAGAGGAATGAGCTGTTTGAAACCCATACGGGCTCTGAACCTCAGTCGGGAGATTTCGGCGGCCTGCTTCAGAACGTCCTGTTCACGGTTATGCGGCATGTTCAAATTGCGCAGTCCCCAGAGCTGGTTGTGCTGCTGATCCACCACAAAATCGAAGTAGTCGCTGGATCGCTGCAGTGGCTTGGTGGGCCATCCGTCAGTCCGATATCCGTGAACACCTAACACGAGCTGGTGCATGTCCATGGTAAAGGGGCGTTGTGTGACTTCCCATTGACTCGAGAGTCCATCCTTGGCTATAGACCCAATCTTTTTGAAACGCAAGCGGTTGAGTTGGAGGTAAAATCCGGCCAGTTGTTCGTAGACGGTCGAGCGCATGGCGTCGGCGGCATGGTCCTCGTCTGGTGCTGACAGGCTCGCCAGGAAGTCGCGAAGGTTCTCTCCTTCGATAAAGTCCATCAGGATGAAGGGGAGATGGAGTGGTGGGTTGTTGGATATTTGTAGGCTAGAGTTGTGCACGTGTGGAATAGGTATAGTCGTATTCGCTTTTAAATATTCCATCCATGCGACTTCGTTTGCCAACTTCTCTATGGCGAGAGTTAGAGGTGTATTTCCTGGCTTAGGAAATCGAAGCGCTGCGTCGTTCCCAGTGGGGAACCGAAACCGGAACATCATATTATAGGACCCTTCAACCCTTTCGACGAACTTTGCTGGACCACGGTTCAACTTTTGGGTAACGAAAACTTCCAGCTCACTAATGACGCCGTCATTAACGATGGACGATTGCCAATTCTCGTATTGCTTGCCGCCTTCACTATAAAGCAAACCATCGTACGTAACAGTCAGTGATGATGTCGGGAGTTGTTGTCCCATGGTGAAATATAAAGTAGAGAAATGACGGTGGGTAGGAGAATGTGTCGAGGGACAGGGAGATGAAAGAAAGAGATGGAAGGAGAGTGGAGGAGAAACCCTCAGTGCCACCGGATCTGCAAGCCTCATTCCTAACTGCTCTCCAGGACTCCAGACCAACTGCCCATCAGGCCGCATCGTGCAGCTTGCCTATCGGTACGTATATAGGAAAAGCAATTAACAGAAGAGGGATGTCACCGAGCACCTCCGTAGCATCCAGCGGCGTAGCTTGTGCTCGCAGGGGGCGATGCAACCATCCCAGTTGGGTAATCGTCAACTGGTTCAGAGTCACCAACCAAAGGTGCACGGAATCAAGCTGTCTATTTACATCATGAGGCGCAGGGAGCTCATCTAGTGCCAATAATTACAGGCCAAGCGATCACTCGATTGATTAGCGAAAGGGGTCTATCAGTGGTCATGGCCAGTTGGGGGTCCCAGCTGCTTCACCAAGAAGGCAAAGATAATAGTCGCTTCTAACAGGGTGCCTAGTATTAGCAGCCAGGACCCTGACTCTATATTGCCAAGGCTGTTTTAACTAATAGCCCTAACCTACCTAAGACAGCGGTAGACACTTTCACAATCCTCACCTATGCCTCAACCCCCTTCTTGGCATGTGGATGGCCTGACTTGGAATCGCGTTCGCTTAGAATGCCATCACCGACCTTCCCGAGGGATACTGAGGACTCGCTTGGCATCGCCTACATCGTACAGGCCACAGCAGTGACTTTCATTTCTACTGGTAAACTCGTCCAACGACGACACCGAGAAGTTGCAGGAAGCCTTCGTTGATCGATAAGCTGTACGATGAGGTTGGAAGACAGGCTTGGCAAGGAACGCCTAGCCGAAGAGGACTTAGGCTGGAAGCCTCGATAACCAGCCTATCTCTGACTCAATCGACGACTTTTTGTCTGCACATCGACAGCTCAAGTTGCGACTCTTCCAAGATTAAAAACAGGGGAAAGGAAAAATAAACGCTGGTTAAGGTGCTAGTTCACTGAGTCGTTGAAATGCCAAAGCTTGTTACAGCCCAGACCGCTCTTTTTGTGGACAAGGGAGAGGTGACTCCGAGGACGCGGATGAGACAGGTATAATAAGCTCTCTTGCGTCAAGGTTTGCCATTGATTATTACCACGAGGATCGATAGCTCAGTGGTAGAGCGAGAGATTGCAGTTCAATAACAGCAACCATCTCTAGGCCCCGCGTTCGAACCGCGGTCGGTCCTTGCTACGTTTCCTTTTGCCGTTGAGTGGCACCCACGCACTTCCGCAGAACTACCTGGGCTATTTTGGGTTGCTTCTCTTTTTAGAGTTTAGGGAGACGACTCCACTTCCTCTTTAATGACTCGACCGATGCTTTGCGATTTTATCGTCGCAACGGCTGCTGCTAGCTACGTCGATCGTTTCTCATGGCGAATATCGTCAGAAGTATGTATGTATGTATGTACAGTGTGTGTAAGTCCGTATAGATGTATGTGCGTGATGAGTCTGTCGACGTCAGTCCATGTCGATGCTCATCAAACACCAAAGGGGCCCTAGCGGCTTCCACCTCGACATCTCCTCCGGCAGCCGGTGCCGCTTCAGCATTTCCCTTTCGAGAGACGCCGTCTCTCGAACGCGTCAATCCGACTTGGCCATCGTCGGTCTTAGCCACGCATGAATCGGGAAGGATAGCAAGATGCCACGTACAACGGTTTTATTGTTTTGATTACATGCCGACAGATCTCGTCCCTCTCCTCTCCTCCAAGAACCAACAACACGACGGAGCCTCCCCCTACTTCCTGCGCGACGGCCTCGCGTTCTTCTCCATGCGCTTCTGCTTCTCCCACCGCGCCTTGCGGATGTCCTCGACGCCCCTGATCTCCTTGCGGTTGCCGGCGCCGTCGCGGAACTGGCCGACGCGCTTCTCCTTGGCCTCGGCGATGCGCTTCTTGCGCACCTCGTAGTCGTCGCGGAACTTGTCCGCCGGCTTCGGCGCCCGCTCCTGCTTGTGCTTGTACTTGTGGCTCGCCGGCAGCTCCGGCCCGTTCGCCTTCTCGAGCGCGCCCACCTGGATCCGCCCCAGGCGGTTGGCCTTGCGCCACCGGTCGAAGCGCCCGCTCTGGAAGCTGGCCGCGATCTTGACGCCGCTCTCGCCGCGCACGTACTTGGCCCCCTTGGAGCCGTCCTCGTCGTTCTGCCGCGCCACGTACTTGTTCTGCTTCTTGTCCCAGCGCATGCCCTTGGCCCGCGACGGCTCGCCGAAGCCCTTGGCCGTGTCGTCGTTTGTGAGGTCCATCGTGACGTTGCGCGCCGCCTCGACGAAGCTCGACATCTGCGCCCCCGACGTGACGCCGTAGCCCCGCTCCTCGGCCGTGTTGATCGTCCTGGGCGTGTAGGACATGAAGACCTCCGAGTCCCTCCACGACTCGGGCTTCTTCTTCTTCTCGCCCGTGTTGGTGACGGTGACTTCGAACCCGTCATCGTCGTCGTCGTCGTCATCGTCCTTGTCCGAGTCGTCAGAGTCGTAGGCCTCCATGGCTTGCGCGTTCGCCTCCTCGTCCGATCCGGCGTCCGAGCCGTTCGCGGCGTCGTCCAGGTCCTCCATTTCTTCGTCCGAGTCGACCTTCTTCTCCTTGTTGCCGCGGTGTGGCGTGATGCGTTTCCTCAGCTGCTTCATGACTTCCACCGCCTCGCTGCTCGAGCCCTTTCCTCCTCTTCCAATCTCGAAGATGGTCTCGGCCGGCCTGAAGCCGCTGATCTTGGCCATCATCTCGTTGCGCGCCTGTTCGGCGTTGTTCATGTCCGCACCAAAAATGGGGTGCAGTGAGTGCCACCCTTTGGTCCCCACGAGCTCGCGGGCTCGCTTTGCGCTCTGGCTGGACGCCGAGTGGCGAGTCTTGAGGTACAGCTTCTCGGCCTTTGCCGAGACTTTACGCATGGCCTCGATGTCGGCCTCCTCTTTCAGAACCTTCTCCATCCACTCCATATGGATCTCGATTCTGTCACGTCTGAGCCCGCCAACGACGACATCCTCGGCGTAGGATGGGCTCTCGGTCTCGTGGCCCACCACCAGCCTGCGGCCGAGGAAGAGCTGGAGATCCAGGAGGTAGGGGGTGTCGAGCTCCCGCACGATGCTGTACGCCCAACCCCTCTGGCCGGCACGGGCCGTACGTCCAACGCGGTGCACGAAGACCTTGGGCTGGGGAGGGAAGTCGTAGTTGATGACGTTGGCCAAAACAGGGATATCGATACCTCTGGCCGCGACGTCCGTCACCACCAGGATGTTGGCTCGTCCGTTGCGGAAGTTCTCGGTGTTGATGCGACGGGCCTCTTGGTCGAGAGAACCGTAGACGTACGACACAGCATAGCCGGCTTTCGTCAGCAGCTGGGCGAGGTATTCAACGTGATGCTTCGTTGCCGCAAAGATGATGGTCGAGTGTTCCGTCGGCTTTCCCCTGCCTTCGCCCTCGCGCTTTCGCTTCTTGGACGGCACAACATCCAGGGGAACTCCGTCGGGTGTGCCGTGGGGCATCTTGATGAGGTCGCTAAGGATGTGAAGCAGGGCAGCCTCCTTCTCGGCTCCCTTGACGGAGAAAAAGGCACTCTCGAGGTCCGGCGAGACCTTGGTCTCGGCATCCAATCTCACGAGGGTGGGGTCCTGCAGACCGGCTCTGGCGAATTCGACCAAGGAGGCCGGCAAGGTAGCAGAGAACAGCAGACTCTGCCTCGACGGGGGGAGGGCGTGTAGAATCTCGGTAAGCTGGGCAGCGAAACCCATTTCGAAAAGACGATCGGCCTCGTCAAAGACGACGTACTTGATGGAGGACAGGTCCAGGCCCATTTCGACCTTGAGATGGAGGAAACGACCGGGGGTGGCGATGACGATATCCGGGTTGGACGCCATCATGCTGAACTGGTCCTCCATGCTGTCACCACCGACGAGCAGGATGCACTTCAGGTCTGTCCCCTTGCTGAACTCCTTGACGACCTTGAGCGTCTGGAGCGCAAGCTCACGAGACGGCGACATGATGAGGGCGCGCGTGCCGACCTTTGCGCTGTGGGCGCGCAGGCGCTCGATCATGGGAATGACGAAGGCGGCCGTCTTTCCGGAACCCGTTCTCGCCATGCCCACGACGTCCTTGCGGTCCATGATCAGGGGGATCGTTTTTCGCTGAATCGGCGTGGGGACGGAAAATCCCTTCTTCGTAATGGCGCGGAGGAGGTTCGCATTCAGACCTTGCAGACAGTGTTAGATCTCACCATGCCGCGACGGACAACAAGAAGAAGCAACGCGCCGCCTGCATCGAATCGATCGACTTACCCATGGCCTGGAAACCGCCTCCCTTCTTGACCGACTTGCCCTTCAGGTTGGACGCCTTGCGGAAAGATGCTGCCTGCTGCAGCGCAATGAAGGCTTCATCGCCATCGTCTTCGGCCTGGCCCCCTTCGTTGCCGTTCAGGATCCCGTCCACGTCGAAGTCGAAGTCTGGGGCGTTCTGTCCGTCATCGCTCCCGTTGTCGCTGGCGTTCGCGGCGAAGAGGGAGTCTGCAATGTCGACCTCTCCGTCGGAGGGCGCAGGGGATGCCGCGCGACGAGGCATCTTAGACAGCTGAGATGTTTCGCGAAGCCGTATGTGTCGTCGTCGTTGATTGGCTCGTGAAGATTGACTCGTGAAGATTGATTTTCACCGAGTTGCGAAACAAGCAAAGCTGGAGCAGCACCCAAGAGCTGGCGAGCCGCCTTCGAAAATTTGGGCGGGCGGGAAGAGAGAAATTTCTTATCGTTATCATATCTTAGCGTCGTGGGGCAACCACTGCAAGTACAGGGGGGGTGCTTATCAACTGGGGATCTTGAGCGGGTCCATGTGGCTTGTCACACAGCACCCGCACCACCCTTGGCCTCGTGCTGAACCTCGCGCTGAACCTCGCACTCGATCTAACAAAAACTACCACCATCCCACCATCCCTCCCACCATCAGTCCTTCACGACACTCGTACACTGGATCGACTGAAGCGCGGAACTCATCATGGCAACACCAGACGTGAAAGAGGAGAAGGATGCGCTCGACGCGCTCGAGCTCGAGGCAAAGGAGTTTGACAAGGTAAATGCGACGGCTGCGGAGCGAGAGAGAGCACGCGAGCAAGAACCCAGCACTAACAAGGCGCCTTCTCGCCTCCCCCCTTCAACAGGATGCCGAGATCGACAGAATCCTCAAGGCCTTCAGGCTAGACGCCTACGCCGTCCTCGACCTCCAGCCCGGCGTGCCCGAGTCGGACATCAAGGCCACCTACCGCAAGAAGTCGCTCCTGATCCACCCGGACAAGACCAAGAACCCGCTGGCGCCCGACGCCTTCGACCGGCTCAAGAAGGCCCAGACGGAGCTGATGGACGAGAAGCACCGCGAGCGGCTTGACGAGGCCATCGCCGACGCCCGCATGCTGCTGATCCGCGAGAACAAGTGGACCGTCGACAGCCCCGAGATCAAGACGGACGAGTTCGCCAAGAAGTGGCGCGACAAGACGCGCGAGGTGCTCATCGACAACGAGCACCGCCGCCGCCGCCAGCTCAAGGCCCAGATGCAGGAGGAGGGCCGAGAGCAGAAGAAGGAGGAGGAGGAGCTGGAGCAGCGCAAGCGCAAGCGCCAGCACGAGCAGGACTGGGAGGCCACGCGGGACCAGCGCATCAGCAGCTGGCGGGATTTCCAAAAGGGCAAGTCGGGCGATGGGAAGAAGAAGAAGAAGATGAAGCCCATCGGCTAAGGGCTCTTGGGGAGGGCGGGGGAGTGGGGTGGACTCGCCGCGGACACACGTTGGTTCGTTCGTCCCCGTTGGGTTCTTTTGCGCAACTGTTTCTTCCACGGGTGGGCAAAGGTGTTTTGGGAATAGACGGGGAGGGGTTCTTCATTATACCGTGGCAAGTCTCGACTACGGCGATTTTTTATTTTTATTTTTTCCCCCTTTCTCGATCACGCCAAACGCGACAGCATGGTTGAATCAACGAACCTGTGAGTTTGATATCGAACACCGCGATCATGTCCCTAACCACGTCAGAAGTGCAATGCCCGTGTCTCCTCAACCACCCCCAAAATTCGACGTCTTTCATCTAGCCAGGTAAGCACCTTTCCCTCCCGTCCCGTCCGTTGCATCGTGAATGTGCTTTTCATAATCTCTCTGTAAACATGTACTTTTGACAGCCTGCCCACCATGCATCCGTTCCCTGGCGCCTGTCCACAAAATCGAGGGGCCTTCGCAATGATCCCAAAAGGCGTTACGAACACACCCACATATCATCTTGGTGAGAGCGCTACCCGCCCATTGTTTAGGGCCGCTACTGCTGCTGCTGCTGCTGCTGCTGCTGCTTCTTCTTCTTCTTGTACTGGATGAACCGTCCGAGGTTCAACGCAACCTCGTCCGCCCGGGTGCGCAGCTCTGGCTGCGTCCTCTTATCGATCCTCTTCACCAAGGCCTTGACCTTGGGCTGGGCCGCCTCGAGGTGCGGCAGGAAGTTGTCCTTCCAGAAGACCTCCTTGTCGCACGCCAGGTCTTCGTCGCCGTAGATGTCGAACAGCTGGTTGAGGGCCTCGACGGCGTCGGCGGCGGGCGTCTCAGGCAGCGCGTTGACGACGGTGGTGAGGAAGACGCCGATCTCCCTGTTGAGGGCGATGGGGGCGGGGTCCCTTGCCAGCTGGCCCAGGACGCCGATGCACTTGACGCCGAGGCCCTGGAACGGGTCTTCGGGCTCCTCGTCCTTGGACTTGTCGCCGTTCGGGTTGGGCTGGTGAAGACCCTTGGTCGCCTGGTAGAGAGCCATGAATTTGTTGTGCTCGTCGCCGCTTAGGGGCACGCGTCCAGGTAGGCTCCGGGAGACGGCCCACGCGAGGCTGGTCACCTTGGTCGCCAGCTCGACGTCGGCGGTGTTGGCGGCCAGGATGGGGACAACGACGTTGCTCCAGATGGCCTTGCCGGAGGGCGTCCATGCCTTCAGGATGGCGGCGTTGTGGTCTTGTGAGAAATCGAACACGGAGATGGACCAGGCAATGTTGCTAAGGGCGGACAGGGCATGCGCCTGGAGCTGTGCGGCATCCTCGGACTGCGAAGATGCGGTCGCGAGGGCAACGAGTTGCGGGACGGCCTGCTGTACCAGCTCGCGCAGCGTAGGCAGGTCGTCCATGCCGGCCTCGTCGTCGTCGTCGTCAACACCAGTGACCAAGTCCATGTCGGCCTGCAGCGCGTCTTCGTCCATTGAGTCGTCGTCGTGGTCGTCGTCTTCGTCGTCATTGTCGTCCTCGCCGGCGTTGTCCTCCTCGCCAGAACCGTGCTCCATGTCTTTGTCGTCCTCGTCCATGGCGGTGTCGTCTCCGCCGCCGATTGCGTTCCACTCCTCTCCGTCCTTGCTGCCGCTGCCCCGCATGGACTGCTGGAGGGTTGTTCCAATGTCGGCCAGAATCTCCAACGCCAGCTGCAAGACCTCGGTCGGGTTGGACCATTGGCACTTGGGCGGCAGGTCGGAGTCCTGCTTTGGGTCCCTCAGTGCCGAGGATAGGGTCGGGATCAGGGACGCATCAGACAGGCTCTTTTGGTCGGGGGTGCCGTCGAACCATTGCATGGCAGTGAGAATGTTGTGCAAAACACCGCAGGCCAAAACACCCTTGGCGCCGGACACGCCTTGCAGCTCGATCAGAGCCGTCAGGGGCTTGGGGCTGTTGTCGGCAACAACGTCCCGGGCGAGACGGGTGTTGTCCTCGGACAGGGTAAGGAGGGCAGAAAGGGCATCGAGACAGACGCTTGGTGGTGAGTCGGCGTAAGCGATGATTGCGAAGAGGAGGTTCTTGATGGCCTCGATGGTCACGATCGCCTCGAGAATCCCATCTTGAGCCTCGGCCAGGGCGGACAAGAGAGCGATGACAGGCTCGGCGATTGCCCAGGTCGCCTTGAGTTCAGCCTTGCTCAGAGTAGCGGCGCTGGTGATGTTTTGGAGGATCTGAACATGGTTAGCACCCGTGCGTCTCGTTGTACCTATATACGAACCGTGTCGTATTAGTTGCGGGATGGGTTACTTACGGCCTGGGAGGCAAATCCCATGGCACTCAGGACATCCTGGCGGTAGAGGTGGATGCAAAAGTCGGACTCCTCCTCTTCGGCAAGGACCCTCAGGATGTCCCAGCCGGCGGCGCGGCTGTCGAGGCTGGCGTCGGTGAGAGTCTCGTTGAGGATGATATGGACGATCTGCTCGCGCAGCAGCAACTTGCGGCACTTTTCATTGGATACGATATTTGAGACGGCCTCGGCGGCGGCGGTGCGCGACTTGGGGTCGGAGCTCTGCAGGTCCTTGATGATGGGCAGAATGGACTTCTCCCTCAGAGCAGCGAGCTCGGGGTCGGAGGGCGGCTTGACGGTTTTGGCGATGGGGTCCTTGCGATGGCTTTGGCCACCTCTGTTTCGTCTCGACTTGCCCATGTTGCGCAAAGTGTTTCTGGGGGATGTGCTTGCAGATGGGAATAAGATTTTAAGAGTTTTGAGAAATGTCTTCTTGGTATTGGTAGATATATGCTCTTGAGCTGTTTCGTGACCGACCCTGTTCAAGTCCAGTGCTTTGCTTTTTCTTTTCTTTTTTTCTCCCTATAATAAAGAAAAAAAAGAAAAAAAAAGAGAGAGCTGGGTGGGGAAGTTCGAAAAGGCGTTGCTACGGGCAGCCACAGTGTGGCTCGGGGATCGAACAGATGCCCCGCCCGGCATCTGACAGAGGCCAGTCATTCTCATTGATCGTAGAGTACCGTACCGTACTGTACCGCTGCCCATATTGAACAGCAGACAGGAAAGTATGAATACCTGTAGGTACTCGGTGCCTTTCCCCGCTGATAGGTGCCCACTATCTTAGTACCTAGTTAGGTAGGTAGGTAGGTTCCTGCCCACCGTACTAGGAAAAGTCAGGCCGGGAACGGTTTTCAAAGTCGAGTATGGAGTACCTTACATACATGACAAAATACAAGCGGACCCAAGTACCTGTACATGATTATCTTCAACTATCCCCCACTCCGTGTGAGACAAGACTACCTAACCAAGACTGCAACGGCCGTCATTACTAAGCAAATAAGGTGTGTGTGAGGTCTCACTCTAAATACCACCGTTGTGCACTAGGCATTAGTACCATACCGGTAGTGTAGACGCTTTCTCGCGGTTGGATGCCAAGCCAGACATGTTAAGCTTCTTCGTCCGTGCCTGGGCTCCCTTGCTTCGCAGTCAAGGTCACTTAATGCCACCTTTCCTTTTCCACAAGGACCTACGCCGACACATGCATCATACTTACATACATGCTTAATGTACACTCGAACTATCAGTCATTCTAGGTAATTCAAGACCAGCGCGAAGCTTTCCAACCTCCGCCGAGCTTCACGTCCGTCTGCACAGCTCCACAGAACCATCAAACCTGCAACATCGCTGCATAGCACAGCCCAGCTCCGGACCAGGGAGCAGGGGACCAAGAAGAGCAGCCTTGAATTCCCGTCGGGGTGATCCATCGCTCCCGGCACCAAGGGGCGGGGGAAACCGATCGAGGTCCACGAATAGACGGACACAGGAACCGCCAGCGGGAAAGACAACTCTCTCTCTCTCTCTTGTGTCTCTTTCTCTGTCTCTTGCTTCATCTGTACCTTGCCCTGTTATTGCTTCGCACCCCTATATTCTGTACATACCGTCATTCCGTCTCATCTCGCCGTCCCGCTCCACCGGCCGCTTTTCCGTGTTTCGATTGCTGCGCTGTCCTGTCCTCTTCCTAATCCTCTCCTCCTCTTCCTCCCCTTCCCTCTGCTGTGTTTGGAGCTTCATTGGTGACGCAGCCAACGTCGACGTCGACGGGAAGATGTGAGACGCCTGACCCTCGGATCTTCCTCCCACCTTTGCAATCATCCAACCTGCTGCTGCAGTCCTTCCGGCGAGAGCCTGTGCTACCCGCGAAACCTTGCTTTCTTTCCCTTTGCTCATTCTCCCCCGCCGCCGCCTGGTTCATCTTTGCCCGCCCCCAGCACTGCACTTCTTCTCCCTCCCTCTCCGGTAGAGAAGCATGCCGGATCCATGGCGCCAACTACGCTCCCTCGTCTTCCTCAGCGATGAAGAAATGGGCAAGAAGGACGACGACCACCACCGCTCCGGCGGTAGCGCCATCAAGAACCCCATCCTCCTTCGCAATCGCAACTCCCAATGGCAGCCTGCCGCCAAGATGCCCTCCCGCCGCCTCTTTCGACGAATCGCCTACCTCCTCGTCATTGCCTGCGGCCTCTGGTATCTTCTGAGCGACCTCTCCTTGGGCTTCGGCCCCCGATCCCCCAGCTACATCTACCCGTACCCCGACGATCCTCGAGAGTCTCGCGATCCGACGCTCCGAAACCCCGCCCGTCTGCCCAAAGGCCAGCCCGCGACCCAAGGCCCCGAACACCACGACTACAATGGGCCCGTCAAGTTTCACCGTCTCGCTGGCTCTCTACACGGCATCGCCGCCACCAAGGGGAGCCAGCCCGTCAATCAGAACGTTCTCTTTGCCGCCTCCAACCTAAAGAGCCTCTCGACGCTGCTGCCATTCGCCTGCAAGATGGGCACCGAGCTGAGGAGCTACGTACACTTCGCTGTCATGAGCAGGAGCGACATGGACCTCGACGACCTCAAAAAGATCAATGGCGTCGACGACACCTGCTACATCATCTGGCACGACGCCCGAGCCGACTTCTCCACCCTCTCGACCGATGCCCGCCTCGAGCAGGCCGCGATCCGCGCGCTACGCCACATCCATACCTACATGCATCCGCAGGCCATCATCGTCGACGGCTCTGACGACGAGGTCCTCCCCTTCATGAAAGGCATACGGGACGAGACCCGACGCCTCAACACCCCGCTCATCGAGCTCCCCGCGAATGCCTGGACACACCTCTCGTGGTTGGCAAAGCTGGACAGCGCTTCGCTCTCGGTCTGGAACCAGGTCAGCGTCGACATCCTGATCCAGGCTCCATCCAGCGGCTCTGGCAGTCTGCTGCGCCTCCTCAAGTCTCTCAGCGACGCCGAATTTACCGCCTTCACGATCCCCCACCTCACAATCGAGCTTCCCCAGGACATCGAGCCGGCGACCGCCAAGTTTCTCGAGACGTTCCACTGGCCGCCGCCACACGTACACAATCCCGGCCGCGTGCAGATGCTCTCGCTGAGGCACAGGATCCCTCGGCAGCGCATGACAGAGGAGGAGAGCTCCATTCGCTTCCTCGAGTCGTTCTGGCCAACAACGCCCAGGCATTCTCACATTCTTGTCCTGTCGCCGCAGGCCGAGCTCGCGCCGGGTTTCTTCCATTGTGAGTCTGGGCGCATGAAACGTGGTGCCACGACCGTGCTGACCAAAACACCAGATCTCAAGTTCACCATGCTGGAGTACCGCTACTCCCGCTTGTCGACCCTCCAGAAGTGGGATCAGCGCATCCTAGGCATCAGCATGGCGTCGCCTTCTACCTACCTCAACGGCAAGGCGGACTTTGTAGAGCCGACGGCGGAGAACGCAGAGCACGGCGAAGGGACATCCTACCTATGGCAGGCCCCCAACAGCAACGCCATGCTCATCTTTGGTGACAGGTGGATCGAGATGCACGGTCTCGTGTCGCAAGTAGACGCGCTACAGCATGCGCGCGGGGACGAGCCGCCGCTGGAGATGTTGGCGGAGAAGGAAGTGAGCAAAAAGTTTCCTTCCTGGCTCGAGCATGTCTTGCGCCTCTCTCGGCTGAGGGGCTATTTCACGCTGTACCCCAGCGCCGAGACGGCAGCCACACTCGCGGCGGTGCATCGGGAGCTTTACCAGGCGCCAGAGGAGTACGGAAAGGAAGACAGCGAGCGGAAGAAGACGGCGAGCCTGTCCGAGTCGGCGGGCGGCTTCGGCACGCTGGTGCGGACGCTGGACACGCTCCCAAACAACGGCAGCCTCACGGCCGCCAGCGATCTCCCGCTTCTCGGCTGGGAGGGTGATGGCACGGACTTGCAGCACGTGTACCAGTCGGCGGTGGAGTACATGTTTAAGTGGCGCGAGCTGGTCGGCGGCTGCAGCAAGGCGGAAACGCAGAGTGACCACATTGACGGGTCCGCGAAGGACTTGTTTTGCAAGGCTGACGGCAAACCCAAGGGGTAAATGGAAGCAACATTCACATGGGCATCCGGTTTACCGCAGCGCGATAGGCAAGATGTTGCGCCGACTGTACTCGTTTTCTTTTCTCTCTTCCTTCTATAGACTTTATATATACCCACCGGACAAGCATCAGCATCGATTGGTTATGGCGCGACGAAGAACTGGGGAAACGGCTCTACAATAAAAAAAACGGTTTTCTGTTTCTTTCTATTACTCGTCACCATTCATCACAAGACGTGGTCCGCCGCATAGGCTACGTCGTCTGACGGGTGAGCTCCCTAGGTCTTGGCGGTGATCCTCGCGATGACGAGCAACACGACGCAGGTCCCCACGATGCTGAGGGCCACGATGGCAAGGACCTAACACGGTTCTGTTAAAAACAGGTCGGCCCGGCGCAAATGGCTGTACGAGAGAGAGAGAGAGAGAGAGAGAGAGAGAGAGTCCGGGCCAAACTCACGAGCTGCGTCCGCCACCCCGTCTGCACGATGGCGGTTTTCCGACTATACTTGTTGACGGTTTCTGCGCGGGTCAGACGTATGCGTCTTTCGTGTGCCAAGGGTGGGGGGATGTTAAATGGGGAGGGGGCTCACTGGTGTAGTTGCCGATGCCGAGGCACAGGCAGGCGACGGAGAGGACCCAGAAGATGATGCCCAGGGGCTTGGCCATGCGCAGCTCGAGCGGGCTGGGCTCGGATTTCAGGTGGAAAGATAGGACGATGGCGACGGCGACGATGGACATGTAGACGGAGAGGCGGAGGTAGGAGAGGAAGGCTGCGTTGTCAGCTCCACACTCGTACGTTGGGAGTTTGTTTGTTTTGGAGGGGGGGGCGGGAAGGCCAAGCGACGTACTCCTCTCGTTCGCGCAGTGGTCCCGCGCGTCGCTGGTCTCGTTCTGGAAGAGGAGGGGGCCGAAGATGGGCCAGGCGAGGAACGTCGGTTTGCCGGCGTGGCCGGGGCCGCTGTCACGTTCAACGCCGTCAGTGGAAACAAACACCCACACTTTTTTTCGGTCCCGATACGGCACCACGAAGGGCGGCGTGGAGCGCTGCTCTATCTTTCCATGTCCCGATTTGGTTTTTTTTTTTTTCGATTTTTTTTTTCTCATCCTTGGCGTCTGAATGGGAGGGGGGATGGGGGAGGTTACTGACCCGATGTCGCCGACCTCGACGGGCTTCAGCAGCTCCGAGGCCCGGAGCGGCGCGCAGCAGTGGAAAGTGAGGTCTTCATCGTCAATGTCGGGCCTTGATGCCATTTCCGGGCGCAATTGGATTGAATAACGATCTGCTCAAGAATCCAGGGGTTGAAGGGAGGAGGAGGGTTACCGGGATCATTGAAAAGTGATGGCGCGGGTTTGTCTTTTTTTCTTTAGGGGAGGCGGGGAGCTTGGAAGTCTTGGAAACGCATCGGATTGGAATCACGAGCGCCATGTATGAAGTTGTTTTGGACACGGTGCGGTCACGGTGCGGCAACGGCGACCGGCGCTCGGGAGGAGGGGGGGGGGGGGGGGGGGGGTCCACACTCCCGGTCCGGGCCGCTTCCCACTTCGACGGGCTTCGTGTTGCTCACCATTGAGCTGGGCGTCTTCTTCGTCGCGCATTCTTCTGTTGTTTGGTACCTACAGCTACAAAAAGTACTTTTCAGTCGACGGATACACATCAACAATATGTTAGTTTCAATACCATAGGTTGTATATCATTCAGCGAAGAAGAAGAAAACATACGTGAGCCGATGAATGCCGAATCGGATCCCAGGCATGGACGAAGAAGGCCGCTGGGACGCCGCATTAGAAAGCGATAGAAATCTCGCTTCGGAGCCGCCTCTAGCGGACATTTCTATCCTTGTGTTCTCTCTCGTGACGATGATGAAAGGGGCGCGCGGCCCGACGTCGTCATCGGGCGTGCGGTTGAATCAGCACACCAATTTCTAGATACTCGCTACTCTATCAGAACACGACCCCTCCCTCACGTTCTTCGAAACACGCATTGCAAGCTCTCCCGATTACCAACTCCGGCAGAATGTCCTCGCGGGCAGCATCGTCAAAACCCAGCCTAGCCATGAGAATTGCGCGGATGTTGCGAGCGGCAAAACAGCAACGCAGTTGAACTGCCGGCTAAGTACTGTGACTTATCAGTGGCGCACTGACGAGAGAGGGGCAAGATGGAAGAAAAGGCGCGGAGGGCACATAAGGCACCTTGGGGCTGTTGTGTTCTGTTTCGATGAGTTATATACATGGACTATGCTACATGGACCTTTGGTACCAAGTCAAGATTCGGTGCAATAAATAAACCCCACACAGGGACGGCCGGCTTGACTAACATCTCTCGAACACCCGATACAAGCCCTTCAGGTCAGCAACTTCCAACACAGCCGCCTTCATCAGCGGCGTCGTAGCCACCAACCTCGCCTTGAAGGCGGGGAAAAACACATGCTCCAAGGCCCAGCGCACATTCCGTCGCCGTTCCGCAATTTGCCTGTTATGGCCGCCCTCCCTCTCGTCCCCGTTCCCGGTATCCCCACCAATAGTCGGTGGCAACTGCTCAGGCACGTAGAAGGAGGCCAGCTCCTTCAAGAATGTTTCGAAACACGCCTTCTCCTCCGTCCAGTCGACACAGGGTCCCAGACGGAGCAAGAATTGGGGTAGCTTAACCATGGCCGGGGTGTAGCCCTTGATCAGGAGGGGGATGGTGAGCAGCTCGCCTGCAGGACTGACTTCGAGCGAAAAATACTCGCTGAGCATCTCACGTCGCTCAATCAGCTGGGCGGCAACCTTCTCGACCACTTCGTCAACGTCGAATTCCTCATCAGGCGATTCAACGTTGTTCTTCTCTATCTCGGCGCCCATGCGGAGGATCTCTCGCAGATCCAGCGGTGGCGTGAAGCGAATGGTGCCAAAGTTGCCAAAGTCGGTCAAGCCGACCTGGTAACAGTACTCGTAGCACGTCCGGCCGTAGTCAATGAGATACAGTTTGATACCGCCCTGAATGGCGGCGAGACGGCGACGCTCGTCAACGATGCCGACAAACGTGTGGTTGGCAAAGATGTCTGTGAGGTCATTGTGCATGTCTTCTCTGACCTCCGCACGAAGCTCCTTGACGCTAGTGAGCCTCATCGGCGCAAAGGGCCTGTCCACGATCTCATACTGGATGTGTTCCGAGGCGGACAAGGCGTTGTCGTCTGGTGTTCCAGTCGCTGTTGTCGCCGCCGCTGCAGGGGACGCCTTCGAAGGCGTGGCTGATGTAGCGGAGGGCAGCATGCTGGTGATTTTGCGTAGGCTCGTATCGGTGCGGACTAGGCTGTTAGAGTTCCTCCGCGGCCGTTTGGAGCCCGGTGTTTCTCGAGCCGGAGTTGCCGGAGTTGCCGGAGCGCCATCGCCCTCGTCCTGAGACGTCACGTCCATCATATGACTACCCGGGAGCAAGCTCTGTGTCATGAACGTCCGGCTTGCGTCGACCTCTGCGAGTTTCGAACGGATGTGCTCGCATATCGACTGGATTATCTCGTCCTCGTTCAGGAAGTGCACCTCCTGCTTCGTCGGATGCACATTGACATCGACGCGAGCAGGATCAATCTCTAAGCTGAGATAGATGAATGGCCGACCGCCCTTGGGCAGGAAGGAAGAGTACAACTGCTCCAGTGCTTTTTTCATGCTGGTAGAGTCGACGCATCGGTGGTTGATGAAGAGTAGAAAGGTGGTTTTCTTGATGTTGTAATTGGCATTCGTAGCCCAACCAGTAGCCTTGAAGCCCCAGCGGTCCTCGGATGTTGAGAACTGCATCACCTCGTTGGCCACGCCTGATCCATAAATTTGCCTTATGCGATCGACCTCACTCGCGGAAGCTTGAACGGAGACACTGGCACCCGACTCGCCGTGCTTCTTGCATGAGAAAGCCACTCCCTTGCAGTGGATGGCGTAGCGGCCAACAATGTCAATGATCTTGTTGAATTCTTCAGCGGGCGACCTGAAAGCTCGTCGACGAGTTGGTATGTTATAGAACATGTCTTCGACGCTAATCTGGGTGCCCTGGCGGCCGGCGGTGGGCTTGGGTTCGGCCGACTGGCCGGGTTTCGCGGGGGCCAGTTTGCCGTCGAGGTAGGTGGCGCGCCACGCGCACTCCGAATCTCTTGTCTTGGTGGTCACCGAGAGGTGGGCGATATGGCTAATGCTTGCCAAGGCCTCGCCTCTGAAGCCATAGGTGGCGATGGAAGCGAGATCCTCAAAGGCCGTGATTTTGGAAGTCGTGTGGCGTTCGCAGAGAATCTCCAGGTCTTCTTTCTTTGGGGAGGTCAATACGGCGAAACAGTTTCACAATGCGGACAGGAACATACCTGGATGCCACATCCATTGTCTGTAATCTGGAGGAGTTTGAGGCCACCCTCCTTGACGAGTACCTCGAGAGCGGTGGCGCCAGCATCGACGGAATTCTCAATCAACTCTTTCAAGGCGTTCACAGGGGCAACGATGATTTCGCCTGCAGCGATCTTGTTGACAACGTTGGGGTCAAGTGCCTAAGAGGTAGGTAGGTGCATGTCAGATATATGACAAGCCAGGTAAGGCGACAGGTGCAACTCACCCGGATGCGACGAGAAGCACGTGACTCGTCTGGATCTTCCTCTGCCTTCCGCTTCATCCCAGCAGAAGGTAACGGGTCGACTTCCATGGAGTCGGGCATGGTCGCGAATTTGAAGGCAACCAACCAGGGTCCAGGTTTGATACCAACGGAGTGAAGCGAAGATGAACTATTTTGGCGTCGTGCAAAGATGCATCCCTCAAGGCTTGGGTTTTCGTTCCCCTTCTCCTTCTCCTTCTTATTCGTCTTCTTTTGGAACACTCTGTAATGAGAACAGCTAAGGACGCCTAATTTGATGTGTACAGTGTCAGTCCACCAGCTTGAAGATCCAAGGGTGCAATACCGGAAGTCGTGACTGTCACAGCTGCCAGGCGGACCTTCAGGAAGCAGGACGTCACAGCCGCGAGTTCCACCTGCCAAAACGAAATCTGCGACGCGCGTTCACGTGACTTCCATTAGTCATCCCAAAACCACTTTACCCCCGTGGTCTGCTGCTCAATGAGCCTGGCGCACCCAGAGACACCACCTACCTACGATGTATATTTTGGTTCATCACATATGGAGTCCGCGCACGTCAACGATGCAGATCTTCGACCATTGATGGACACTCAGTGGATCCTTTCTGCAGCTACCGCATTGCCCACCACCTACGGATACAGGACTGCAGATACCTCATGAACTGATATATGCATTTACGATGGTGGTTGCCCTAACATGTCTTCCCCGTCTTCAGTCGTCAGTCAGCCTTGGAACAGGCATTCCCAAAGGTGCTTGATCCGCCAAAGCCACCCCCATGGGCACGTTCCGTGGAGGCTGTGACGACAACCCCCCGGTCACCGAGAGTCACGATGTCGCTTCCACTTTCATCTGTGCCCCGCAAGGCACCATGGTACACCATTCAACGTTTGGTCTGCTTGTCGAGAATGCTCGGCACGTAGTCCTATTACGCCTTACTTGTTTTTGGCCGCCTCGGGTAGATGACACCATACTACGAGGCAAGCCTTGACATGATTCGCAAGGCAGACAATCGTTGCTAATCGACCACTCATCCCGTTAAGCACCAATTCGACTGGCTCTGTGGTCCTCTCCAACTGCAACATGCTCATACGAGTGCTCGCCCGTCCACGCGGGGGGAAAAAAGGGAAAAAAGGTCGTGTTGTTCAAAACCTGCAACGGTTACCTCAGACCACTATAGCCACACTTTTTTTACCCTTTGTTCGGTTCGGGCGCAGTGCATTCAATTAAACACGTCCCTCAATACAAAACGGCATCCGAACTGCTCGTACCGCAACGACCTGCTTTGCCTAATCTGCTGTACCTTAAATAATCATCACTATCGCACCAAACAACTCCGCACACTCGCTAGCAGCAACTTTTCGTTCTCGCTATGTGCGAAGACAGATACTCGCAGAGCACCGTGGGGGACGACGTGGCCTCGACACGTGCCCATCCTCCAAGTGCCAGGTATGTTCATGTTCCCAGGCCCTGGCATTGTGTCGCGTCTGACAGCGGGCCTAGTGGACGGAGCTCCAGACCACATTCGCCGGATCCTGTAGCTTCAGACTCAAGCGTGTCCACCGGCCGGCACATTCCCCGAAGTCCTCTTGCGTCCCATACAGAGAGCTTGATAGACATGCAAATCCCACGAGAATTGCCATCGCGCCATACAAACAAGAAAAGAAGCCTTGACCAGTTGTTTGTTAACAGCACGCCGCCGTCGCCCGACAAGTTGCAACGCGAACTCGATCGGCAGCACGAAGAGGCTCGCCGCGCCTCTACCTCCCTTCTCCAGCCAGATGCCCATCGGACCCAGGCTCAAGAGAAAAAGCGGCGGACAAAACTTGTCTACCGAGGCAAACCGACAGAGCATGGCGCGCACCCGCACTCGCATACGAAAAACGGCCACAATAGTGATGAAGAGGGCGACGGCGACGGCGACGGCGGGCATGTGAGAGAACAGCGGCTCAGCTCCCCTGCAACCTTTTCGGAAGATTAAGGCGTGGAGACCTGGCACCATCCGCCACATTCCTGTCCAATGATACAATCCATCCACGCAGGAACAGGACGACCTACCGACTTACTTCCACCAGCAACGCAGCATCGCCCCTCTCTTATTAGAGCCTAGTATCTGTTGGGCCCCTTTGGCAACCCCTGCACCCCCAGCACACACACCTCGCGCGGCTCAGGTTTCCTTCTTCGTCGGAAGCAGACGCCCCATCGTTCCCGATGTACTCAATACCGGCATTACAGTGACCTCTCATTCACCCCAGTGAGACCCGAGAACACGACATGGGGCTGTCGGCGGGCGTTCATAACGTAGCCGGCCTGCCCGGTTTGCGGTTGAGCGGTCGGTACCTCCACTATTCGGTCCCCCTCGGTCATTTCCCTCCCCCCCCAAAGCAATCATGCAGGCACAATCCCAGCTGCAATGCAAGGTCCTGGTTTGAAACAACCTTAACAGCCGACGCCTTTCCTATTCGCGCCATGAATACCCCTCGCTGATCGCTCAGGTTGTCAACGCATCCATTTCAGGAAGATTCACCTCCCCTCACGACCTCTTCACAGTCTAGCGGCCTGCAGTTGTTTAAGAGCAGAGTTCGATTTCAGCGACCGTCATGTAGACCCGCCGCCAGTGCCTCTTTTGTTTCAGGTCGACAGTCCCCCGTTTGTCCTCGTCTTCGACATTTTCTTTCTTCCGCTATACTTGCTCGTTTTCCTCCCAGTCTCTATTCCCACATAAGACTTCGTGTTCACACCTGTTGCCGCCAGCCCATGCTCAAAATAGTAAATAGTCAATTCCAAACCCCTGCCGCGTCTTTCCCCATTGAGCTGCGGGCACCCACCACGCTTCCAAATGTGCTTACCAGCGTTTCAACATTGGGTTACTGTCACCGTAGCTCCGACGGGTGCCGATATGGCGGCGTATGCTGCCTCGATCACTACAGTGTCCCATCGCTCTGGTTCGCTCCTCTCATCCGTGACTGGGAAAAGGGAGGAGGCGTTTGCATGCCCCGCTCCGCCCATGCATCGGTGAGTAGCACGGCGGTTCGCGACGATATTGGACAAATGCCCAACATCATCATCCCTGTGCAGTGACAGAACGGAAACGTCTCGGAGATTTATCCTAACTGCAACGAATGCCCCCCCCCCCTGCAATCTTCATCCCATCCCATCCCTTGGGATGGGGCCTCACCGGCTGTCCCCACGTATGTCACTAAACCCATCATGTTTCGTTTCGATGTCTATTGCGAATACCCTGTCCCTCCTCTTGGCTGGCTCTGGGGTAATGAAGGGAGCAGACAAACGGGTTGGTCTAACCTGGGCACTCTGTACGGACAGTATGAAAACAAAAAGAATAGCCATCCTCCCGCCCGGTACCCTTTCCCACCATGTCCGTCCCCCCCTAACCTTCGCATCTTCCTCTTATCTCATCACACCTCTTTTCACTAGTCCCCGCTCCATTCATCACCCCTGTTTTGCTGGGAACGTTACCCATTGTACGGCAAGCAACAGAGAAAACATATGCGAGAAGACATCGTTCTGAAGAAGAATCGGAGAGGGTCATCAGATGGCAGCACATACGGCAACGGCTTGCAGGACTGAGGCAGAGGGGAAAACACGGTAAGCTGACAAGCGCCGGAATGAGTGTAGCACGCAAGAGGCACAGAACCACCCGGACGACGTCGTACCGAGCCAACGGCGACAACAAGAAGTCCTCGAACGTCCAAACAAGGTATCATGGGAGCCATGAGAACCATGGGAAAACCGAGAAAAAAAACCCGACCAGACCCTCCTCGCCTCACTCTCTTACCCGCGGGCGATCCCATTGGTGATCGGCCACTCTCGCTTGTCGCCTCTTAAGACCATGGATGTGCGTAATAGTTCGCCGGCAACAAGCCGGAGTCAACCCGAGACCCAACGCTCCCGTCACCACACTCGCCAATACTCCAGACCAGCACCAATACTACGGCCGGATTATACCTTCAAATGCGGATACAACTAAGGGCTTGGTTCAAGGGCCTCGCGAAATGACACACACGCACACACACACACACACACACGCACACACACATGCACCACTTGCATTGGACACACACGGCGCAACGCACCCAGACGGAAACCGCCGTGGGTGCACCCATCCCGCCATCCGCCGGCCGTCTGGCTTGGCGCCTGAGTGCATGGCCCTGCGGAACTCGCATACTGCCTTGCAGGTGCGGGGGCGTGACCTGCGATTGAACCTGTGAGTGGCCGGCGTGTCCTTCGTTATTGTTTCTAAGAACCAGGTGCTTGAGATTATCAACGGGCCTGCACTCGCCGCCGCAGGGGAAGTGGGGGAGCGGACTGGCGAAACTCTCACCCTCTGCCTTCCTCTTCTTATACCCTCGCCGACCTCCTCCACGCTCCTCTCTCCTCCCTTCCCTTCCGCCCTTTTCCTTTCTCTATTATTACCCTTCTTATCACCTCAGCATTATTCCATCGTGGTGAGCGGATACAAGCCTCCCTCCGGCACAGTCGAGAGGCAACACGTTACACCACCACCACCATGATATTTCCTGCTCCAGCATGAAGCACCCCTTACCACCCACCACCTTGCCGTCGATGATCGCTCACCGGGATCGCCTACCGGACTTGCGACGTGTGTCTCGCCGCACTGACCTTTGCCGATGGTTTCCGCAATTCCCGGCCCGTTGAGTACATGATGGGGCAACTATTTCCCCATCAAAAAAACTCGTCGTCAGGCCCCCCTCCCCGCCCGCCTTCACCTGTTATAAACACTCGACGGCGTCACCAGCTTGACAAACAACTCCTTGATACAACTGCATACCATCCATCATATAGGATGAGCCCGGGTCAAGGGACAACACTGATTCATCGAGGGTCACACAGACACATGCAACACGAGATGAGACGAAGCAAGAGTAGTGGCAGACGAGATATCGCGGGGTGAAACCTCTGTTGAGAAGACGACGACAAAGTGGTCCGGAACCCCAGACGGCGATAAACACAAACGCATGATGGATGGCCACTCCCCATGGCCCCTCTCCTCCCACTGCCAAACCCTAGAAAGACTGGCCACATGGTTCTACACTTTCCAAGATATTTTAGCGGCTCAACGCTGCCACAGACACACCCAACCCGCAAACCCGATTAACCCAAAAGAAGAACAGAACAAAACGCCCAGACAGATGCCAGAAAAGAAAAAGATTCAGTATGTGCGGTGGACGAGCAAAATAGTAATAATAGGGTGGTTGTACAGGTGGTATCTCGTGACGGCCCACGGCCGCCGGAAAAACAACAGTGCGGTCCTGAAGACAGCGGTGGATAGAAATGAAGAGGAATTAGTACAAACACAAGAGATGGACGAGGCCGTCCATCCCATACGGTCAAAAAAAAAAGAAGTCAAATGGACCAATGGGTCGGCCGGGATGGACGAATCGATCGACAATGCGAGCGAGACGCCACTGGGCCGAACGAAGCGAATAATTATCGACAACGACCGCTAGGGACGGAGGAGGGTCATCACTCATTGCTGACGCCGCTGCTGCGGGTCCGGTTTCTCGAGCAGGCCACCGATATCGACGCGGCCGGATCGGTCGTCCCTCTGCCACGAGGGCTCGGAATGTGTTGGTTGATGATGCGGGCCGGCACGGATGGGCGGCAACTGGAAAGAGGGTTGAGGGGGCCGAGTGGTCGGCGGCAGTTCACTGCGAGGAATCTGATACGACGAAGGGCCGGCGGCATAGTCGGGTCGGCTCGGCGACGCGGAATACGACGGCATCCCAGGACTCAGCCCGGATGTCATGTGAGGAGGCTGCCCAGGAGACGGTCGCGGCGCGAGTGCGCCCTCGCCATACCGAGATCTCGTGTGATCGAACGTCGCAGACACGGGCGTGTGCTGCGCGTAGGCCTGCTGCTGCTGCTGCTGCTGCTGAGGTTGTTGATAGAGATACGGCACCTCTCGGGCATGGGGCGACGGTGAGGGGTAGGGAAACCTGGGTGCCGCGTTGACGAGCAGGACGATGAAGTAGATGGACTCCCGCTTCGCAAGCCCCAACCGGACGGAATACGATCGCGGTTGTCCGTCGGCCGCAGCAAAAACGAAGAAGTCCTGGCGATCCAGCTGGAACCGCGAGATCTCGTCGGCCTCGAAACGCAGAGAGTCAAACACGCGCTCCTGCTCCTGCCTGCCGAAGATGGGGGGCAGATAGACCGGGTCTTTCCTCGACCGCTCATCCTGCATACTCCGCTGGTGGTTCTGGATCTTGTCGCGCTCCGAGGCCAAGACGATATCGAGGAGGGATCGTCCCCTCACGCTGGGGATCCCGACAGCATCGGCAAATGCCTGGGAAGCGCGGGCGATTTCCAGCTCCATGGTCAAGAAGACGACGGGTTCCGGCGCGCCGGTCGCCAGGGGCGGCGGCGGTTGCCCGTAGATGTTGGCGTCGGCCATGGAGGCTCTGTCCAGGTAGCGCGGGGGGGCATTGGGCTCGCTTGGTTGAGACTTTAGAACGCGATAGGAGTGACTGCCTCGGATGGGGTCATCGTACCCTGAGATGGGAGGGCCAGCCGCCGAGTAGTGACTCAACGGCGGTCTCCTCGAGGCTGCGGCGGCGGCATCCTGGGGATGCTGATATGTCGAGGGGCCATAACGGGCCTCCCGGTCGTCCCTCAGCCGTGGGCGACCGCGCTTCTTGTGTTGCACGTCGACGCATGCGTCTTCCTTTCCGTTGCTTGTGCATCGCGAGCAGGGTCGTTGGGCTATATTTTTTTTTTCGCACAAAGTCAGCAAGCTGCCACCACCATCATCTCGCAAAAGACACAAATGAAAAAGCAAGCGCGCGATCCGGAGCTGTTGCAAGTGCAACAACCGCAAAAGTAAATCTGTGACGTGCTCCTTCGACGAGCACTTGCTCGTCAATTCACAACGATCGCGTGGCTTAGGCGACGCTGTGGGGTGTGTCTGTCTGTTCCCGGCTTCTCTCCCCCCCCCCCCCTCATCCCGTCAGTCAGTCATGCATCGCTTCCGACACATCAATGACACGCCCGTCTTGCCCGCTGGGATCCTCCCGCAAATCAAGGCTGGACGGAGCAACGATCGACCAGCCATCATCAACCTCTCCCCCCCTCCTATCAAGAAGATCCTGCGCAAGAGGAGGGGGAAACCCACACCTCCGGTTTCTGTTACAAACATGGCACAGTTGGTCGCAACCACACCCGGCACCTCGGCTTGCGATTGGCGACTTTGCCGGATCCCTAGCGCGGCACAGGCAAGGTTCGGGGTTCTCTCGCCCGGTGGCGCCGGCTGTAACCCGCTAATCCCTCTTCTCCAAATTCCGGCCCGAGATCCCGGACTGAACCGGGTTCGGGAACGCAGACGGGTTGAAGGACGGTGATGGCGGCGGCCGATCGTTGCGCTGAGGTATGAACGCTGCTGCTGACGATGACGAGGTGGCTCTCTCGCCCACTGGCGCTCCGGACACAGGCTGCTAAGACTCGGACAACCCTTCTTCTCTCATCTCCTTTTTTTCTTTGTGTTCCTCCTGATTGCCAATACAGCTCACCCATTCCTCAACTCTCAGTTTGAGTTTCCGCGAATTCAATCTGCCCGAACGGGACCATCTTGCTCCCCCCTCGGCACCGGTCTCAGGCAAACGGGATGATCCCTGTGTTGCGTCGAGTTTCCGTCACGCCAAAAATGGGCCTGCTGGGTTAATGCCCGCGCGCGCCCAGATATCCACTCCGGGAACCTCTCGGTCGGTAAATGGGGTCAAGGCTTGCACCCGCCCACTTGGGCGCCCCCCCCCCCCCTTTCCTCTCCGCTATATCCATATTCTTGGAGAAAAGGGAGTTTTCCATACCTTGTCGGAGGAATTGCCCAAGGGGGTGCAGATGCGAAAGCGAAACTAGGTGAGGTTGGGAGATAATGGTGACTAAACAAAGCAGGAACGAAATGAAACTTGACAGGCGTTTCGCCATACGTACCGTCACATCTAGACAAGAAGAAAAGAATGTCAGTGTCACCGTGTCAAGATGCTAGCAAACGTCTCACTTCAACGTCTGCTCCCGGAGGGGAGGGGGGAGAGGAGGAGGAGGGAGGGAGTCGCCTTACCGAAGATGGGCTCTCTTGCATGGCACGCAGGCTGATGCCACATGGCCCTTTGTCTTTCTCTGCGTCTTGGGGGACGTGTAGGGAGCGCTGTCCTGGGACGTTTGCGACATAGTTGTCGCATAGCCATGCTGATGAGGCCCTGCTGGCTGTGACGGTGGCGGCCCAGACATGTGCATATACGGTTGTGGCCGTTGCTGCAAGGCCTGGTTCGCGAGATGTGCATACCCAGACGGCGTGTTGCGCAGGTGGTCGTCAGGTCTAGGATAGGCGTAAGACATCCTGTCCTGCTGCTCGGCGTGATAGGATCGGGGCTGGGGCGGCGGCAGGGACTGGTGCAACGGCGGCCCTCGGAGTTCGCTTTGGTGTATCGTCGTCGCCGTCGGTGGTGGCGGCGGCAGTCCCCCGCGGTATGCATCCTGCGGGTTAGTGGACGGATAGCTGCCATGCAGTTGCCCTCGGTCGCCAGCCTCTGGGTTTGCTTTGGGCGGATGAGGAGGAGGAGACCCTGACATGGGCGGAGAAGGATAGGCTCTGGGACGAGCAGGAGTCTCGGACTCTGCTCTTGGGGGGGTTGCCCAGGTCAGGTCGAGGGCGAATCGCGCCAGATCGGAAATGCCTCGGCGCTGGCCGAGCGAGGTAGACGACGTGTCGCAATCGCTGCTGATGTCTTGCATGGATGTTGCGGTGCGGGCTTCCCTCGAGCGTCTGGGGTCGCGGGCTCCCTTCGTCTTCTTCCAGACGATGCCTCGTTTCCCAGACTGTTCCAAGTTGAGACCGAACCGGGGGGGGGGGGGGGTTTGGGTTTTTTTTTCTTTTTTCTTTTTGCGAACTCTGGCCGGTCCGTTGGCAGTCCACCCGTGTTATTGATATCCTCCGGCTCGTGCTGTCGCTACTTGTCGATGAGTCCAGACGAGGCGGAAAAGGCGTTGTCTTCTTCGCGCCTGTCGTTCGAGGGGAGGGGAACAAGGTTGGTGGTGACACTTCGCTGTTGTGGGGTCGGTTTCCTCGGTTTCCAGCCAAACTTGAGCGTCTGCTTCGTTCCTGCGCGCGGTCTCCCTCACTTGCCGACGATGAAAAAAGGCCCTTTTCTTCCTCTTCCTTTCGTTTTGCGCTGAACCGCGATGAATGAATGGCACCCGCTTTTCGCAAGATGGGGGAGGTAGGTTTGAGCTAGCCGAGTTTCCGAATATCGAAGATGGTGGTGGGGGAGGGCAAGTTCGCGCCGTCTTTAAAGCACGAATTTCAGGCCGTTCGTGCCAGGTACCAAGAGGCGGCGGACAAGGTCGAATATGCGGCCCTTGTGAAAGCAGGTGGGGGAGATGGTGCAGCTACTACTGCTGTGAGACGACGATGATGCTGCTGCAGCGTGATACTGGCACAACAACAACCTTTTGGGCTCCAATGAAGCTACCTGCGGCGATATTGGTGGTTCTTCGAGGGAGATGCTGGTGCGGGCGGCTGCAGGAGGTACCACGGCGGAACCTCAGGCACGGGATGCGGAGATGGATGGCTGGATCCCCTTGGTACCGGTAGTTTGTTCGTCGGGTTGGACGCGATATATAAGTGCGGGAAGTTAAGATATGAAGAAGAGTAAATGTAGAAAGAAGGGAATAAAAAGAAATAAAAAAGGAGGGTGGACAAGATGGAGACCTAGCCCGCTCTCTATCCTGATCTCTTTTCTGACACTCTGACTCTCTCTCTCTCTCTCTCTCTCTCCGACTCTCGGGTTCGGCGGCCGGAGTGAAGGAGCGTTATTTGTCGAGGGCGAGATGCGTTGGAGAGTAAAGGCCCATAGACTTTTTCTTCCTTTCTTTTTGGGAGCAGTCGATCGGTGGCTCCCGGTCGGTTTTTGTGTGACTGGAGAGTAGGCCTGCTGGGTCTACGAGGAGGGGGGGCAATTGAGATGAAGCTAGCGTGGTTCAGGGTTGATCTGGGCAAGAGGGACAAGCAAGCCAGGGAAGACCCCGGCCGAGGCCTTTAGAGTGGCTGCTAATCAAGGGTAGAAGGCTATGCCATCACCATCCCCTGCCTAACGACAATTCTCCGCGCGTCTGTATGTGTGTGCGTGCGTGTGGATATGGGAGAGAGGGACTTTGCGTGAGGTGTGTGAGTGTGTGATAGAGTAGAGAGAGAGGTGTGTGTGAATGAATTATGGCGAGATGGCTACAGAGGGGAGGTAGTATTGGCAGACATGGGCAGCAAAAACAGACAAGTGAGCAGCAGTTTGACCTGATGCAGTATCCAGGCGTGGAGAGATGAGTGTATTGGACAGCGGTAGCGATGCCGATGGTAGCGTCGGGTCTGAGGGTTCCTCGACGAGATTAAAGCAGGCTCGTATGAAGCCACAATGCAATAAGACAGTGGGGGAGGCAAGAGTCAGTGCAAGCTGAGAGGAGCAGCGGGTGACGGACAGGAGACAGGGACAGGTCCGGCGACGGGACGGAACCGTGGCCGTGGCCAGGACCCCAAAAGTAAGAGACAACAGGAGACGAGGGGGGGGTGAAGCAGGGAAACCCACGGCGGGAATCAAACATGCGCACACAAAAAAAAGGCCTCTGTGCACACTTAGCAAGGTCGCTCACTCACTCACTCTCTCTCCCTCACTCATCGGTGACCAGTGTGCAGCGTGTGTGTGTGTGTGTGTGTGTGTGTGTGTATATAGGCAGTGTTCAGAGTACCAAATTTGATTTGGGGTTGCGAAGGAGGTATGGTTCAGGTGGAAGTGGGCAGGGAGGGGGGAGGGGGGGTGGGCGTTGTCTCGAATGTCGGAGCCGGTAGCAGATGGATATGTGCAAATGTAGCCAGGAGCCAGGAAGGAAGGACAGCATATCTATCTGTACGTACTGACTGACGGCCGTGGTGGGATGGGATGGGATGGCATAGGTAGAGGATAAGATGGGATGGGTTGGAGGGGGTGGATGGCAGGAGAGTGGACGGGGGTGGGACAGGCCAACACCCAGGGGTGTGCGCTCTCTTCCTCTCTTTTCCTCTCTCTCTCTCCCCCTCTCGCGCGCGCGCGCACTCACACGGAGGTCCACTAGGAAAGGCAGATACTAGGCCCGGCAGAGGAGGAGTGGGTTATCTCCAAAATTGGCTTGATATAGCTTGAAAAGACCGGTCAAAGGGGAACGAGGAAGGTAAATGGGGACAAGCAGGAGGAAGAAGGAGGAGAAGAAGAAGAAGAAGAAGGATGTAGTTAATGTGCAAGAGATGCGTGTATGTATGGCATAGCTGTAGTGAAGAATGATTGATCCCTTTCTCTGTTCCGGCACAAAGGCATGCCATGCCATGGGAGCTTAGGAACGGTTGAAAAAAAAAAAAGAAAAAAAAAAAAAGACCACGACACCCGTCATCCACGGATGGCTCCCGGTTCCTGTCCTGTCCTGTCCTGTGCCGTGCACACGAGGCATGGCGCCTCAGTGGGATGTGTAAGGTACAGGGTACGAATAGTTACGAGAGTGTGTCTGTGAGGGGGTGGGGGCAAAGACGTATCCAAGCCAGAAAAGCAAGGTACAAGGAAGGGGACGTACATCGTACACTACACAACTGTAGCAAGGAACGCATTGGCCAAGCTCACGTCAACGGCGTCGTTACTTCAACGAGCTGCTGCTGCTGCTGCTGCTGCTGCTGCTGCTGCTGCTCGCGGTAATACACTGTACTGTACTGTTACTGGTAGCCCCAGCCCAGGGTACATGACAGGAGGAGTATACTACTAGTACACTAGGTGTAGAAGGAGAGGGGAGGCAGGCAGGTGAGCGGGCGTGAGTGCGTGGGACGGGGGTTATTGGGGGGAGGGTGGGACAAGAGGAAGAAGCAGAGCGGGAGCCTGGAGGGAGGGGCGTGGATGGATCAGAGCCGACGGGGTCGAAAGAAGGTTGTGGGATATGTGGAGAGGTGGGCGGAGAGGATCGACCTGCGAGCGCGACAGAAAGATGAGATGAAGGATTCAGAATGGTGGTATTGGACTGACCTAAACCGTCGCAAAGCATGCATCAGGCTGTCTGTCCGCGACAGGGAGAGAAGGCGAGTATGGCTGATGGTATAGAGAGAGAGAGAGAGAGACATACATACAGTGTATGTAGTAGGTAAGGTAGGGGAAGGGTGTCGAACGTACTCGGGAATGCAGCCGATGGTAGCGTGGCATCGGAAGGAAAAATAACGACAACGCCTCTCTCTCTCTCTCTCTCTTTGTCGTCTTGCTTGCCTCGCCTTGCCCATGTTGGTTCTCTCTCTCCTGTAGTGGGTGGGGCTTGTGTCTCTTCTTCTGCCCGACCCCTAAGCCGCCTGTTCCTTCTTCAGTTCCACCCTGGTCTGCTCTCATCCTGGGCGGCTTCGATTAGAGACACGCTTGGCTACCCGTACGCATAGGCATAGGCTGGACAGGGAGGGGAAGCGTGTGTCTTAGCGGGCGCTTGGTGGCATCTCAGCAGAGACAGACGGCACGTTACGCCCTAGCGCATGACCGACAAAAATGGAGGCGGCGCGGACGGCGTGCTTGTCAACAATCCCAATGAGAGAAGCTTGTCACGCTCAGGCCTGGACCTGGCGTCTGTACCGGCGGCAGCTTCTTCATGTCATGTCTTCGTGGCTATCGTTTCCATCTCCCGTCAAGGCTCGGCGGTACTGCACTGCGCACGGGCTGATCTGGTGTGTTGTGAGGGTCGGACGGTAATACTGCATGGCATCTGAGCTAGGCAAGTAGTGTCCGTGCCTGTGCCCGCGTTGGGCCACTGCAGTCGACAAGTGAGATAGATACCCAGGGCCGAGCCGAGTCGTACGTGGTGTAGGTAATGCCCGATCGATCCTGGGACACGACGCAGTGTACGGATCTGGACATTATGGTGAACTAGTTTAGATAGATGATGGGGTCCCCGGCTTCCTTCCTGCAAGCCCGCTCAACGTCGTCGAGTCTCGTGCTCGGTTCCAAGCTGACCTGGGCAAAATAAGGTCCCGTTTGCGTGGCAACGTCAAGAGTCAGGGGCCTCGGGGGCGGCGGTCCGGCTTGTAGTGTGTTACTATGGCAATACCTAGTACGATTGCTCCGTAGACAGGGTATCTATGTATACTTCCAGCGGGCATGTCTCGCCTTGCTGGACTGGAAGTGATGACGCCAATAATGGCGACAGGGCCGCCCCGGTGAAGAAAGCCAGCGTGTTCAATTTCTCCTTCAGCCGCCTCTTGTGGGTAGCGTGGTTGCCACCACCGGACGGATAACACCTTAAAATCTGTGTGGCTGACGGCCAGCCTGGGGCGGGCAAGGCGAATATGGCACGCAGAGGGGGAGGGTGCAGCACGGTGCTGAGATGGGGGATGAGGCTTGACGCCACATCGCCCTTGGAGGACGGATGGACGACTGACTGACAGGACAGACGACAAGAAAAGCGGATGGCGCCATGGACCGGGGATGGTCGACCGTTGGCGAAGAAGCTTCAAGACCCCGCTGTCGCCGTCACTCTCCACCAGCCTGGTCCGGTTTAAGCATGGGCTTCCACGTCCATGTCCATGTCGACGTCCACTTCCACTTCCCCTTTTACTCGCGCGTCCACTTCTTCATTTGCTTAACCGTTGACGTGCGGGCTTGAGTACCATACGATGTAGATTGCTGTGTGCGCGCGCGCGCGCGCGCGCTCTTGTGTGGCTATGGCCAGAAACGAGATTGGATAAGAGACGAGATGAAAGTTGCATCGAGGTTTGAGTACTGCGGGCGGTCAACTCGTCGCTCCAAGGTCCCGGAACCGCATGTCAAGCGAAGCACTTGCACTGCTGCCGGCATGCCTTTTCAAAAGAAAAGAAAAAAATTCCGTCCATCTACTCCTGACTCGATCATGCACAATTGCTTCCCAGTTCACTTGGACAGATATATAGCGGCAACTCGCGGTCCAGAAGGTGCGTTGCTGTGTAGTGGGAGGGGGGAGGGGACATTTCGACGCGACGTACAAATGAAGAGAATAATAGGTAGGAATAATAAGAAGGAAGGAAAACCTGGGTGCCACATGGCAGAGGGCCGAGTCGAGAATCGGATGTATTCCGAGATGGTGTGTACAATACTCCGCAAGTATAAGTCGTGGCGGCTGGGGATGTCGGGGCTGGAGCGCGGAGTCGTGCGTGACTCTCTGTAACCGTAAGCGTACAAGTATGCCTGGGGGTGGCTGGCACCAGCTTTGGTTGCCTGCTCAAGCGCACTTTTGCCCAAAGTCCTTTCTGTTTACTTTCTTTCCTTTTCTCCTCCTTCCTGGAACGATGCTGGCGGTATTGCCCGTGACCCAATGTCCGCTTGTGTGGTCCTTGTCGTAAAGGGGGTTGCTGGGCTCAGGAATAGGAACAAGAAGGTTCCTGACCTCTGTCCACCAGAAACAGGCTAGAGACGGCTCCTCGTCTCTTTCTTCGTCTTTTCGAAAGCTAGTGGATGCTGCTCCCACATGCCAGGGATTACCCTTTTCTCTGTTTGCGTTACCGACCCGAATAGCGTCACATCTTTCCGTGTAACACCCAGCTTAGCCAGTCAGCCGTACGGGGGCTTCTCGTGGTTGCCGGGGTAGGGAAAGGAGTCTCGTGGACGCCAGAAATCCAGCTGCAACGGTGCGCTGGCCGGCCTGTCCCAGTCACTACCCCCACTGCCCGCGCTGCCACGGCCTTTCCTCTCCAGTACCCAATATCCAGCACCCAGGCACCTTGCCTTGGGAACGGCACCGACGCTATTCGTAGGGGCTAGGGGCTTAGGGCCTTTCACTGAGCGAGATGAAAGGCCCCCTTAGAGAGAGGACGCCGTACCGATGCGCTGCGCACTGCTCAACTGGTGCCCAGGCGGCTCCCACCACCAGCCCTGAACCTCATATTGTCTTCAGTTGAGCCGTCCGCGACGAAATGAAGCCACTGGTAGATAAGAAGAAGCGTGGCACCCCTGGCGTTGGCTGGTCCAGGCCCCCTTCGAGCCATGGGCGGGGGGAGACATGGAGGTTGCCGCCCAGTACTACTATGTATGTGCTGTCGGCTTACCTGAAAGCCAAGTACTCCGTACCAGATATGCGATTCCAATCTCCAGCCTACAGCAGCGTGGTCGTATCGATGCCGCCGTCCTAGCCAGCGCCATCTAGATGACTTGCCGCTGCCCACGCCATGAGGCAACAACCCAACTCGGGTTAGCATTCTTGGGTGGATGAAGGCCGCCATTATCCGTGCCACTTGCTGCCTTTCTCCACGGTACATCTGTACTGCGTCCTTGCCACCCACCCACAACCACGTCGCCCTTGATAGTGGGCGAGACTGAACCAGCGAGTTGGGCAAGCCGACCCGCGGTATCTTGATTGTCGGCGCCGCTAGTCAGGGAAACTGCATGCTGTTCGATTTCTTCTAGGCCCGGCAAAATTCTTTGGGAAGGAATGGTAAATCTTACTGCAGCTGTGGTGCCGCCGCACAGGGTGGGTGGTATCTGTGTCTATGTGAGAGCCTGCAATGTTGCCGCCCGAGCGGGTATGGTGGTGGTGGTCCTCTCCTCCCACCCCCTCCATTCGCTGGGCAGGGCCGGGGTTGCCTGCAAAGTTCAGGTAGCTTTGCCTCGAATATTCTCGTAGGTTTTCTTCCTTCCTGGTTCGATGGCAATAATCCTCATTCAGCATAGCTACCGCACAGTGGAGCAAATAATCCAAAGTGCCGGCATCGCGATTGTGATTGCAACGAAGGGACACTCATCTCTAGTGGATTCGGCGAATTGGGGAAACACTAGTTGCGAGGGGCATGCCGTGGAGTCGAGTGAGTGCCTCTTCCTAAGTACCGCCCATGCAGCAAAACCTTGACACCAGTTGAGAATGAGACGAAGCGTCTATGCAGCCGTCGTATGCAGATTGTTCGCGTCATGCTTGCTGTCGTCATTTCGTTCGTCTCATTTCCTTGGACCTCAATTGGGTCTTCGGATCCTATTCGACGTGCCTGTTCGAGGTATCTGCGTGTGTGCCCAGAGATCGCCGAATTCAGGCACCGTCATCCCGTCAGATCAGCCAAATGTCAACCATGGCTTCCTTGCTGCTGCTACCCTCTCCCTCCTCGACTGTCTTTGGTTGCTACCCAGGGTGAGATCAAAATCCACCAACAGGATACCAGCCTGGCCCCAACCAAGTCATACCCTCGGTCTTTTTCGGGTGCCCTGATGTGACTGTGCCATCCCGAACAGGGACCCTGACACATGGTCCCTTAGATGACTGACTGATGACTGAACCCGGTTTTCGTCTTGCTTGACAAGTCAACTGTGCCATCTATTTGGCCCAGGGTGCAAGACGGGTGGTTTTTGTGAATGAATGGCTGGATGGGTTTGTTGATGGTTGACATCCAGAGTCTGTATTCTCGCCAATCCATCTGGTTTTTCTTTTGGGAGGAGGGCCTATCAACCCCGGGGCCATTTATTGGTCTGCTATGTCTGGCTGGCCCCCATTTAACCGAGTATATTTCATGTCATGGTTTCTAGGTCGATGTGGTCCGTTTCTTTCGTATTTGCGTGCAATGGAAGGCTCCCGAGTTGGCATGGAATCCGAAAGAGACATTATCGTCTGGACGTCATACTTGCAGGCAGAAGCAGAAGTTGTTGGCCTGTCGCAACCGCTCGTGGTTGTGCCTGGGTAAGCGATGTCTGCGTTTGTTCCACAGGCCATCGTGGCTGCTTTTCCACAGCGAAACTGGCGGTTCCAGGTCGCCTATTAAGATTGGCATCTTCCAGGGCCGGGTGTTGGTAAGCCGCGTATGCAACAAGGTTCCTTTGCTTCGTGCCAGGCAAGAGACCATGTTGGTGGGGAAGTCTCTCCGCAAGACCACTTGTAGAATCAAGCCAAGCCATGAAATTTTCCACGGTGTGTCCCATCGGCTGTCGTCACGTCACCTCGGTTGTGTCTTCCTATACCTTTGGCTCGGGCTGTTCGCGACCTCTCGCCCCCATGCCCCTCCCCTTTTCAGACATGACTGGCCGATTGCCATGACAGAATTTATGTCTCGAGAACTTCACGTGGACCGTCTCATTGAACGAAAATAGCCGTCCTTCCGGGTAGTTCATGCACGTTTTCTTCCAGCCAGGTTTATTGGGCTGATAGCAGAGCTCGCGGAGCCAGGTGCTCTTGATCCTGGCAGTTATCGATCTGCAGGGCGCTCGGCTGGTATCTGCGTCCCGCGCTGATACCACGGACGCTGGGTTGGCCCTGGTTGCGCCGCTAGCAAAAGCGCCGCAGGTCGTCTTTTCCACCCTGGTCCCGGCAGACATGCCTTGCCCAGGTCCACTCGTCTGATGACCTAAAGAAAAACGACAAACGGACTTGCTCTCCGTTAAAGCATTTGGCCGGGAAATTGAGCAATAATGGTGCCCGGATTGACCCAAGTCATACACTCGGACGAATATTGGGATTGTTGAGGCCCAGGTTCCCACACCATGTTCGATCTTCTGCCGTTCCCCCTCGTCTTCCCCGGCACATCTTTGTAAATCGTCCGACAACATGGAGAGATACTGCTTGTGGTTTGTAGTGCAAGGAAGGCGTCTGGCTCGTGCAGCGTCTTTTCCTGCATCGTGTATTGTCAAAGAACAGGTTCCAGGTTTTTCTGCATTGCAGACGCCACGATAGCCTGGGTTTGACACCAAACAAAAAATCTGTGAATTCCATCTGGGGCGCGCGGTCACTGCCTATCGCTGCTGGGAAATGTTGTTAAACGACATCGAAGTCGGATGACGGTACGGAGATGTGGGTATTCCGATCGTCCGCCAGATGACTCGTAATTGTGTCAAGTCTGGAGCCGACGTGCGTCTCAGCGAGTTTTTTGCGACAGCTGTCACTCCGAAGATCCATTAGGTTTCACCATAACGACTGCTTCCTCCTGTTTTAGACTTCCTGGCATGTGTGTGTCGTCCGAACTTGGATGTTAGCCTACCGACAAGAGTTGCGATGGCGCTACTGGTTTGGTACTGCAGGCAACACAGCTGACCTCATGTGCTATTTTGGAAGAACCTAAAAGCAAAACAAAGTAAATATAAAGGAAAGAAATGAAGAGAAATCTAGAACTCAATTGGGGGGGCCGGTTGAAATGAGCAGGCCGAGGCGAGGACTGACGTCTGGTCAAAGAAGAGCAACACAAGTCATGTTGAAAATAGGTTGACGTTTGCCGGTGCTGTCTGCTAGCTAGACGAGTGTGCATACAACGAACAGTTTCGGTGGGTATCAGTGGACTCTCGATCCGCTCGGATTCTGGCGGCCAGGTCAAGGATCACCCCTCCTGAGCTGGCTTGGTGAAGGGACGGAGGGGCAGGGGGGAGTCCGAAAGGGCAAGGAACCTCTTGGCGCGGTCGTCAAGCTGCGGGGTGTGTCTGGGCGGCGCGGTTCATTGCGACGCTGCTGGGGAAGAAGTTGCAAGAAGACACGGGTCGCAACCCCGTTCAGCTTCCGTGGCTCAAGCCGCTGTATTAATTTTGATTAATATAATCCAGGGGATGGGCGGCTCTGCACACGTTGCTCCCAAGCCTCGAGATGGAGAGCGACTGAGTCAACCCCCCGACGACGATGAAGAAACGAGGCTGGTTGGAGGGGCACGATGTGAGGTGGTACGGAAATAGAATCACAAAGAAGCCAGATGCTCCGAGAGCGAGGGCCATGGACCCTGAGCTGTGGTTTCGTTGCCTCGGACCTGAAGTGTTATTGTTGTGATTATTATTATTGCCGCCCTTCCCTATATGCAAAACAGTCAGTCGGAAGTGCCGCCAGTGTCCACTCGATAGCTGCTGGGTCTATGCCTACAGCAGGGCAATTACCAGAAGAGGGTGCAGCCTGGTTGTAGTCTGAAGGTCGACGAGGAACAGAGCATGGCGGCGGGTGTCGACAATGGAGGGTTGAGGGAACGAACATTGGCGCCTCGAGGTGACGTCCGTTCCCGTGTGGACGGCTCGCCTAGCATCGGGCAGTGTGCACAGGCCAGACCATAGAGGAATGGATTCTGGCAGCGAAGCCGAGTCGACGAAGGGCGGCGTTCGGTAGGATTCCCGTCTAGGCGAGGAGGACAATCGGATCGCAGTCTTGGCCTTGGTCTGGGCCGGTGGCTGTGTTTGGACGTCGGGTAAGGAACCCACAAAGGTTGACCTCGGCAGCATCATGGGCAACGTTTATCATGTGGGAGCGATTTGGCGGTGTTTGGTGAGTGGATTGACGATTGACCAAGTGGTGGCTGACGATGGACGATGGACGACCCGACCCACCCGATTCGATGGGTACACTGGTCTAGGTAGGTGGTGATGAGAATCCATGAGAGTGGGAAAGAAGGGGGGAAAATCATCTGCTGATGACAAGCTTGGTTCGGATAAGAATTAACATGCAACGTGCTCCATGGTCCTGTAATCCGCAATGGCGTATGGTGAAGTTGGGTGACGAGGCAGAGAGAGAGTGAGAAAAATTGCTCGAGACAATCATTATGGGATACGATGATGAAATGGACAAGCAGGCTCGCCTGAACGCGCCTGCCCACCTTACTATTCATGTCAATCAGTGCCCGATCGCGCCTGCCTACATAGTTACCTACATTATAACTCTACGGTACATTGGAACTCGGTGGATGAAGGCAAGCGCAATGAGATACGCAGGTGCTATCCCGATATCAACATGTTCGCAGCCTCCTTGTGAAGGAAGGTACCTATCTGCCCTGCATCCTTCCGCGTATCTACCTACTTCGTAGGGAAGGGGAAGTTCATGAAAAGTATCCGTACCTACCTACTACCTATTGTAGGCATGTAGTTACATGCATAGTACGTACAGTACGTACTAACGAGAAGGCTAGGTATATCCCGCCACCATCCAAAACGGGAAGCTGCAACGGCGCCTGAGCGCCTGCTTCTTCTCATTCCCGCAGTTCTCTGTTCCTGTTCTTGTTCCTGGCGTTGAAGACAGCGGCGTCGTCGATTAGTCTCTGCTCTTTTTCTTCGTTTTCCCTCTCAGTTTTGGTTTTCCTCTTTTCTTTTTTTCCTTTTTATTCCCTTCTCTCTCCATGGATTATCACACCGGATCCCCTGCACATGGGGAACACGGCAGGGGCGTGCAGCTTGCCGGCCACTTTCCAATAAACGGATACCCTTGGTGCGCACACCCAGACTCGTACTCTCTCTCCCTGGACATCAACGTTCGCTGCGTACAAAGTATTCGTGGCTACCTACACACCTAGGCATCTATCTGCCTATCCAAGGTATCTACGCAGCAAGCCTTTTCCTTGTGGATTCCTCTTTTATGCCTTGCTATCTCCGTCTTCGTGTTCGTTACCAACCATGGCCAAGCGACCGCAAGATACCCATGGACGACAGATAGACACACCCTTGCTTGGCAGGTCTCGAGCCGAGAGCTTCCGTATCCGCACTAACGTCACCTCGGGCCATGGCACGATCAAAACGGACCCGCAATGGCAGGCTTTGTGGATGCAGAATTACCTCGGGTTCTTCCCTCTGCGCCTCGAGCATCCTCATCCAACTTTGATGAAATGCTCCGAAGGAAACACCCGAGACCCGTTTGCTTGCTGGGTATGTCTCGGGGCTCAATTTTACGCCGGACCGGGGCAGAACCCTTCAGACGAGCTGCATCCATCTTGCCCGCCATTGCAGCACCAAAGCACTATTACGCAAGTACGGATACTCATTGATATGATGGACATCTACACGTACCGTACAGGTAATCCCTACATTCCCTAGGGAGAGGCGGCGGCGGCGAGGTAATGCAATACTGGTCACATTTCACATTGCGCATGCTTGCTCGCTTGCTTGCTTGGTACAGAGAAAGCGTATTTGTTGGCTATCTCGACATGATTGTCCAACGCGTGGAATTGTCCTCACACACTTCCCGCCCCCCCCTGCTTCCATGTCGCCCCAAATCCACATGGCCCTTCGTCGCAGACATACTACTAAGCACACGAGGCTTACATTGCGTCTCCTCTCCCAATGTCACTTCACATGCTTTCCAGCCTGAAAATCCTCTCGGGACTGGATGCTTCTCTGCTACCGACACACGGCAAGCGACAAGCAAACCAGATGCAACCAAGGCAACCAAGGCACCTCCCCGGCACCATCTCCCCAACTTTCTCCACCTCACCTGAATTCCTAACAAGCACCACTCGGCCGAGTCCTGAAGTATCTGCATGGCCGGGGGCTACCTACAGTGCCATGTACTAGTCTACCCGAACGCACATCCTGCAATCAATCAATCAATCAATCAATCACTGTTTGTCAGCCCAGTCAGTCTGCCACGCACCTGGGACGGCCCCGTCTCCGTCACCGACCTCGATCCCCACGCCCATCAGTCAGTGCAAAGGTCCAGTGGTCATTGTGTACGGAGTACGGAACCTGTGCGACCTTACGAGGGACCGCCTTGCACTCGTACCTTCGTGCCTCGGTACCTAGGTTGGTCCAGGCTCATTCATACCGATGACACCCCCCCCTCCCCCCATCGGATCCCCAGCTTCCAGCAAAGCCAACCCAGCTGCGCGGGTCAAGGGCGAACGAACGAGGCCAGTAGTCAAGGCCCAGGTATTCGCACGGAGAGATACTCCAGCCCCAACGATCCCCGACCCTTGCTTGACGGTCCGACGAGTCCCCATGTCAAACTTGTCATCCCATCTCTCTGTCTCTCTCTCTCTTTTTCTTTTTTTTTTTCTCCGTCGGCCGATTTCTCCGACCTGCGGCATAATGAGTCGCAGCCTCCGACGATCGTTGTCAAGGCTCACCCGTGTCGTGTTAGGGTTTACCTTCTCCGTGCCAAAGCAGGAACGCTGATCAGTGGCGTCCTCTCTCCTAGCCTGTTGACGATGCGCCCGCCTCTACTGACCAACAAAATACCGTTGATGCATGGCCGTTGGGAAGCGGTGGACATTCGATTCACGACAGGGTCGTGCATGCCCCGATTTGCAGTCGTGGGAAGAAACAAGGAACTACCCAAGGCCTTCTTTATTAACCACGCCACAAGAAGCCTGCCCATTTCGGTTGTAGCCAACCCCCGAGCGGTCTAATTACGAGTCTGCCGTGGCAGCCACGCACGATAAAATGGCGGGCGGGGGAAGGCGGGTAGTCAGACAGACACATCTGGACAAGTGCAGGCTGTGAGTTGCAGATCGGCCTTTTTCGGTCACTCGAGATGAACCAGTCGCCCATGTCTATTTCCTGCTTGGACAGCAGGGCTGGATCACGCTCTCGGCAGAACACCAAACTGTGAATCTGGCCCGACTTCCCAGACTCGATCCATCACGGTTTAGTATCTGACATGGTATTCGACGCCTGTTCTGCTTGCTACCTACCTACATAGTATGCGTGTTCCTCGGAGGGCCACCCACCCCATACGCAGCAGTCGGCGGTACGCATACTTTGGCAAGCGGTGACTCTCAAAGCAAGCTTACGCCGGCGCCATGCAACACATCAAATATGGCAATTGCCTCGCCAGTGTCATTCTCGATTTCGCTGACCGCTAGTCGTCTTGAGTCAAGTAGCCCATATGAGCCCCGGTGTCGTCCGTCCTCGTCTCCATCGTGGGCCGCATCTTTCCTCTTGCCCTGGACCCCCGGCTCCCGGCCTTTCAAAGCACTCGGCCACGCGGCACGCGCGTGATATCGCTGGTACAAAGTTGCCAGGGGTGGTCAGACGGCCATGCATGCCAGGAACGTGACAGCTCGGACGGGGCATGTCATCCTTTCTCACGGGCCTCTTTGTGATCCGTCATGGCCGCCAACCAACCCGTCCTTGTCTGCCTGCGCATAAGAGCAGGGCAAGCGTCAACCGAGCCAGTTTCATGCGATTCCTCGATGCAACCAGCCGGAGAATTTGTCGCGGCATCAATAGCCACCCTCTGGATCTGGGATCGAATGACACGTCTGGATACCTCGCGGGGCGGCCAAATCCGTCCTTAGCGCCGTGATTCCAAGACCTGGCCCAAACGGACAAGTGCTGGGAAGCTGGCGCGCGATGCTTCGCAACGCCGCAAGTCGGGTCTGGGCCGCGCGAGGTACAAACCTTCAGCAGCCCAGTCGCGTCATTGCTGTAACACTATACGTTGCGCAATCGAAAGGAAATGCAAGGAGCTTGACACCGCCCGCATGTCGCTGCCGTTCAGGCTGATGTCAGATGCCCTACGAATAAGCACCCAGTAGGCGCAGCTGCGTTCCATTCACGGGCGACGCTGCCGAAGGGGGCGTTGGCCTAATCCGAATCGTACAGGAGCAATCCTCGACGGTACCAGCCAGCTGGGAACAGGGACGGTTTCGCACGGCCCTCCTTTGTCGACCGTAGATCGTCCTCGCCGGGAACCCCTCCCCCCCCTCTTAGGATTTCCCGGGCTTGCGGCGGTGATGAAGTTTGAGACTGCCAGAGAACTAGCATACCAAGCCCTGTCTACAATACACTACACCACTAAAGCCCGAGGCATTTTCTGAATTGGGTTGGTTCGATTAGTCCGCCTTGGAAGCTCAAAAGACACACGCTGTTGAGAATGGGAACGATTCCCACTGGCTGAATCAGTTCGGAATCCTCCGTTGGGTTTTAGGCGACGACATCCATGTCAGAGTGGTTGGTTGACAAGATGGGACGAATTCAAAATTGGGCGATATAGGCAGGGGATGGCGGAGGAGAGGCCGGTACCGAATGGCCCCTCATGTCTGTCTGTGGGCTCCAGGGTAGTGTGCTTTGGGCCGATCGTCATGCTTGCTGTCCTGCAGCGGAATCCCAAGTCCCGGACCCCTATATCTGATATTCCCCCCGGTGATAACACCAGGTGCTACGCAGCATCATATCAACCAGCGTTAGAGAGCGGCCACGGGACGCAAGCAGGCTCCCGATCACCGGGAAGGTTGTGCCCCAAATCGACAATCGACGGCTTCACCAATTGGTCCAGACTGCTGAGCTCGCGGGTTCTAGAGGCTCTGTCTGGTCCTGTCAAACACTGTCAGCCAGCCACCAACGCCGACGCCGACGCCGACGCCGACGCCAAGATCCGGTGCTCTCTAACCACCACTTCAGGGCCTGTACACGATGTGTCTACTTGTATCAGTATTCGACCGGTGATTTTATTATCTCATCCCGCGCGCTTTGGCGGTGGGGTTGTCACGCAGGCCTGTTGCGGCTCCACCAACCTGACGACCGCATCTGGCTTCTGGTATTTGGTCGCAGGAAGCCAGCCACAGGCCCGGCGGGAAGTGAAATTCGATTCCCGGAAGACATCGGACGAACCTCTGAATCCTGGTTCGGGGTGACAGGTTTCATCCCGAGCCGCCGAAGAGACGCTGGCAGCAGCGACAGGTCCAACAATCCCCCCCCCCCCCCCCCCCCCCCCCGGTTTGAACAGGTCCTGTACCTGGATATTCGTACGCACATATTACAATCTACCTGCTCGGCAGCTGCAGCTACTGCAGGGAAAGCTTGGTGGAACTGGATCTTGGAGACGTGACAGCCCGGCCGGTTGGCTCTTTGCCGCCCTGCCCACGCATGTTGCCACCCTCTTGGGGGTTCATCCCATTTCCTGGCAGGATGAAATGAAGCGCCCTGCTTTATCAAGCTAACCCCCCCTTCATGATCGATTGCAGGGTTGTCACATCGGACCATATTGAGATTGCGGGCGGATTGCCAAAGGATCCTGCGTTGCCGCAGACACACGGATGTTCGTACGTTCTTGCGGCAGCACCTCAGTCGCAAACCCGGACCTGTCAATGTCATGAAGCACGGGATGTAGCGAGGCATCAAGTCCTTTCCCCACGCCCGGCCGTCGATACGACGTTAGACAAGTCCGGCCGACTCTAGATTCAATGTTTTCAATAAATTCTCTCGAGATCATTGGGCTATTAGCGGCATTTGTGTGACCCTGATCATTTCTTGCGATGTCGCCACCGGCATGTCGTCCTGGAAAGGCCCCGAGTTACACACCTACTACCTGCCTAGCTAGACAGGGGAGGGGTATGGAAATGGAGCTACTAAGAGGAAAAGTTGGGCGGGACTCCAAGTTGATCCCATTGGTAAGTCTTGCCAGCGAACCGCGCCGGACGATGTCTCCATCGAGCAATGATCTCGACAGAGTGAGGCATTTTGTCGAACAGCGGATAGGACCCGGATGCGGTTGTGCCCGCCGCGGCCCTCGAGATCAGACCATACAGACCTGCCTGCCGCTGCTTGAGCCCCCCCCCCTCCCCCCTCCAACAGGCCTCGTGCCGCACTCACTGTGATGCCGGGGCTGGAAGGCGACCAGTCAGTCCTGCGAGCTCATCAAGGGGATGGAGGTAGATGCCCAAGTCCGACGTCATCAAGTTAGGATATCTCCACGCTTTGAACAACAAGGCTGACAATAATCCCTTTTAGCCGCGGCATATAAGACACAAAACTAATACGAAGAGTCAATTACCTAGGCACTGGCTTTTTCTTCCCCCATACCACATGGGACTATGGCCGTGCTTGTCAGTAGACGCTACAGGATCTGCCACTAGGGCGCAAACTAGACATCGGGTAGAAATTCCGTCATTTTAAAGAACCACTACCTGCCGCCACCTTCCTTTGGCTTCGCAGCAAGAGACGCAATGCTGGACGGGCAGGCGATGTTGCTCATGGAATGACGCTAGGCGACACGTTCACGGCCGTTGTCAAGATTGGTGCAATCAGCCACGATGGCCTTTTTTTCTTTCTTTTTTTTTTTCCTTTTTTTTTTTCCCGCTAGCCCCGGGCGAGGCCAATACTAGCGACATCGAGCCCTGCGGATTCGATATCGAGACGGTCCGAGCTGCGCTGGATCCCCCTCGTCATCCAAGACACGATAAGCGGCCTCCACGACGGCTTCACGACGGCTCCCCGCCTCGGGCTTCTGTAGTCGGGCGATCTATCCCTCGACGCTGATCCAAACGCGCTGTTTCGTCGCGCCGTGGATATCGGGGGAGAACAACAAGATGAGGTGTCCCGACCGCGCCGGCGCGAGGCTGCTCCCGGCCGCCCCTCCCTCCCCCCTTCGGGGGCACGTTCCTTAGTTCCAATAGCCCCGGGGACCAGGATGCGAAGGCACCCCCGACTGACTTCCGCCGGCATATCGTCTAGTGCCAGTAGGGCGCCGTTGTGAGCATGTCCGCGCTGCCTTAGTCTTCGCTCGTTGGCGGAAGAAATGCGAAGTCGAAATGCCGAATGCCTGCCAGCCAGTCCCCCTCCCTCCCCCAATGTCCACAACCTTGCCAGCAATACGATAGTGTCAAAGCATCCCCCAAGCGATACCTACCCCTCTTCTAGACCATCTACTCTAGGGGGGCCAGGGGGGGCTGAATAGCCGTCACTCGGGGACTTTAGACACCCCTACCTCCGATATCATCGTCAAGCCACCCTTTGTGACAGCATAGTGCTTTGTATTACTGAACCTTGGGTAGATCTCGCGGGAAATCAATAGATAGAGATAGAGGGCGGGGGGGGGGCGATATGAGGGAGCGGGAAAGAAGTCTCCGTCGCACATGCCCCTTCCCTTTTCTCCGTGCAACGGACACAAGCCGCCAGGGAGACAAGGACGCTCGCTTATCTAGCCCCAGTAGGATCTAGTCATGTCGTGACACGAAGATGAAAATATAGGGAATGGGGAGGGGGGCGTGGTATGCTTAGGACAACTTCCCCACGCTCGCGCATACACATACACATACACAAACACACACACACACACACACGCACACAGACACACCCTTGGTCGAGAGGCTGGACGTCTCTTTCATCGTCAGCCCGCGACCATTTCGGTGCTGAAGTGTCGGCAATCGCCGTTGTCTCAAAAAAAGGCCGCAATTTCCCCGAGGCTTTGACGGTTCTCGGATGGCCCATCAGGACGGGCGGCGTCGGCGCAGCCGGTAAGGGGAATATGTCCCGTCGTCGACGCTCACACACCTCCCCCTTCCTCTTGAGCAACTATCCTCCCACATCTACAGGTGAGCGGTGTTTTTGATAGACCAGGCAGTTGAGTCCGTGATGGTGCGACCGACTCGCCTCTTTGGGCCCTTGTTACCCTTCCTGCTCGGCCAATCTCGGAGAGAGAATGACGACCTTGCGGCCTCGAGGGCGGGGCACGAGTCATTGTCATTGTTGTTGTTGTTGTTGTTGTTGTTCATTGTTCAAGTGACCATGATAACGGAAGCGAATAGGGGAGAAATCGGCGCGACGGGGGGTTTCAGTGCGTTCTGGACGGCCGGGAGACGCATAGTTTGGGTTTGGGTTTGGGTTTGGGGGGGGGGGGGGGGGGGAGGTTCTCAGAGTCAGCTAGGGGATCTCGTTCTGCAGGCCACCGTAGCAACTGTAATAAGGGCACCCGGGCGAGATCCCGAGCCCCGAAGCCCCGGTTCTTAGGCAGGGCGGTGAAGGTCCCCCCCCTACCCCCTTCAAAAGCCCCCTCTCTCCTTTCCCTTCCACGAACGCGGATCATGGTGATGGGCAGGCGTACGGAACCTGTCAGGGAACCTCCCGCTCTTCCCCTCACCCGTGTCCGTCCAATCGTGTTGCCTAGCCCCCTTTCCTTCCTGTGCCGGTGTTCGGGATGCCGTCATATATCCCGAGCACACCGCGGCGGTCTACCCCATCCCGACGATACGGTTTCCATCCGTCGAGAGACCTTACCTGAGCCTGGCCTGAACAGACATCTGGGAGCGACGATGGCGGAGACGATCACCACGACGGCGACGACGACGACGACGTGGCATCCACTCGCACCCCATCACATGGCAACGCACATGGCAACGTGGAAAAAGAAAACTGGCTGAAATGTACGCGGACTTGGTCCACTACAATGTGATGTGCGACACATTGTCTCAGCACGGCAAGGGCGTAGCAGAAACATGTCAATGGTCCGTACGGATTACATAGGTACAGGCAGAAAACCACATTGCACGTCAAAGCGTGTCAAACAATGTCTTGGACGCCCGTCCCGCACGCCCGAGACACCTTAAAACGCCGAACCAATCGTGACCTAATCCCTTGCGCGATGCTGCCCCCTCCCTCCTTTCGTTACATGCATTTTCGTTGTAAGAAGCGGTTGCCCCGGCACATGGTGTCGATGATGGTGTTTGAGATGAGTTGTACAAGAAAACAGCAAGCACTCGCAGATGTGCCCATGCCAAGAGCACACGACGCAGTGTTTGACTTGATTCACAATCGGCTCTCGATGGGAGGGAAAGGCTCCGCACCGGGCCACTGGGAGTCGGGCCAGACAAGCCGGATGGCCTCCCAGACGTGACTGGAGTGAGACAAATGTCAGTTGCACGGCACATTGGAAAGAGCGGTCCCGGGACCGGGGGTTCGAGGGCAGTTGGACGGCGTCGCACAGCATCGGGGGGACACAACGCCAGAGAGAGCGGGCGGTTGCTTGTGAAGGGGAGGAGGAGGGGTTGAGAGGGGTGTGACTTGAACAAGCGAGAGAACAGAGTACACGAGGCATGGGGGCCGGGCACTAGACTTACTTGACATGGAGGATCTCCAAACCGTCCTTGACCTCCTGGGGGAGATCTTTGACATCCTTCCGATTCTGCGCGGGGAGTAGTACCGTCTTGACGCCCGCCCGAAGGGCGCCGATGAGCTTCTCCTTGATGCCTCCGACGGCAGTGACACGGCCCCGCAAGGATATCTCGCCCTGTGTCACGGCACGTTGTGTCAGTGTACCGGCTTTTCAAACAGTCAAACCGTCTCGCCGCCGAAGGAATGCTTACCGTCATGGCCATTGTAGGAGGCACAGGCTTGCCGGAAAAGAGAGAAATGAGGGCAATCGCCTGCGCCATACCACTGCTGGGGCCATCTTTGGGAATGGAGCCCGAGGGGCAATGGACGTGGATGCTGCGCTCCTTCATGATGTTGGCATTGGGCTCCGACGTCAAGCCCAGCTCATACGCATGGGCCTTGACCCAGGAGAGGGCGACCTCCACACTCTCCTTAAGCACGTCTCCCAGTTTGCCGGTAAGCTGGACGCTGCCGTTGCCGGGCATGTCGGCGACCTCTATAAACAGGATACTGCCGTTGCCGCCCGAGCTGTACGCCACCAGACCGGTAACGATGCCAGGCTTGCTCGTCTTCTCGGCGATTTCCTCCTCAAACTTTTCGATGCCCAGGATCTCTTCAATGTCGTCAGCCGTCAGTTGCGGCCTGTACGTCTCAAGCCGTCCCCCGTCCTTGGCCTCGGCGAACTCGACAGCCTTGGCACGGCAGACGGAGCCAATCTCGCGCTCAAGGTTGCGAACCCCTGATTCACGAGTGTACGACTCGATAATCTTGGACACGACCTCTTTGTCAAAGCTGATCTGGTCCGCCGAGAGCCCGTTGACCCGGATCTGCTTGGGCACAAGGTGCTGCATTGCAATGTGGCGTTTTTCAAGGGTCGTGTAGCCCGGCAGATAGATTGTCTCCATCCTGTCAAGAAGCGGGGCAGGAATGGTGTCCAGGCTGTTGGCGGTGGCGATGAACAATACCTTGCTCAGGTCGACGGGCAGGCCGACGTAGTGGTCCGTGAACGAGTTGTTCTGTTCGGGATCCAGGACCTCGAGCATGGCTGCGGATGGGTCACCTTGATGGTTGGACATGCCCAGCTTGTCGATCTCGTCGAGGAGGAACACAGGGTTCGCCACGCCGACCTTTCTCAGGCCTTGAATAATCAGGCCAGGCATGGCCGCCACGTAGGTCCGCCGATGACCACGAATCTCGGCTTCATCCCTGACACCACCAAGCGAGATGCGATGGAACTTGCGGCCGAGAGCTGTGGCGACAGACCTGGCCAGACTTGTCTTGCCTACACCAGGAGGGCCGGCTAAGAGCATGATGGGTGACCTATCAACCATTCGCTTCGACCGAAGCACCTCGATCCTGGTGTTGGACAGCCTTGTCCGCTCCTCCATCTCGGCGTCGGCGGCCTCTTTCTTCCCGGACTCTTCCTCCTTTTCGGATTTAGGAGGAACCGCCTCCTGCTCTGCCTTCTTGATCTGCTCGTCGACGTCGTCGTTAATGGACTGCTTGAGCCTGAGCACAGCCAGATACTCGACTAGTCTTTTCTTGACCTTTTCCAGGCCATAGTGGTCCTCGTCCAACTGCTTTCGGGCTCTGGCAAGCGTGTCGGGCCCCAGTCTGTCGTCTGTAGTCACAGACCAAGGAATCTCAGCAAGCACATCCAGCCACGTCCGGGTGACCTGGTATTCTTGGTTGCCGGGCATCATCTTCTTAAGCCTTCGGATTTCCCTGTCGGCCATCTTGGCCGCTTCCGGCGGGAGCTTGGCCTTGTCCAGCTTCTTCTTGAGCTCTTCCAGCTCGTTGGGCTCCTGTTCGTCGTCTTGGTTGGGGCCCATGGCGCCGTTGGGGTTTTGGAATAGGTAGTTGGGCGGAGTGCCGTTTGATCCGACGCGGCGGGACGACTTGTCATTTATTTTGTCGAGGAATTGTACAGGAACGCTGGTGAATGTGGTGATCTTGAAGTTGTTTTTGATACCGCTGACCTGGCGGTCCAGCAGCTCAATGACCTTGGCAAGGCGAACCTTGACGTCGAGGGCGGCCAGTACCTCGAGCTTCTCCTCGTACGATGCCTCGACAATGTTGGCCATGAAGTCGGCGAGTAGGCCTGCGTCGTTGAGCTCCTTCTTGTTGATGAATATCTCGAGCCTCCGGGTCAAAAGGGGGGACAAGCCGCCGGGGCTGTCTGGGGTTCTGGGGAGGAGTGCGGCTATGCGGAGAATTGTGACGAGTTCTCGTGATCGCAGTTTGAGGAGGGAGAAGAGTTCTTGCATCTGTGCATCCGTGGCGACTAGGAGAGATGTTAGCACGCGTAGGGCGAGAGAGGGTGTTGGGGAAGAGAGATCGGGACGCTGTTCACCTTGGTCGTAGAAGTACTTGACTTTGGCCTCAAAGTGCGGCCTCTCCTGTGTGATCTTTTCAACACGGATCCTGGCGACGCCCTCTACACGAAGGGCGAACTCGGCGGTGCCCCTCCCCTCGATGCCGGTGATACGGGCGGCGACGCCGTAATTGAAGAGATCAGCCTTGCGGGCGGTGCCGGGGTTGACCTCCTTGATGAGGGACTCGTCCATATGGTCGGCATCTTGGATGAGAAGCTGACCGTTGGGGCCGACGAAAGGGGAGGAGACGGGAACACAAGCGATTGGAACGGCGTCGATGCGCTCGTTCGGGGCGGCGGTGGCGGCACGGGTGTATACGTTGGCAAGGAGGGCGGGGATGTCGGGACGGGCGGCGGTGACGGGGATGCGCTGGGAGACGCCGGGCAGGAGGATGGTGCCACGGGCCAAGGGGATGACGGGCAGGGTATCTGTTTGGGATCGCGCCATGTGGAAGTCGGTTTCGGGGTGTCGCGTGACGTGTGACGTGGAATGGCTGTTGTTGGTTTACGTGCACCTCGTACGGTGACGATGGTTGTCGGTGATGTAGGTTGACGATAAGCGAATGTGGGTTGTGGATGGCGTCACAATATATACCTAGGACAGAAGACGAAACAAATGTGGCTTGAGCAAACGCAAGCTGGCTGGTGTATGACGAAAGAGCAGTCGCAATGGCTGTGGAAGAAGAGCAGAAGAGGGAAGAAGATATAGTTTGAGGGTGAGTTGGGATGGGTGGGTGGGTGGATGGATAACGACCATGTCAGAAGCAGCAAGCTAACACGCCCGGGAGGAGCTCCCCCCCCCAGTATTTGGTGGGTGCAACGCAATGCCGGCGCTGCGGTGTGGGGACGCAGCGCTGCTGGTGCGGGAGCCTCCGCAATGGAGTTCAGCCGAGGCTAATCGGCGCGTGGTGACAATTGCCACACCCATCTTCGAATGGTATCGAGAGAGAAACTCGTGGAATATTTTATCATGGCAATCATCATGGCAGACCTGGGTTCAGAACCGAAGCTATGTGCATTCCGTGAGCCCCCCCCTCCCCTCCCTTTTTAATAGGTTTGTGGAGACATAGCTGACAACATTGAGTGAGACAACAGCGGGAAAACCGCTGGTCGCACGTCTTGAGAGTCTCTAGGCGACATGGAACCGGCCCTACGCACATGGCCATTATCCGTACAAATCGTAGGACGGCTCATACGCATATGCAAATATTGTATGATTAGACCACAGTAACGGACGCATTCATGGTTTATTTGGACGCGTGTATTGCTGGGAAAGGGCTATCAGATCAGCCAGCAGCGAGTTGAAAGGTATGTGACTAGCTAGGTAGGTAGTTAAGCAAGGTGCTCACTCACTCACATGGATTTCAGGGTGCAAGTTTGGTAGTGGTCAGGTAGGTTACCTGAGGTACCCACGTCGCCCTGCACAGACCACACGCAGACCGTTGTGATTATGTAACCTTGGCCATCCCGGTCCACTGACTGCCCAGCCATTGTCTGAACGCGGGGGCATCAGCTTTCCACAGTGGGCGTGTAATTAGGCGTGCACATCAATTAAACTCCCCGTCGCGTCGCTTGGCAAAAAGACGCGTCTCGTCCAAAAACCATCACCATTCCACCGCCTAACCCCCTCCCCCTCCATCCCGCCCTACCTCTCAAGCAACCCGCCGTTTTACTTCACGGCCCCAGCGATAAACGACCGACATAAGGACTTCTTCAAATATCAAAGGAACAATGAGTACGTTTCCGTCGCTTCTCCCTACCTTCCATCCCCGACAAAAGGGGAAAAAAAAAGATGATGAAAAAAAAGAGGGAGAGGGAGAGGGGAAGAGGAGGGGGACCAGTTATCCAAGCTAACTGTCGCGCGCAACAGCTTCATACGGCGGCTTCACGAAAACAGCCTACGGCGCTCAGGGCGGCGACGATGCCGGCGGCTTCGTCTACGGCGGCTCTCAGCAGGGCAGCCAGGGCGCCGGCGGCAAGGCCTACAGCGAGGAGTCTCTCCGTCCTGTCACCATCAAGCAGATCATTGACGCCGAGGAGGCATACCCCGGCGCTGATTTCAAGATCGATGGCGCCACCGTCACACAAGTCAGTCCTCCCTTCCCCCCGTACCCCCGACAATCAGCCTACCCGCCTCCTGGCGAACCGCTTGCTTGCTAGAGGCTGGAACAAGAAGAAGATGATGATGATGAAGAATAAGAAAACTAGACGGAAAGAAAGAAAAGCATCCAGCTAACCTCCCCGGCTCCCCGCCGTCCACAGGTAACCTTCGTCGCCCAGATCCGCCAAATCTCTCCGCAGCCGACAAACATCACCCTCAAGCTCGACGACGGCACCGGCCTCATCGAGGTCAAGAAGTGGGTCGACACGGACAAGAAAGACGACGCCGACGCCAACCTCGAGCTCGAGGGCTACGTCCGCGTCTGGGGCCGCCTCAAGTCCTTCAACGGCAAGCGCCACGTCGGCGCCCACTTCATCCGCCCCGTCACCGACTTCGACGAGGTCAACTACCACCTCCTCGAGGCCACCTACGTCCACCTCTACTTCGCCAAGGGCCCCCTCAACGGCGCCTCCGGTGGTGCCGCTGCCGGCGGCGACGGCATGTTCGTCGACGGCGGCGACTCGTACGGCGCCGGCGCCGGAGCCGCTACCGGTCCCGCCGGGAACTCCGCCCAGGCCGGCAAGCTCAGGGGGTGCTCGGCCGCCGCCCAAAAGATGTTCAACTTCATCAACAACTCCCCCGGCGGCAACGAGGGCATCCACCTTAATCAGATCTCGAGCGGTGCTGGCCTCAGCGTGCGCGACGTCATTGGCGCCTCCGACGAGCTGCTCGGCCAAGGCCTGATTTACACGACGATCGACGACGAGACGTGGGCCATCCTCGACTACTAGCCTCAACAATAGGGATCACGGGGTGTCTTGGAAGCAAAGGGGGGAGGTGGCGAATTTGCCATGTCGTAAAGAAAAAGGAGCGTGCGCAGGAGAGGGAAGAAAATAGAAAAGGAACCGTGAGGGCTCCTCAAGGGGATCGGAGGGCTTCATCGACTCTGGGCCAAAAGAGCTCGGCAGGAAGCTGGTGCGTTTGTCACACAACACGGGCGAAAAAGGGGAGGCGCGCGTGGAACGGCCGCAACTTGTTGATACGAATGATATGAGTGGAATCGGCCATTGTTTTTTTTTTAATGAACGGCTAGAGCTAGTCGGTAGATACAAGCAAGCTGAAAGCGGGAAACACAAATGACAAAATAAACTGAGAAAAAAAAAAAAAAGTGAAAACTAAAAAGCAGTGCACTTCATCGTCCACCCCTTGCGACAGAGACAAGTCAGTCCGAGTCTGAGCCAAGGGTGTTGAACCCGACACGCCCATCGAGGGGAGGAGGGGTTATGTTGAATTCTTGAGCTGTGGTCAGCATGGAGACACAGGCAGCAGGCCCAGAAGGAACTCCGCGTCGAAGAAAAGACGACTTTCCAGACGACAGCATAGCAGAATAAACCAGATACAAGAAACCCAGAGCATGTCGAGCACGTCACCAGTTTCCGCGTGTCATCATAGAACGGGGACAAAAAAAAAGACAAAAAAGCTGACTGACAGGGGAGGGGGAGAAATCCTCAGTACGACCATCAGATCCGGACCGTCTCCTTCATCACGGCGTTGATCTGCATCTTGATGTTGCTGGAGACGACGGTCGAGTACGTGTGGCCGCCCGTCTTGCCGCCCGCCTTGCCGCGCGGGCACGGCTCGCGCACCATGATGAACAGGCTGACGGGGGCGTTCCCGCGGGTCAGTCGGATCTCGCGCTTGTACTCGAACCCGAACTTGCGGTAGTACGTATTGTTGGCGAGAGAGCTGGACTCGAGGTAGACGGCCCGGTTTTCCATGTCGGCCTGCGCGTGTTAGTCAAATACCGGTCTTGGTTTGTGCCAGACACACATCTCGGTTGATATGTCCTATCAAAAAAGAAAGGGGAAAAAAGAACAAGAGGGGTGACACTCCCAGCTAGTAACGTACCCTCTCAATCATGTCGTTAAGCAGCTTCCGCGCATACCCCTTACCCCGGGCGTTGGGCTTGGTCCCTAGGTAGACCAGGTAGTAGCAGTCATTATCCCTCTCTCCCATGACCTCGAGCTTGGTGTCATGAAGCAGAGGCAGCAGCTCATCGTAGTAACGACGCCTGGCCTCCACCGTGAGCTGAAAGTAGAGTCGCCACAAACCGCTCCGAAGGATGGTCCACCACCCATCAGCGTCCTTTCCAGGAGGCATCCTATACAATCCATCTAGCGTTAGCTCGCGCTTGTCATCATTGGGGCTAGGCCGGTGGTTTCCGGGTACCTCGGTGTTGATGGGTCGCCGAGACACACAAGGCCTTGTTTGGGGACGGTTGTAAAACACGGGAAGAGAACTCACCACAACGCCACAGCATCGTGGTCCGGACCAATGGTGGTGACTATGCCATTGAGGCAGTGGGCGGCCGCAATGTAGACCATGATGTCGACATGCAGCTTCCATTTGGACTCGGCCGACAGGCTCGCCATGTCATCGGCGTCGAGAAGATACTGGCTAAGATCATCAGCAGCAAAGGCATGGGCCAGCGAGAGGCCGGCCTCCTTGCACTCCGACATGCCAATGACACGCACGGTATCCTCCCACTTCGGGGGCACGAGGGAGCGTTTGAGTTCAACGAGGGTGACGCTTTTGCTTACGTGCTCCATGACGGGCTTCTTTTCTAAGGGGGCCTGTCTTGTTCACGAATCTGGACCAGCATTAGTACCGAGGCCTGCCTGTCTTGGGAAGGCGATGCCGATGCGACGACGTACTTAAATTCTGTATACTATCGCCCGTATGTACTCTCGAGAGTTGTGTTCTCGAGACGGGCATAAATCTGGACGGGTGGCGCAGGCAATTGAGGCTTGTACGAAGGTCAACCGACATCAATAATGATTTCGACGGGTCAAGTCTTTGGACTGGGTCTGTAGGGTTCGGGAGTGCAAGAGGATGTCGTCAGCAAGGCGCGGGAGACAACGTCGTCTTCACGATATGCGATGAGCGAGGATTGGTTTCTTTGGTTGATGGTTATTTCTTGTTTAAATGGCAGAGCGTCAGATGACGGTAGTAGGGAAAGGGGGTTTGTGAGAAGTGTTTGAGTGAAAGCTGGAATTGATTGTAGTCGAGACGATGAGTAGCAGTCTAGCAACAAAGCACAGCTGACGGCTGTGATCGTGTCCAGAGATCTGCCCCCCGGTTCTTGGGGCCTTGGAGACGAGGTACACTCGATGCAGAAAGGACTTTGATCCTGATCCTTGCCTTGGTAGGAAGCCAAACAATGTGTGTGTATGTTGGTGAGAACCTATCCAAAGCGTGTAACGATGGAAGAGCAGGAAAAGGAGAAGAAGACGGAAGGTCGGTGGGGAGCGGAGAGGAGACGGGGATTATGTAGTCAGGCAAGTGTCACTAGACGCACAAGGAATAGCAGCCATTGGGCCAGAGGGAGGGTGAGACAGGAAGCTGGGTCGACGGGAAAGGCGGAGGTTGCGGAGAGACAAGGCGGCCTTGCGTGGGATGAGCTTGCAGGTTGCTGAGAGGTCGTGACGGCCGTCGAGAGCGGGATGTTGAGGCAAGCCGCAGAATCATCTAAACACGGCATAACCGTGCAGCTGCACAGCACAGGTCTTGCCAAAGGGACGTTGCCTGCCCCATCATGGACGGATGATGGAGCATGGCGAGTTTGGCTCAGTTTGGCTCAACACTATTCAGAATCATGCTAATCAACTCGAGCTATCGAGATATGAAGGCACGAGGACAGCGGCACGTAGCAGTAGGCTGACGAGGGGAAGACGGGCTGGGATACAGTCCCGAGAGTAAAAAAGACGGTTGATCATGCATGGGACATGTATTCGTGTGCCGCGCAAGCACTGGTGGTTGCCATCCGGACCTTGTAATGCACGGGTATGCAGGTCTAACCAACGCCGTCCGGCTTCTTAGTGCACATGAAGCGGCAGCCAAGGGGCTTGGGCCTGGTTGAGGAGCTGTTGAGGAGTGCCAATGTTTGCCGCACGATGCATGATCAGTCGGGTGGGTGTGCGGGGAAGGGCGGACCAGCCAGACCCTGTCGGTTGGGTCAGGTATCCTAGGGATTGTCGGTCGGGTGCATGCTGTGGCCTGTATCTTGGGGATCAACCATCGCATATCTTCAAGACTAGCCAATCGCGGCGGCTGGACATGCCAACAACGGCCTAGCCCACTGGAACGTTGTGTGGCCAAGGCGTTTCATTGCTCCTATCAGCTCCGTCCTGGGGGCCTCGGCACCCGGACGCCGGCGCCCGGGCGCGCCGTACCGTGTGGCGGCGCCGTATCCGGCGGCCGTCGCAGCCTGGCAGAAGCAGGCTCGAGCCCCATTCCAAGCCTTTCCCAACAAAGCTGCTTTTCGACATAGTGTGCAGGCCCCATCAGTCCATGGTCCTTGGCGCCTGGGAAGCTCTACACTATTGATTCAATGCGACCACGTCGCGACATGGGGAGGAAGCAGGAATGCTTGATGAGATAAGGTTCCCAGGACAAACAAACAAGGCAGTGAGAGTGAGATAAGCCAGCCAGACAGAGTATGGCATCGCTACTACTGCCTTTGCACGTGGGGTGCATATGCAGTGATGCGCCAAGTTCGAAGGGCGAAGATCCCCTCTCTGTTGCCCCCGTTGGGCGTGGGGTGCGCACTAAGTCTTCTCGTATCGCTGTGTCCATAGTGCTGGTTTGACACTGTCTCCCTCCCTTTAGCTCAAAGCTTGTGTCTAGGAGTCCGGTGCCCGTCGTAGCTATCGAGTCGTTTAACGGGTCTCCTGTCTTTGAACAGACAATAGTCGTGTAAAAAAAGGCTCCGACCTACCCATATTTAAGAAGGCTGCGAGACAACTGACGTGACGATGTGCCAAGATGCCTACCGAACCTTGCTAGACAAGGGACGAAGTCATTGTTAAGCCAAGGAACTGGCGGCTGCATTGGCGGTCATTGACGAGTGTTTGAAAGTTGACGATCTCGGGGGAGGAAGGACACTATCCTTTTCGCAAGGCAATGCCATGTCTCTCGAAAGCAAAGGGCCGATCGTTCAAGAGCCAGAAGCGCCATGCAATCTGGGGCGTAGAAGTGAGGCAAACGAGGTGGTCATAGGGAGGAAAAAGGAATTCCAGGAGGAAGCTCGCAATCACGGAAAGAGCCGTGTCGCGTCGTGGGCCAGCAACCAGGAAGCAACCACTGGGCGAGCCCCGTGTTTCATCCTTTCGAATTCTCTCAGCATCAACTTAACCATAGTAAGAAAGCTGAGAAGGAGCTCCTTACGTCTTCTCTGTAGCAGGCAGCACCTCACTTTTATCAGGCAAGCCTCCTCCTCCTCCTCCTCCTCCTCATCCTCATCCACCACCACCCTTTCCTACTCACCTGGACCCGCGTGATTCTAAAGCCAAACCCCTCTGTGTTTCGACTTCTCTGGTCCCCTAAGCACCCTGGATGAGATGACAACTTGACAGAGTCACAGAAGCTCCCCTGCACCCGGGCGATGTATCGCAAAGCCGAACCAGCAAGTCTGCGGATCCTCCTTTTCGAGCGCGAGCGACGCGAAACAACATCGACACTGCGTTGGCTTTTAAGTGGTGTATGCTCATCTGGCGCAGGCGAGCCACGACAGCTTCTCATGAACCCCCCCGTGTCTCGATCCGAGCAGGTAACACACCTCGGACAGATGGATGACTTCGGTGCTTTCTCACCGGTCGAGTCAATATCTCGGGCGAATTCGCCGCCCTGGAGTCCTTATCCGTGCCCCGTTTCGCTCCACGAAAAGAAACGGCTCTGGGACCGCGTTTGCAGCAACCAAAGTGGTCAAGATAAGAGAGGTGCAAGGCACAAAGATTTATCGATCAGGGAGGCCAAGAACCAGCACCACAAGTCGTACTTATGTGACTTTAAAGGAAGGGGGGATGGGATATCTAGGTGTAATAAAATCCAGAAGAAAGGGGACGGGGCGCGCATCGACAGCAATATTACCCCCTTCGATTTTCTTCGTTTTCTGACGGCACCGCACAACATCGAAATTCCACACCCAATGCTCTCTCTCTCTCTCTCTCTCTCTCTCTCCTCTGTCAAATGCTGTCCCGGATCTTCACGCCCCTACCAAGAACCAGCAGCAACACCCTCCGCCAATCATAAGACTCGAGAGCCCTTGCCTGTTCACATGCGGCGGATCTTCTGCTCGTTGGTGTACTTCTCCAGGCCGTTGTCGAGGTTTTGCCACCACTCGAACAGCATGGACTCGCAGATGAGCTTGAACCAGGGGGTGAACTTGAGGCTGGGGTCCTGGAACAGCTTCTTGAGCTCGTCAGCGCTGACGTACTGCGTCGCCCGGACCTCGTTCTTGTTGACGGCGAGGTCGACCTTGGCCTTGATGAAGAGGATGTAGTCGACTGCAATCCCGTCAGCACCATCTCGACAACAGCCCCCGTTGGCTTCTTCGTCCCGTTATCCGCTCAGCGGGGGGAGGGAGGGTGACATACTCTCGTGTTCTCCCCACTTGCCATCACTAGGGGCCTTGTAGTGGATCCGCGTCAGGAAGTGGAAATCGTCAAAGGGGACCTGGGCGGGGTTGATGCCCAGCTCATGTTCCAGCTTCCTCTGCGCCGCACGCTTCACGCCCGCGACTGAGTCCTCTAGGTTCGAACCCGTCTCGCCGGGGATGCCCAGCGGGTGGGAACAGCAGGTGTTGGTCCACATGTCGGGGAAGGTGATCTTCTCCGAGGCGCGCTGCTGTAGAAGCAGGCGGTTGTCGGCCGGGTCGAAGAGGAAGACGGAGAACGCGCGGTGGAGGAGGCCCTTGTCGATGTTGGTCATGAGGTGGCCTGCGGTTTGGACTCAGTCAGCCGGGCTTCTCCTGGGCCGTACGCCTACGCGTCTAGGCGACGCCGCTCTACACCACACTGCTCATGATGGTCGGGCGCGCGCGCGAGGGGAGGGGAGCACTTACAAGCTTTCTTGCTGGCGCTGCCGATGGGCTTGTCGTTCTCGTCCAACACGATGCAGACCTCGTCCATGAGGCGGATCTGCTCAGCGTCGTGGCCGGAGAGGGCCTCGGTGCTGGTGTCGATGTCGGGGAAGAGGCGCAGGATGGACTCGGCCGTGATGGCCTCGTTGCTCGCGGTGGTCGTCGTCGTAGTGGTCGCCATGTCTGCTGCTCGTCTGGTATCTCTCTGCGCCGGTCACGGTGTCAGCCTCCAGCCTCAATGCCTAATCTACTGTGTTTGGTGTTGCTGGTTGGAGTGGGTAAAATTGCGAGCGCGCGCAATAGGGTTGGCTGGGAGGGGGGCAGCCTTACCTTTATAAGTAAATGTAGCTAAGAAACGTGCCAAAACTTTGGAAGCCGAACTGGAGCTGCTCCCGTTTGGTAACAAGGTTCGGGAGTACGAGAGTGCAGAATGCGGACGCGAAGCGTCGTCTGGAAGGGAATTTTATGGGATGGAGGGGATTCTGGTGAGTCGCCGAAAGGCGGCAAAAACCAAAAAGACCACAAGCTCCAAAGCGCGACCAAGTTGGAAAATGCAGCCCCCCCTCACACCCCTGCTCACCCCACTGGGTTCCCCCCCAAGGATGCTGTCTGACTGTCCGCTCATAGTACGGATAGTAAGATTGGTTATTTGCTTGCCGCTATATTGTTGTCGCTGTCCCCCAATCTCCCCGCCCCCCCCTCACCCACCACGATGGACCACGATGGCCCACGATGGAAATGTTTGTTTCGTGCTGCTTGGGCCACTAAACGGTCCCTGACATGCAAGAAAACATCATTGCGATGGAGGGGTAATGCTGACTGCTTGGAAGATATTCTCACGGACGTCCGTCCCCGTCTGGGCGGGCATTTTGTACAACGTCACAAACCATGTTCGGTGGCATGTCGTCGATTGCCGCTTCTGGGACAAACAGGTCGAGAACAGACTCCGAGGCACGCAACTGCCAAGAAGCCGCCTTATGTGTTATGTCATGCCGTCGTTCCTTTGACGCTATCCATGCGTTGCTCGCCAGCCTGTTCGCTCGCTATTCGACGGGAGAGATATAGAGACGCGCATATGTCAAGACGAAAAGTAACCCCCCCCCCCCCCCCCCCCCGGGATTTAGACGTTCTCAGATGCAATACGACACCATCCAATATAAGCAAACGCAGTGTTCCTCCATGCCTTGCTTGCTATATGCATGCACGCAGGTATGCTTCAATGTATACTTTTTAGCAACCGACGGTAAATCATAACTCTCGTACCCAGACAAAGTGAATACTTCTGCAGATGACGCATCGTAGAGAAAACACCAGCCAAGATATCTTGCTTTACTCGGCCTGGTTCCTCGCGTCTGCCTCCTTGGCCGCCTTGTGCCAGTCGGTAAAGTACACAAACGAATATTCAATCAATGAGACCCTGTTAAAAGTCAGTCGAGATCCGCATATGTCTCTCTTGCCTCCTGTCTTTCTCGCTTTTTCTCTCTCTCATCTCATCTTCGGCAACTTTCGAGAATCGGTGTTTCAAAGGAGAGGACTCGATACTTACAACACAAGCCCAATCGTGACACCCAGCCATAGGCCCTTAAGCTTCCACCCTAGGCCAAACGCCGTCCCAAAAGACAGAGGGAGAGCAATGAAGTAGTACACCGAAATGGTGGCGTACCCGCCAATGGCCGGGCGGCCGATGCCGCGAAGTAGCCCGTGGGCTCCCGCGCTGAGGCCGTCGAATACCTGCATCATCGCGCACAGCGGGAGCACGTCAGCCACGATGGCGATGACCTCCTCGTCGCTGGTGAACAGTCGCGGCAGGTGGAACCGCAGGCTGCTAAACAAGATGACGTTGAAAACGCCTACAATCAGTGCCGCCACGAACGCCTATCGAATCGGTCAGTGTCTCTCCCAGATACCTGCTACTCCTGGAACCGGGGCTTCTCCCGGCATCCGAAACGAAAAGCGGGAAGGCAAGCTTACCACTTTGCCAGTCGTCTTGGCTGCATCCACCAGCCCGGCACCAATGAGGTTTGCGATTCGCGTCGACGCTGCGATGCTCACAGGAAACGGAATCTGATAGGTAATGGAGCACAGCGTGAACACGACACTCTGCGCCGCGAGATACGACGGTCCAAAGTGGCTTGAGAGCAAAGTGAGGACCTCAAAGGCCATGTATTCGGCCTCGATCATGACCATGCCGGGCAGCGCCAGGCGAAGCATGGGGCCCCAGTTGGTGAAAGCACGCTTGCTGAAACCGCCCCAGCATTGGTACCCGTTGACGAAGCGTACGTAGAGGAACAGCAGCAGCGGTAAAAGGTTCTGCGTGCAGACGGCGGCGGCTGGAGCCCCGATGAAACCCCATCCCAGCCTCCAGACAAACAGCCAGTTCAGAAAGATGTTGACGGGTGCCGCAACCAGGAGTACCCACGTTGTCGCCTGGAATAGACCCTGCGCCTGCACGAACCGCTTCCCGCCTTCGAAGCAGATAAAGGCCGGCCCGCCCAGGATCATCACCCGCAGGTACTGTCCCGCTAGCCGCGCCGACTCGGGCTCCGGGATGATGAGGCTCAGCACTGCCTCGGCAAAGAACCACAAAACGGCGATAGGGACGAAACACATAAGCATGAAGTACGTCATGCGCTGGAACTGGAGCCCGACGAGATGGCGGTGACCTGAACCGTACGCCTGCGCGCAGAGGGTGTCGAGGCTCGTCGCGAGTCCCTGGAAAGGCGCGTAGGCAGTGATGGTGGCCGTCATGGAAGACAGGCTCACGGCGCCAAGCTCCATCTTGCCGATGCGTCCGACCGCGAAGATGGCGACGACGTTGATTGAGTATTGCAGCATGAAGGTGACGATGAGCGGGCTGGCATACTGGACAATGGTCTTGGTCTCGCGCTGCCACGTTGTGCGGAGCTGGTCCGTTGCGACTGCCGCATCCCACTGCTCGTTGAGGTGCTCGTGGTCATCAGCGCCTGGCGCCGGGGCAGTACCAGACAGCAGAGGTGTCGACTCGGTGGGCCTGCAGACGACCACCTGCGGCGCTTCCTCGTCGTGAGGCTCGAGAGGAACTTTGGTGCTGAACAGGCGTCTGTAGGCGCGGCGGTAGAATGGCTCATCGTCCGTCCTCGGATTCTTGGGCGGTAGGATGTGGTTATCCCGGAGAAGACTCCGCTCTGCTTCGCGCGACTGCTTCTTTTCGACCCTGGTGAGGGCCGGCGGTTCTTCGACTGCGTGTGTCTGGGGGTTCATGACGGGCCGAGAGGTACCAAAGGCAACACCGCTAGGACGCCGGTAGAGGAGAGGACCCTCTTCTGATTCGGACTGGGAGGCGGAGCCGACAGCGTCGTCGTCGTTCTCGTCAGGCGGTTCCTCGTCTGAGCACTCTGCCAGATCCCTGGCCAATATTTCCTGTGCCCGTGGTGTACCGACGCGGAACGAGGAGCTGAGCTGGGAGACAAAGTCGTGGCTCGAAGACGCCTTGATAGGAATGCTGCGATCGTCGCCCATGGTGCCGGTTTTGTGCCACAGACCGATTGTGTTGTGTTGATGTAAGTTGCAATATAATCAGCAAAAGCCAGATAGGTCACTGTCTTGATCGAGGTTTGGGGCTCATCGAGCCTTGTTCCACTGCCCGACTGTCCAAAGATCGACAGCAATAGCGTGCGAAATTCGCGAGGTTACGCTATCGAATGATCTCTTCTTGTTCCGTCACTGCGTATCCCGGATCTGACGTGAGTCAACGTTGTGGCCAAAGCTGTGGAGAATATGTGCGGTGTGCCGAGACCGGTGTATCACCGACGGCTCCAGCACCTTCAAGATGCGAGACCGGTTGGCGTAGGTACAGGTTTCCCGAATCACAAGCTGGAGGGTAAGGCCATCTTCAGCAAGGAAAAGAAAAATGAAAATGAAAAAGAAGAAGAAAAAGAAGAAAACACCTAGAAATACGGAAACAGAGACGCGTCCTGGACTGGTGCATGCAAGACAGTAGAATGGAAGTGGAAAGGAGCTCCTTTCCCAGGGGTCCTTCGCTAAAGCCGTTCCTCGCTAGACTTACCGGCGAACGAACATACGGTAGCTCAAAATCTGCACCATACATACATCCCAGCCAGGACAAGCGGCCGACCTCCTCCAGTTCTGCCGTAGCGACCGGGATCCCGGGCGACCTCCGTGTCGCTGCGCGCCCTTCCATGACTCCAACCCTCATCAGCACTAGTGTGGTGGAAGAGAGGGGGGAGGCCGAGACCGCGGTGGCCCCTCGCATGTCCAGCGGCCCCATGTCATGTTGCTATCTTCCCCGTCCCTCCCGCTACAAGCAACATCCCGTCGTGGCCATTTTGACGTCCATTACGTACAAGAAAGACGTCTTTCTTTCTCGCCCAGTGTCTAACAAGGCCACACTATCTTGATGCTATCTTTGCAAACATGCCACCTTGTTCTTGACATGCCTCGGCTCGCCTGTATGACACCGACTTCTTTCCAATATCCAATTCCTATCCTTGGACACGTTGGGATTACAGACATGCCTGCTCGTACCAGCAACATTTTCCATGTGGGGCAAGACGAACGTCGTTGGATCAAGATTACCCCTCTGCTGCGATTTTAACTACCCCTCGCTTCACCGAGCTCGTCTCACCGCCCATCTACCAAAACCATTCGTCACGAGCCATCCATCAAAACTTTGGATATGGCGGTGCACTGGAATGGCCGTGACAAACTTGAACGCCTTTTCATTGCACTAGCTGATCCGTCTATTCATGTGGGATCCCATTTGTCGGATGCCATACCGAATGCCACTCACAGACGTAGAATTACTATACAGTGTATCGTGTCCCAGTCCCAAAGCTGAACCTACGATCCCCCCCTCTCAATACCCCCAAAGTCGTCTATTTGTCCTCCTCCCAATCAGGATTCTGTTCACCGTTAGCACTATTCAGTGTCGTTATGACAAGTCTTCACCCCCAAGACTTACCTTCTTGAGAATGACCAGGCCCTCTAGTGTGCTGTTCAAGCTGATGTACTGCTCGTCCTCAAGCTCGGCACGCTCCCCATACGCCAGAACAACTGGCGTGCTCTGTGTCTGCCAGCCGGTGATGGTCTTGGGGCGACCCGCCTGGCCTACGACATCCACTGCCTGGCCGACGCGGACGTTCACCTTCAGAGGCTTCAGGTCCTCGTCCAATGTCACCAAGAAGCGGGGGTGCATCGCTGTCACCAGGAAGTAGAGCAGGTAGTGTGAGTTGGACGTGATGAACTGCTTGGCGTCGATCATGGCAACCAGCACCGCCAACAAACCACCCGTTGACACGCGCGAGAGGACGTTGCGGTCCGTGTGGAATGGGTTGACCGACATCGTTCCCTTGCCCATGTGTAGCAACCCCTGCGCAATCCGCACCATGAAGAGGGACTCCTGGTCGCGGTGGTAGAAGCTGGCCAGCTGCCTGAGCAGCTGAGCCAGTCTGGCATTGTTCGTGCCCGCGCCCAAAAGACCCATGGCGAAGATGGCGTTGATGGCCACCTCGTTATCGTTATCGTGCGAGTATCTTGACAGCGTGTCGTAGACCTTCATCTGGGGGTTGCTGGGGCTGATCAGGCCCATGGCCAGCGGCACCGCTCGCCTGATGTTAGGCTCGCCGTAGTGCATGAGGTGACCGAACTGGCGGAGGACCATCTCCTGGCCGACCTCCTCTCCCATGGCCACAAGAGCAATGCCAATCACAGCGTAGGATTGGAGGAGTTCGTCGCCCTTCTTCTCGTCCGAGTCCTCGATGTGCTCGTTGCAGATGTGCAGGAGCTCCTGGATCTTCAGAACGGCGCCAGTACCGGCCCAGGCGCAAATCTCGGCCAGTACAGCCGTCGGCTTCGCCATCGGGTGGTCCACGGCCTTCAGGGTCTCCAGAATCACGTCGACCTCCTCCTGACGACCGAAGAAGAGCAGACCGAGACCGAGAGCCAGGAAACGAGTCCACTTGTCGGTGAGCTGGTTCTTGCGCTCGTCGTCAAGCAGAGTGGTGACGATGGCCTCGCTGATTTCAGGGTTCGAGGACCCAACAAAAATTAGGCCGCACGACAGAGCAGCCATGGCGGAGATTTGCATCTCCTGAGAAGAGTCAGTGATGATGGGCAACAGAAGCTCCAGGAGGAGCTCGTTATTCGATCCGGCATAGGAAAGACCAAGACCCATTATACTGGCCGTCCTGACGAGAGGATTCTTGTGGTTGAGTTTATCCTCGTCGCCCAGCAGAGCCAAGGCGGGCTCAGAGTCGACACGGGCCCCAGAGTTCATGATGCCAATAGCAAGCATCGAACCGGCCAGGATCTCGGGCTCCGCGGCGTATGTGTACTTGTCGATCTTATCCAGGCCAGCCTCAACATCCCAAAGAAGCAGTGTACCCAGAGAAGCGACAGTCGACATCATGCCGTCGCCCTTAGTCTTCCACACCCAGCTCTCCTTATCCTGCTCCACCAACATCATCTTGTCGTTGCCAAAACCGGCGTTGACGAAAGCGTTGACAAAGGCAGCCGCCAAGTTGTGACGAGCCGAGTCAAGGTTGGTCATGCCCGCGACGCGACTGCTCTCCAGATGGCTCTTGTAAATGTCCTCGGTCGTCTTGGGGTCCAGAATGTTGAGCTCCTTGCCAAGGGCCTTGAAGTGGTCGGACAACTTGAGGTTCGACAAGCACTCCACAATCGCTTGAGAGTCAGCATCGTTGGCGGGTACGTCCAGGACGATGCGCTGCCGCGCAATCAGGAAGGCAAGCTGCTTCTTCAGAGCCGGGTCCTCGGCTTTCTCGAAGTCGGCCTTGATGAGCTCAATGTCGTTTAGGCGGATGGCAAGCGTCATTGCCAGGGCGTACTCCTTGTATGTCAGGTAGATGTCGTGTGCCGTCTTGAGGAAAAGCTCGTTGTCGGGATAGGTAAGCAGGTTGACCATGCTCACCATGTACAGGCACACGCGACCATAGGTGTTCTCGTCGAGGTAATTCGGGATCTGGTCGATGATCTCAAGCTCGCTCATCAGATCCACGGCATCGGCCTCGGCATTGCTCTGCAGGAACAGCGGAATGAGGATCAGGGCCAGGTCTACCAAGTCCTTTGTTGGCTCGTCGGCATTTATCCGTTTCCCATAGACCTCGCCAATCTCCAAGGCTAAGTGCCGGGTGTACTCGTGGCCCCACGAACCAATGTCAGATGAGGGTGCCAGGAGGCGGTACTTGAGAGTGTCTTGTCGGTCTTCGTCAGAATACGTCATACCGATTACTGACAAGACGTCTGCGAGCGAAGTCTTGTTCTCGCCCGCCGGCCACTCCTCATGCAGTTTCGTCATCGTCTCGTAGTGTGGTCTAAGGAATTTGAGGGGCTTGGGCACGGCCGTCATCGACGAGGTCGAGGTCTTGATGAAGGTCTTCATGGCCTCCAGGGCCGGCTTGTAGAGGGACGCATCGGATTCCTGTAGCAAATGGTCAGTGTCTAGACATCGATGTAAAAGATGGCAATGTGGTGCAACACACCGTCAGGCGCTCAACGAGCATGTCCAGCTCGTTCTTCAGCTGTTGGTCCTCCTCGCTGAGCTCCTCCGCGGCTGCAAATAGTTAGCCCCTCCGCTCTCCCGATCATGTCCAAAACGTCTCTCACAGTCAATAATCTTCTCATCCTCCTTCTTGCCGTTGGTTTGGGGCTTTTCCTTCTTGTTGTCCTCCACGGCCTTTCCCTTGCCCTTGTCGGCAGCGGTAGGCTTCTCGCTGTCCTGCGCCATCTTGACGTATGTGTGCGGACTCTTTGCGGGGTATGTGCGTCCTCGAGATTTCGGTCAAGAATAAGCGCGGATTTTTCTGTAGCTCGTCAGGAGAGCGAGATCGAATCGATGGTATGCGGATGGAGAGGATAGGTTCGCGGGTGGTTCGAATCGTGAGGGATGGAAGATAGTGGTAGCTTTGTAAAGCTAAGCAACGAGTCGAAGCTCCCCGGTTACGCGAGCGCCTTGCCGCCTGCAAACGGTTTCGGGAAAATGAAAGCTCCGGGCGATGTGGGCCCAAGCAGCATCTGTTCCACGTTGGGAAGGCGGTGGCCCGCATGCTCCAACCATTTGGCGCTGCCTTATCGATAGATGGTCCTCCCACCAACTTTTCCAGTAGGTGTGGGGTTGATGAAGTTCATCATCGAAGTCGTAGATCTCTGCCACGGACAAAGTAAAGGAATTTGACGTTAGCCCGACTTCGCAAACCTCTGTTATAGCGATCGAAACGGTCCAAAATGCATTTGGATACAAAAGCACTGCGCCACTTGGCCGCGGAGGACTGGCGCGTCCTCGCAGCGGTTCGAATCCTTACCCCTCCATGACCCCTCCAGCCCACTTACATGTCCTCAGGTCGAACAAGGCACCAAAAACCACGAGTTGGTCCCGACGCCGCTCATTGAGAAACTTTCGCGCCTCCGCGGCGGCACAAGCGGCGTCCACCGGTCTATCTCGAACCTCGCCAAGGTTGGCCTCATCGCCAAGGTCAAGGAGGCTAAGTACGATGGTTACCGTCTTACCTATGGCGGTCTCGACTACCTCGCGATGCACACGTACTCGACGCGCAAGGAAGTGTATAGCGTCGGAAGCAGAGTCGGCGTCGGCAAGGAGAGCGATATAGTCATGGTGGCCGACGAGAGAGGTGTGCAGTGTATCCTCAAAATCCACAGACTGGGCCGAATTTCCTTCCGGACGGTCAAGTCGAACCGAGACTACCTCAAAAACAAGCAGTCCGGGTCGTGGATGTATCTCTCAAGGCTCGCGGCAATGAAGGAGTTCGCCTTTATGAAGGCTCTCAAAGAGGAGGGTTTCCCCGTCCCCGAACCCATCGCACAGAACAGGCACACCATCGTCATGTCGTTTATCGACTCGTTTCCCCTACGCCAAATCTCCTCGGTTCCAGACCCCGCCGCCCTCTATTCCGAACTGATCGACTTGCTCCTCCGCTTGGCCAAGCATGGGCTCATCCACGGCGATTACAACGAGTTCAACATCCTCATCAAGGAGGAGACGTCCACCACCAAAACGGATGAAGGAGAAGAAGAGGTCATTAAGTTAATTCCGATAGTGATTGACTTCCCGCAAATGATTTCGATGGATCACCAAAACGCAGAAATGTATTTTGATCGGGACGTCAACTGCATCAAGCGCTTTTTCGAAAAGAGGTTTCACTTCACCAGCACAACCCCAGGGCCATTCTACAAGGACGCCAAGAAGACCGTTGGCAAGGGCGGCGCCAAAAGAATAGATGCAACC